ATCCATTCTGATAGCCTTAGAATAAGACATCTATTACTTCTATATTCTCTAACCTTTAAAGAGAGTATCTCTTTGAAAACAGACATTTATACATCAAAGGTATTATTACTGACATACAAATGGGAAAAAAAATAATGTGTACTCTAAAACAACATATTTAATTAATTAGTACTTATTATTCAATTGAAATGCAGTATAAAAACTATTATAATAGCATTTCTCTTCTTGCTTTTACCCTACCATTCACAACACATTTTATTTAACTTTAACATAGATACATTTAGGAATATAGGTCAAAAATATATTTTTCTGCTTTTAGTAATTCGTGATGATGAACCTCTCATGGAGACGTATGAAGCTGAACGCTTGGTATCTGAGAACCTCATACAACTGGAGGAAGACTTTCAAAGACTCGGCATCAATCATGAGAAACCGACCACTAAAGTGCAAGACTGTGAACCTGTAGATGACTCGCCTATATACTTCCGGTATGAATAATCATTTAATAATGTGGTTATAATTATTAAAATAAGAAATTATCATTAATGGTATACAAAAAGAATAAATTTATCATGCTTGAAATAGTATTTAAAATCATTAATGCCTTAAGAAATGAAGAAAAATTAATGAATAAATGATTTATTCTTTTATATATTTTACTAGCAATAAAACTTTTTATTCACACAATTCAATTATAGTCCACATGAATAACATAATTTTCCACCACTATTATATTACAAAGTAATTGCCTCACATATATACATTCCTTATACTTGTTTCAGTCGTGTAGTATTTTCTCCTGAGGTGCCAATACGTTTAGACTATGTTGGTAAGCGAGTGGACCTGTCAGCTGGTCCTGTAGCCGGACTACTAATGGGGCTCGGACAACTGAACTGCTCAGAACTAACATTAAAGAGGCTCGATTATAAGTAAGATAATATATATGTAGAAGTAGATTCCCAAAGAGGGTTGATGTCAGGCAGACGGCCGGTCGTAAAAGCAATTAGCCAAAACTATTAACAATATGTAAGGCAGACCCTGGCTAAAGCTGGGAAATTGCCAGGAAGAAGAAGAATATATATGTAGAATAAGAAATTCAAGAGTTATTGAAATCAGCGTTATCACGTCTTAGTATAATTCTTATACGGGGTGCTAATTCTCTTTGTATATATAAATAAACAAAAAATATATATTTTTTAAAGGGTAATGAAAACAAAATTATGGTCTTTAAGTACATAACCAATTGAGAATCATTTAGATTTATTCATGGTTAAATAAAACATTTATTTAATTTAATTATCTGTTTCGACTTCTGTGTTGCCATAACAATAATTTTATTAAATGATTGCTATATTTAAATAATATTATATTAATATCTTCAGATTAGGCCTGTTGGGTCTTGAGAAGCTGGTGCAATGGGCGCTACACGAATGGCTATCAGACATCAAGAGACATCAACTACCAGGGTTGCTTAGCGGCATTGGACCCATGCATTCCTTGCTACAGATAAGTTAGTGATTTAAAATCTCAATACATATTAATATAAGATCTGTCTATCCGTTTATTCAGCTTTATCTTCAAAACCACTGGTTGAACTTGCAAAAGGATAATTAATACAGTTAGTTATCACAAATTACTTCAAAAATAAAGCTTTTTTGTATTTATATATTATGTAATAGAGTGTCATAATCATCTCTAACTTAAACTGAGTCCTACATAGACTTGTCAGACTTGTTTGTGTGTGTGTATGTATATTAACCGTAACCGTAACCACCAGTAACCGGTATCCGCGACCTGGTGTGGTTGCCGGTGGAGCAGTGGCGTCGCGACGGCCGGCTGGTGCACGGCCTGAGGCGCGGCGCCGCCTCCTTCACCGCGAGGACGGCAGTCGCTGCTTTGGACATCACCGCACGCATCCTGCATCTTATACAGGTTGGATGAGTTATAATAGTAGCGGATGTGACGTCACTGAAATATATCTACGCATAGTAAAGATGTTGTACACAAGCAGGCATACTGAATTATCAAACTTACTACATTTGGGATTCACAAGTGTAGTGAGTAGCTAGCTGTGACGCCATTAATAGCAACGTCAGTCAGTTGTTTTAGTCATATTAAATTTAATTTGTATATTAAACAAAGATATACATGTCTATGTGTATATATATGTATATTGCCTTAGTCAACTAGATATATTGTTACACAATTACTATTAGTCTAGTGTAGTAGTGAAAATATTTCCTATTTATAACCTTCTGAAGACAAATTAATGAGACATAATTTAGTTGATTCTATAAGTAGCGCCTGATATAAAATTATAGCATACTAGCGGAGCCCGCGGTGTTGCCCGCGGATTTGCGGGATGTAAAGTAGCCTATGTGTTATTCCTAGACGTCAGCTTCCTGTATACAAAATTTTATTACAATCAGTTCTGCCGTTTGAACGTGAAGATGTAACAAACATACACACACTCACAAACTTTCGCAATTATAATATTAGTAGGATATTTTGACGTCATTCCAATAAATAAATACATAATAATATTATACTTCAGGCAACGGCTGAGACGGCGGTGGACATGTTGACACCGACGCCAGCTCTGCCTCTGTCATCACAGGGTAGGAGACGCCGCAGAGACCGGACACGACAACCCGCTGACATACGGGAGGGAGTGACCAGCGCTTATAATACTGTTAAAGAGGTTATTATAATATAATATCTTTATATAATTGTTATAGTCAGTGGTGGCCTAGTGGCCTCGTTGCCGAGGGCTCGGGTTGAAACCTGGCATGTACCAACGTGATTTTTCGGAGTCATATGTACTTTCTGAGAGTATTTAGACACCACTGACATACGTGAAGGAAAATATCGTAAGGAAACCTGGACTTATAGTTTCACAGTTATAAGTTTGAAATCACCAACCCATCTTGAGCAAGTGTGGTGATTAATGCTCAAACCTTCTCCATGTGAGAAGAGGCAGCTCAGCAGTGGACTCTGATAGGCTGATGACGAATTGTTTAAATATGTTATTAAAGATACACAGACCCGAACGGGTTTGAACCTTGAACCTCCGAAAGATGGCGTTCTATTTGCTTTGCCAGTTAAGCTGTCATGTCTATGTATTACTTTACAACTTTACCCCTGATTTTGATGCACTTCTAAATTAGTTGACTAGTAAATTAGTTACTATTCTTTATATTCTTATTTGAGAGAGCAAGTCGTGCTTGTTTATCATCTTTTTTTAAATAAAATTTTAATTTCCTTTGAACGAACTCCATGAGTTGCCTCACTTCAACTTTGAAACAAAACTTAAAAGGATACAATAACTTATAAACAGATATGTGACTTGTGAAACTATTATAATTATTGAACAGATCAAAATTAAACTATAATATGATGTATGTATTAATATTACAGGGTTTCGCGGAGACAGCAGCATCATTATCAGCGGCGGCTCGTCGTGGGAAGGGCGCGGGGGTGCTCCGCCAATTACCGGGGGCTGCGGTCGCGCCCCTCGCCCTAGCGGCCGCCGGCGCCGCTGATGTACTAGGAGGAGTCCGAGCACACCTCGCACCTCACACCACGAGGGATCATGCTGACAAATGGCGCAGACCATATACAGGTCATAATAATATCTAACAATAACTTTTTTTATTTTTATTTAGGAACACCAACAGTACACATATGCAACATTTACACAAAAATACAGTCAAAAGTATAGGTCTTCATATGTACACCTATTACAGGTATTCACAGCACTGTCTAAAAAGTTTTATAACGACGATAATACCTTAATCTAACTAAATTAAATTATTACTACAAAAAAAAAAACAACACTATTTAATAAACAACAACTTTCGCGAGTATACATTGAAGTTAAACTAATATTTTTCGGATCAAACATCACAGTTGCAAACTAACCGAAACATTGGTATTATATAGTTTTTAAAATAATAAAAAAAACGTGTTATCCGAAAAATATTAATATTATTTCATAAACAAGTCCATCGATGAACTAACTGAACTTTGATCTTTCCTAGTGTATGCTATCCTAAAACTGTTGCATAAAGTCTATCTTAATTATGACATTACAAATAAATTGTACAAATCCGAAGATACATCTGATGGAAGTCTCATGATTTTGTTTTTGATGATCACAATACAATTATAACTTTCAATATAACTGTATTATATGTATAATTATTAAATATGCCTTTTGTTTCAGATACGACTGATTAATTTCATTCATTGAACTCTATTCACGTCACTCAGAACACCGGCGATGGTGGATTATATAAAAATATATAACCATACATATTTCAACAAAATGTACAAAAAAAACAAGATGTTCTACATAGTATGAAAGTAATGATATTTATATTTGAGAATATATTACTTATTGAGATGTTTTAAAAGTGATATTTTTATACCAGCAATACAAAAAAAAGTATAATAGAAATTTATGTCATATCAATAATAAATACATATAGTTGAGCATTTTTCCTTATAACTTGTACACAGGAATCGGTGCTTGATGTATGAAACTAGCATTTTGAAGCATTTAGCTGCTTATTATAATATTCATAGTATATAAATAGGTGTAAATATTGTTTTTAATAATTTTAATTGGATTTGTTGTTGGGTGCCATGACAGAACTTAAAAGTAATATTTAAAATATTATTTTTCTTTTCCTTTTTACATGAAATGTATCCGATTCGACGGTTTGAAACTTTCAAACATTTTAAACGCCTATGTATATTATATGTCGATAGCGTTACTTTTTATACGAGTGATATTTTATAGGCTAGTGAAATAAAAAAAAATAGATAATATTTGTCAATAAAAATGTATCCCCTTTTTATAAAACTCAAGATGCTAATAAATAATTATCTCACTATTGATGTCGTGTTATTTGTGTCAAATAATTGTTTAAAGATTGTTTATTTAATATTTTATTTAACTATTATACAATAATGTCTAAACTAACACACTAAGTAAATCAAGCTTCCTCATCCTTTTTCTCCTCTGGGTATTTATCAGTTAGGAAACTCTTCACCTCTCCATATTCTGTTTTCAGATTAAGTCTTATTCTTTCGTGATTCCTATATTTCTCATACTTTTTCAGATATATCTCATAGTGTGGCATTGTTTCATAGAAACGAGGGAACTTCTTTCTCTTTAGAATGACTCGATCATTCATGACGTAATTTATAAAATCGAGTGTCTCGTCCTTAGGTATTTCGTCTTTTGTACGGACATATGAAGGGCTTGCAACCACGGTAGGGTAGTATGAATTTTCTTGTCTAAACTCTACTAAATGAAGTTTCTTTTCTTCGGCAAGCTGTTGATGGGTTCGCTGCAAAAAAATATATAGCGTAAGTATGAATTGAAAAATCCTTAAGTTTAAGCAGTTAGTCATAATGCTGCTTGTCAAAGTATTACCTGTTGCAACAAGCCTATAAAGAAAGCTTTTACAATATGTTGCAAATTGTTGGATCCTTCCACCTTGGCTCTCAGATCCTTGATGCCAATAGCTTGACATATTTCTCTTATAGCCCTGTGGCAAACTAGTCCGTAACCTTCATTTTTCTTCTGTACATAGATTTTGGTTTTACCGAAAGCAGTGAAAAAGTCGTGGAAAACTGAAAATTTGGTAATTATTTTGTTGTAAATCGATAAATTAGTTAAAATTATTTTATGGAAACATACTAGTTTAGTGATATACCTGTGTGTCCATTGTAAGTTTCAAAGTTCATCAGCTTCTTGCCAGCCCTATTTTTGGCTTTTCTTAAAGCTGATGGTGCTTCTTTGGCTTTACCGAATCCAAAACCTGCTAGACCATGGCCATTACCTGTTACAACCTGAAAAATATACACTATTACTATATTAACTATTACAATAATGCAAAAGTAACTAAATAAAAATAGAAAACAAATTTTTATGTGACATTTCTCATACCATAGCTTGGAAGTTCCTTGTCCTTCCAAGATTTCCTTTCATGATCAACAAAGATCTTAATTGAAGGACTTTCGTGTCAAAACCAGTGAATTCCTCTGAAAAACAAAAAAAAACATTTATTTATCTTAAATGTATGTTCATATATATTATGTTTTTATATTATTCTACTAATATTATAATTGCGAAAGTTTGTGAGTGTGTGTGTATGTTTGTTAATTCTTCACGCTCAAACGGCTGAACCGATTTTGATAAAATTTTGTATACAGGAAGCTGGCGTCCAGGAATAACACATAGGCTACTTTACATCCCGGAAATCCGCGGGTAACACCGCGGGGCACAGCTAGTTTATAATATTTACCATCACCAACTGGGTCCGGTGGTCCAATGCTCCTGCCTGGCATTCGAGATCCAGACCAACCTCTCTCAATAGGGCTTAGTTTCAATCGGCGGAATCTTGTCATTGAATCTCTTAACTTGATTAACTTTTCCATTCTTGAAAAAATACAAGCAATTATTTATAACATCTTATAGTGTCTAAAAAACTTAGGGAAAACAATGGACATATTATAAATATATATAACAATGGACATATTATAGTCAGTGGTGGCCTAGTGGTTAAAAGGCCCGCCTCTCATGCACGAGGGCGCGAGTCGATCCTGGCCCGGGCAAGTACCAATGTGGTTTTTCTGAATCATATGTACTTTCTAAGAGTATTTCGACATCACTGATTAATGTTGATTCCCAAAAGAGGGTTGATGTCAGGCAGGTGGCCAAAACAAATAGCCAAAACTATTCACAACATGTAAGGCAAGACCCCTGGCTATAGCTGGGAAATTGCCAGGTAGAAGAAGAATGGACATATTATAAAATATTTAAATAGTAATTTCTTTGTTCACATAGAATCTACACTACATTCTGCAGTGACTTGTTGATTATTTTTAAAATAAGTTTCAAACAAGGTTGGATGTAAAGAAAAAATTATTTTAATAGATTGGTAGAATAAAAATGAATTCTTATAATTTTCCATTCATTATTGATATTGCAATTCATATTCACTAAATTGTATTTCCTATTATGTTGTTAAATTTTGCTGATAAAATGATAAATGAAATTTGGAAAAACCAAAAAAAATAAAAATATTTTAAGTAAGCCATGGAGTTTCAATCTTAGGTAATATTATAAAAGGAGGTTCTTGTTAGACACATATCTAGGTACAACAATCATAAGATAAGTTGCATTTGTTTAAAATAATTTATTTTAACATTTACCTTTCAGGATCATCGGGCAAACGCTGCTGCTTAAGTAACTCTCTCCCTCTTATAACTGGGGCCGACAAACCCGGCCATAACATATTTATTTTTCCAACGCCGATCACCTGGCCACGATTCAAATCACGGATACGAATTCTTCCTGCACCTTTTCCACGACCCTTTTTTGCTCCAGCATTGCTCACAGATGTAACAGACTTCCATAACTTCTCAGCAGGTACTGCAGTAAAACAATTACACGATAAAACATAAAAAATAGTAGAAAAGATAAGAAGACTTGTGAGAATTACTACTTACGTTTATTAAAGAAATTAACACTTGCTATCGGTGTTGTACTAAAAGTTTGAAGGTTATACGTTGGTTTAATATAATGTGGTGAATTCATTAAAAGACTTAATGGCTTATTTAGCAAATTTCTAATCGTTAACAATTTTGTAGCCATTTTTAGGAATTTAACTACCAATTCCTCATTTATGGCTACACTTTTTAATATTTACTTATTTACAATATTTTCCGATGACATTAGGCATTGAAGTTTGTGATAGACACTATTTCAAAATTTATAATTAAAAATATGAATTAGATTCGTAAATAATGTCTTGGAAATAATAAAAAAAAAACTTCGTACAATTTATTAAAGATATGAATTACTTCCACATTAATATACACGTCTTATTTTACATATATCAATTTACAAAATCTAAGAGAAAATTTTAATTTTTATCCTAGAATCTAGGCCTCTCTGTAATTTATTGACAAATGACATCAAATTTACGTGGCTGACAGATCACGAATACCGAATCCGAAACTTAGCGGCTCGATATTTTAATAAATAAAAATAAATTATAATACATTAATGTAAAATATCGAGCATACTTGATCATGGGTCTTTGTAAATGTCCAAAGAGAAGAGTTACAAATCAGTTTTGTTTTGAACACAGAGTAAATGTTTGTGAATATTGTATGGTTACAAGCCATCCAAAGGTATAATTATAATAAAAAAACACAAAAGAATCTTATGTTAATAATAAATTAATGGCTAGTTTTCAATTTTAGTGTATAATACAATCATATTTGCAATGGTTACAAGACAGCGACTACAATCCCATATGTGAAATATGCACTAAAACATTATCCGAGGGCGAGTGTATTCGACTAACATGTTATCGTAAGTGCTACAAAATTAATAAAAGCAAAATACTGGAAATGACTAGCGTTTCACTGTATTTATCCATATATTTTTTCACGATAGATGTTTTTCACTGGGAGTGTGCAGAAACACGATTTAGGGCTCTGCCCCGTACCACAGCACCTGCAGGGTACCAGTGTCCATCGTGTGCCACCCCAGTATTCCCACCTTCAAACCTTGTGTCACCAGTTGCCGATGTTCTCAGAGAAAAGCTTGCTGGCGTCAATTGGGCCCGGGCTGGTCTTGGACTACCATTGGTATATAATTATATATCATATTGACATAAAACAAGTATGATAAAGACTTAATTATATTGACTACATAAAACAATTCTTTAGCTTTCAGAGGACCAGGACATGAAAGGTGCAGCTGGTAGACGTAGCCAGTCTCCGAATCAAAGCCAGTTCTTCAACTCGCTAGACAGTCAAAGAGGTGCTCCGGCCGGGGCTAGTGATGACGAGTGTAATAACAGATCCACAACAAGTACTCCACATTCCATTGTACAAATACCAGATGAACCAGTCAATATTTACGACGGCACATCAGTTAAACGAAATGATGGTTTATTAGGTATCTAGATTTTTGGCTCTTGAATTTGATGCTATGAATATTGTATCTACAATGATTAAGAAATAAAGAACTAATAACTCAAAATTGTAGTTGTTATAATATTATGATAGTTATATAATAATTACAGGAAATCAGACCACAAGAAAAGGGTTTAAGTCTTTGGATCAATCAAACAAACTGATGAATTTTGACCATGATGAAAACAAGTACAAACAGAAGTCTACATTCGCTTGGCTCAGTAGATGGTGGAAGTAAGTGAAACAATATTATTCACACATTTTAATAATAATAAATAACAATCTTTACAAAAAAGAGCTTACTAGAAATTAAGAACTAGATTATGCAATTAAGTCTTTGATACAATTGGTATAATCATTATTTTTTTATAAAAATTATGTCTTGTTTCAGGAATACATTGCCAGCATCTCGTGTGCGAAGAGCTGGAGGCATTTATCGGAGATATTGGATAATGCTCTTTGTATTAATAGCAGTGGTTTTAATATTAATACTGCTGAGCCACAGAGATATAGATAACGATGACCCATTTGGCTCTATCCAGGATGATGATAGAAGAGTTTTACAGAAAAACTAACATTAATATAATATTTATTCCCTTACTAGGCATGTATTTATGAAATCAAGCAATCTATAGTGATAAAATTGTCATGTACATTCACTAATAAAAAAAAATACCAATTAAATGTTTTACTATATAATGTTCAAGTAATTTTATTAGGTAATACAATTACAAAATCTTTGTACAAGAACCAACAGTTTTGTCTAAAAATAATACAGAGAATATATCATTGTAAAAGTCAGGATAATATTCACAAGCTCTTCGACAGTCCGGCATCCAGTTTAATTCTAGTAGCTTTGGTTGTATGTTGGTGCCATTTTTATCCCAACTCAGCATCACATCAACTGCATACAAAGCTCTTGATTGAGGGCTTCTTGCTATTCCAAGAGGGGGTTCTTTGGCAGTAGCACATATAAACAATTCAGATAACATATTAAATATAGACCGCTCAACTTCATCCCATTCATAATCTGGATACTGGTTAGACCATGCATTTTTAAAATCTTCACATAATAATTTAAACAATGGCGCTCCTTCGGTGTAATTCATTACAGTAAAATGTTTTTCATAATCATCAAAGTTTTCCATTGAAAATTCTTTATTAGACAGCCGTAAGAAGAAATTATTGTACACAAAAACTTCAGTTGGATTGACAGATTTCAGAAGAACAACATAACGGATATCAAATTTAACTTTCCCGACATCAGGTCTGTCAAATAGAACAGGATTTTCAATATATTTTTGAGCAATCTTGGGGCCCGACAATGGAAGCCTGCATAGAAAATCTAAGTTATCTGTAATGTATGTGTCTAAACCCCTAGCGAGATTGTAAGGTTTACAAATCCAATGATTATCAAGACCACGTTTTTTTCTCTGCATGTAATAAGCTACTAATTTCGAAAGCTCAGTCTTCATGTTAAAAGTTGTTGGTAACCATGTGGGAAATGTTTCAAGTTCTTCATTCCCATAGTTTTTATTGTTTCTCCTTGCTATGATAGCCAAAATGTCTTTTATTGTAACAACATATTCAAAAGGGAATTGATTCACAAACTTATTAGGGGAGTTAACACTTAATTCCTTAAAAGTTTTGAAGTGTTCTATATACCACAATATGTCTGCTTCACTTTCATTGTCAACTATTTGGAACTCGTCTGCTGTAAGATACTGATTTATATATTCGTAATCTGAAAAAACTTTAAGCTTTCCTGAAACATTTACTTTGCCTTGCAGATTATCTAAATCAGGTAGTGATTCAACAATATGACCCTCTAAAAAATAGTTAATATCAGGTTCTGTTTGACTGAAATCATCATCAAAATGTTCATAATACTTCCATGGAATCAGCATAGCTTCTCTTTGTTTTGGATCTGAAAATTTGCCCTCTATGTAGTTTCTTGTTATCAAATCACCTTCTTCAACATTTTCTATAGGAAAAAGTAATGTATATGTGACCTGTTCCGGTATATGTATAAACGGTACAGCTCTAAAGTTTGGCTGATCAGAATGATTGATAGCTGAACCCAATTCATCCATTATATACCACACGGGAACTCTATCTTCAACTGATAACTCATCTCCTCCTATAGAATAAGTGTTTGCATATTTCCACACATTTTGGTATACTTCATCTATTTGCTCCTCAGTTGTTTCTCTAACAATTTGCATAAGATTACACATCCTTTCTAATAAAGCCGGCATATTTCTGAGGCTACTTTTAATAGTGTTAGCCTTGAAAGTCCATGCATGATCTACTAGGAAAATATTACTGGAATCTGTAGGGTCTAAGTCACTGATAGCCATAACGCTCCACAATGGATCATAAGATTCTTTTTCATCATCCTCATAATCTATTTTAACTAACTGAAAGGCTAAGCCGGAATCGAACATTTGATCTTTAAGTTTCTTACATAAAACCGGCCAAAAATGTTCCGGGACTCCGGACAGAACGAGTTGCGGCTTGTGTGCAGCTATGAATAAGTTATAACTCGATATGCCATCCATATTTGATGTAATTAAAAAATAATTTCGTTATGAAACTTGATCTTACTTCAAGAATTAATAGCTAATCTTCACTTCAATCATGTCACAAATCACACTGACATTTCAATGTGTACATTGTACATTAACCTAATCATACAAGAACACTATTTACTAATGTCACCTCTCGAAATGTCACTTTTCTTGTGTTCCCAACAGGTCAACAAATCTATTTGCTTCGCTAAAATTCGCCCAAATTAATTATTAATATAACCGTTATTAACATTTCAGGTTTTAAAATCACACTTTTACATACATAACAAAATGTTTGTTTATGTTAGTACGTCAAAATGGAATGAACTTTTTAAAATAATCGTCATCGGCCTATCTTAGCCCGCTCCTCTCACATGGAGAAGGTTTGAGCATTAACCACCACGCTTGCTCAAGAGGGCTTGGTGATTTCAAACTTATAATTGTGAAATTATAAGTCCAGGTTTCCTCTCGATGTTTTCCTTCACCGTCTGTCAGGGATATCTAAATACTCTCAGAAAGTACATATGACTCGGAAAAATCACATTGGTACTTGCCAGGATCGAACCCGCGCACTCGTGCAAGAGAGGCAGGCCTTTAACTACTAGGCCACCACATACTGAAAATACCCAAAAAGTAAGCTATTATTGTATTTGTCGGTGTCGGGTGTCGGGTCCATTGGGTTGCAGGCAGAGGAGCTTCAACATTACCTGGGACTCGCGACCCAGGTGTAGGTTTATATTTAGTGGATATTAATATAAATTAATCAATTTATTTCATGGCTTTCAAATTGCTAAGTAGTGATAGTTTCTTAGTTGTTTTTTCTTTTCAAAAAGCTATTTCCAGTACACTGAAATATATAAAGAATGAAATCCAGCGAAAGTTGTAGGGGATTAATAATGAAAGAAAATAATTCTGTATAATTCATAAGCATGGTGTATTATATCAACCATTGAAGAACATTTACTCTTATTACTTAAATATTTTGATAATTCATACAATAAAAATCACATGTTATAAGAACTAAAGATAAACTATACAAACCATACATATTTAAGACCTTTAAAGTAGTCACAGAACCATGAGAGAACTTGAATATATTAGAAAATAACTGAAATGTTGAAAGACAGAAATTAGAAGTTGTTAAATTATTGAAGCAGGGTTTTTGAGGTCTTACATATAAATGGAACTCATTACTTAGCTTAACAATATCTATGGCCGCGTCGTTAACAGTCGTCACTTAATACAGAACAACTAATGACGCATTAAAAATCTATCTATCAGTTCAGTTGGAGTCTGATTCCATGTGATTTCTGTAATTTCTGCGTGCCTTTTTGACCCTTTGTCGAAATTTATATGCTTGAAATTCAGGGTCATCGGACACTTCGTCGGCGGGGAGGGGATTCCTTGTGCTACTCCCCGCCACAGTTCCTACACCACTGTCTGGTGTCCCGAGAGTGTCTGGAGCCGGCCATAGACTGCCTTCGGTGCTACAACTGCTCTCTAATTCGCTCTCATTAGTCTCGTTCATGAGTCTAGCTAGAGTCCGGTTGAAACCTTTTGGAGACAGTCTCTCTGAGAGCGCTCTATCTGCTTGCGTCTTCATAGGTGGTGATCCACTACTGTCCGACCTATTCATAGCCTGGCGACCATTCCTCCTAACTCTCCTCAAATTCATTCTCAGCCTGGTCTCTGGCGGCGGTGAGGAGTTATTGCTCTCCGATTCATGATTATCATTTCTAAAATCTCCAATAGATCCGTTAATAGGTGTGGGGACGATGTTCACTAAATTAGGTACGGACTGGTTCTGACTGCGCACAGACCTGGGCCGGCTGCTCACTGACTGATCATCATCTGAATCCACTTCTGCTATCCGAAATAGCGAATTGTTTTGCCCTCTATACCCTATATAAAGATAAAAAAAATTGAAATAGCTTTCATAATTTCTAAGTCTAAGTGTTCATCAGTCAATATTTACCTGTACTTGTGCTCGGTAAAGCTAAATTTTCTTCAAAAGTGTCAGCGTTTTCAACGTTATTGTTGTCACTGCTGTCTTGGGCAGCTCCGTTACCTTAAATGTAGGATTAATTAGAATTTAATTTCTTTGGGATAAAAATATATGACAATATTTTAAGGCAAAGAAAGTTATTTCTAATTTTTAAAGAGAAAAATTAATGTTTTTTACCATTGCTCCTTAAATTCATGGATCTTCTGTAGCAATTAACTTTACATTTTCTTTTATTGGATCTTGTGCTGTTCATTCTTCGTCTAGCTGGACGGAGTATCTAGAAATAAAAGCTCATATTGGGTAACAGAAATAATATTATACTAATCCTAGATATATTAAATACCATTCACTAAAAGGAAAACTCATGTTTTATTATTTAAACGTGCTTGGGCTCGACACCTAAATTACAAAAACTTAGTTTCTTGAGAAACTTAAGATAAATGTAAAATCTTTTACGTTTGTTTACAAATATTTGGAAAATATAGACATTCTTAGATTATTATACAGGCCATATAAATTTCTTGAACAATTAAGTTTATTCCTATACTGTTCTTATTATATCTGAAATAGTTTTTCCGGGTCACTTTAGTCATTTTAGTAGCCATTTATAATGCTAGCCATATACTAATTATTTACATTTCTTCTATAGTATACACTCTGTTGATATCGAGTTTGTTCTAGACTGTTTGTATGAGTATGCATGTTTTTCCTAGACTACCCTCACCCGGCCCGTGTTCCTGTACATGCAGTGTCCTGGCTCGTCTGAGTCGGTCCGTTCACTGGAGGGTGACAGTCTCCTGGTATTCGTAGGCCTTCGCCCCCTCGCCCGCCTCGCTGGACGAGCCCCCTTCACGGCAGTCGAAGATTTGTTCACACACGTTCTAGTTTGTTTGTTACGTCTGGATCACACAACACATATCATGTTCTGACGTTCATGTATATTTTTTCTTTATATTAAAAAGAAAATCATTGATTAGTGTTTTTGGTGTACATATAATTTTAATTTGCTTGCTAACCCAACATTTTATTTTGATATACAATTTTTATTTCGATCAAATCAACTAACACCGCATTTTATGATCATATATTGTCGTTCTGGTGGTTTCCATAAATACCGAAGCTATGTTCAAGTTGTCATGTTAATGGGGTCTAAAAAACATTTTTTTTATAGAACCCCAATAATAGTAACGTAGAATTTTCCTTTTTTAGTTCTTTTTTTAAGTTGGAATGTACTAAATGTGTCACCATATCAATTAAGCATAGTCGCTTCTTAATGTCCCTCCTTTCTAAGAGAATATTTTGATAATTTGTAGATATATTTACGATATTTCACAACTACTTTACTTTTATTCTATTCTTTCAAATATTGATCAAAATAATTCACTTCCCTCTATCTCTACAATTCTTTATTATGAGGCAATTTACTCCTTATATCAGGATAAATCGAATCCCAAGCAATTGTAATTTATAAATTAAATAATTAAGGGAAATTATACTATTAAAATCAATTTGTCCAATTAGGCATGCCAATTAAGTACCACATAGCATTATTAGTCAACCATGATCGAATAGTCGATTAAAAGTAGCTGGGATGAAAAGTGAGAATGTATATATTTTCTTGTTTTAAAAAGTACATGGATAGATTATTTATCAAAAGAATTAAGATTTGGTTATTACTGAAGCCTTAAACTATTCTCAGATCATTCTCGAATTTAACTAGAATTATTTCTGCAAATAAAAAATTTTGTACCCTTTTAACTGAGCAAGGGTCTATTTTTTGTGGGAGTTCTCAAACGTAGTCTTATCAAAGATCAAATTTTAAATTTTTGCGCTTTTATGTTGGAATAATCGGTCTTATAACTGAGAATCATAATTTTTTTATACAATAATCTTCCGTTTTTCATAAGTAACTGAAAACAATAAATCATTCCGGAAATATATACAAAATTTCTGAGGAAATTCTTAGTAATGATGTAGTTAAGGTCGGAAATCCCAAACTCCAATAAAATTATACAAAACGTCTGTTCATATTGACATATAATGATCATACACTTTTAATTAAATTTGCTAGTCAAAAATATCATTTTTCCGCTTCTACTAGAATATAGTACATTCACTAACAATTCATTTTACTTCGCCAAAAACGCTAACCTTAGAACTGAATTAAATATACAATACCTACGACTGTAATATTTAAGTCTTAGTTGTTAGAAGACTATTTGACATCACACTTCGAGCAGCCGATACTATTTGTTTTAAGATGTCGTACCTCAATGCACCTCTCTTTTGTGATCGAACATTCTTGGGATAACGCGAGGCCACAAGACGGGCTAGTCTGCTTTGACAACGCTGGCTCCTACAACCCTTTGATGCTGAAAACAATTGATTACCTTTCATATGGAAAAACGACTCCTATAATGCTATCATGTTATATTAAATACATATAAAAAGTTATAAAATATATAAGTAATAAAAAAATTACGCTTATTTTGGAATGATATCAAAAACAGACAGACACAAGCAGGTATTAGTGTTATATGACGGAAGATAAAACTTGGCAATGGTTAGTTGTAGGTCATGAAAATAAAACTGGTATTTGGTATCTATCTATGATTGTATGATACATAATAATCTAAGTTTAAAGTTGTTGGAATCAATTTTTCGCCTCTCCCGTTCCGTTTATTCACGATTGTTCATACATTCCTTTATTCAAGAGCGACAACACAAGAAACTACATCTCACTATTTGTAAACAAAAGACAATTACAATACATTGATTTCCCTTCTTTGGTCAATGTTTAATATATGGTATTTTAATGAGGGTACTTGAAATTATACTAGATTTCCTATGGTCTTATGCTAGAATAATTTAACTTCTAAGATTTTCGCGAGCATTCATTGAAATAAAACTAATATTTTTATTTATTTATTTATTTATTAATGTACCAAACATAAAAAATAGTTACAATTCGAATATTATAAGAGAAATGTCATGTACAAAGGATAACTTATCTCTTAAAAGAGATCTCTACCAGAAACCCTTTTGATAGAGGAAATGAGAAGAGAAATGTGGCATAGGTACAAAAAAAAATGAGAGAAGGAAAAAAGAAAAAAGAGGTATATAGATATATATAGAGGTATATATATAAGAATACAAATCAAATTATAATAGCATAAAATACAGATATTATACATACATAGATATATACATAAATATATACAAATAAATACAATATATATATAAATATATAAACATACACATAAATATATATATAAAGTACATAAACATTACATATTATATTAAGGTAAGAGTGATAGAAGATGTCTCTTAAGCCGATATTTAAAGGCACATGTACTTGGACTCTCTTTGTAAATAGAAGGTGGGAGTGAGTTCCAAAGTTTTGAACCTTGGACGGAGAAGGATTTACGATAGAATTTAGTATTAAAGGAGGGGATATCAAGAGGATTTTGTGCAACACAGGAACGATTAGGAAGGATTCTGGGGGAGGAAAATTTAAAACGTTCGAGTAGGTACGGGGGAGAAGAATGTTTGAACACATTGTACATTAACGTTAAAACATGCATATTCCGGCGGAAGCGGATAGGGAGCCACTTTAATTTGCTGCGGAATTCAGAGATGTGGTCGTATTTACGCAAGCCGAAAATAAATCGGATGCACAAATTTTGAAGTCTATCCAGTTTATCGAGCAGCTCATCAGTGGCATCTAAGTAGCAAACATCACCGTAGTCGAGTAAGGAAAGGAGGAGAGATTGTGCTAGAATAATTTTAGTTTTAAAAGGAAGGAAGTTTTGCAGACGTTTAAGAGAATGAAGAGTAGAGTGAATTCTTCTACTTACCTCATTCACCTGAGCTGTCCACGACAGGTGACAATCCATTAATAGACCTAAGTTTTTAACCCGATCTAACAATGGAATTGTCACCCCATCGTACATTATACAGGGTAAAGTGTCAAAATTAATTTTTTTGTAGAGTTGCTTGCTTCCAATAATTATCGCCTGAGATTTATTAGGGTTCACTAGTAAACCGAAGTCATTTGCCCATCTGTGTATAGATATCAACTCCTCATTAACAGCCTCGATAGCTACCACAAGTGAAGATAGTGGAGTATGTCTATAAAGCTGCAAATCATCTGCATAGAGATGATAGGGAGAAGAAATGTTTTTGGAAATATTATCTATGAATATAGAGAAGAGTAAAGGAGAGAGGACGCCGCCTTGTGGCACCCCGGCATATGTGACATTCCAATCAGAGCAGCTCTCATCAGATTTCACCATCTGCCGACGACCGACGAGGTAAGATTGAAACCAATTAATAACAGCTGGTGATATCGAGAGGGAAGAGAGGATTCCTAATAAAATGTCGAAGTCAACTGAGTTAAAAGCGTTACTGAAGTCTAGAAGAACTAAAATGGTTAGTTCTCTGTTGTCCATAGCGTTTCGGACATCCTCTGTTACTTTCAGTAAAGCAGAACTGGTACTATGGTGGGATCGGAAACCAGATTGAAATGGGCTAAGGAGGTTATTGCGGTGCAGGTAGTCAGAAAGATGTTTATGGATAATGAGTTCAAAAGCTTTTGAAAGGATAGGGAGAATAGAGATAGGTCTAAAGTGAGATGGTAAAGTAGGGTTAGTTAGTTTGGGAAGCGGAATAATGTGAGCCGACTTCCAAGCAGTAGGAAATGTTCCAGATACCAAAGAAAAATTAAAAATATGAGTTAATACAGGTGACACAACGCTGAGTATTGGTAAGATCATGTCAACACTGATTTCATCATAACCCACTGCTTTGGAAGAAATGGATAAAAGAGATTTCTCGACATCATCTTCCGTTATTATGGGAAATGCAAAAGAGTTACCATTAGGTGGGGATGCGGAAGCAAGTTTCATTAAAGTGTAATTCTTACGAGCTGAAGGCACAGACACCGAAGGATTGGAGAAATGATTATTTAATTCATTTAAATTAATATTTTGGAAAGATTTCCACTTGGAACAATTACCCACACCCAATGAATTTAGGAAGCTCCACATTTGCGAGCTTGAAGTATTACAAATAGAGGAAAAGATATAGCGGCGCTTTGCATCCCTACACATTCTATTACAGAGATTACGCAGCTTTTTGTAGGCAGCATGGTTATCAAGCGACTGATCCTTTCTGAATTTACGTTTAGCTTTATCCCGCTTGGCCATAAAGGATTTAATTGTTGGAGTTAGCCAAGGTGCGGGATAATGCCTAACTCGTATACGTTTCATCGGAGCATGGATGTCATAAAGATTGTAAATTTCAGAATTGAAACAGTTCACTTTGTCTTCAATATTCGCAGAATTATAAAGAGGCGACCAATCTATACACAGTGCGTCAGACAAAAGGACATCAGTATTAACGCTTTTCAAGCTACGGCGAAAAATTGTACGGCGTTTACGTCTTACGGTAGGAATACTATAATTAAGGAAAATGAGGTCATGGTAAGAAAAAGGCGATGATACTTGGCCATAAGAGCGAGCATATTCAGGTTGAGATACAATTATAAGATCGAGAAGAGAAGGTCCAGCGTTTGGAGGATAGTGAGTTGCAGATAAGGGAAGGACTGAAAGGTTAAAAGATGAAATTAAAGATTTCAATCTTTCGGCTCTGTAGTCATTTTTGATAAGACAGGTGTTCAGGTCTCCCATTAGTATTAGGTGATCATAAGAAGGAGAAAACTTATCAAGAAGGGAATCTAAAGAAGGAAAGTAATTAACGTGTGAAGAAGGGCTATATAGAACACCGATCAAGAGCTTGGTATTGTGGACATCGACTTCGACAAAAAGGTACTCCAGAATGGGTTCGGAAACACATTGTGGAGACTGAGAAACACTACGAAAAGACAAGTTGTTTCGAAGGTAGATACAAATTCCTCCACCTCTTTTAAAGGTTCTGTCATTACGTAAAAGGGTAAAGTTAGGAATATTGTAAAGAGAGGAGGGGAGAGAAGGTTTCAGCCATGACTCAGAGACCAGAATGCAGTCGACACGTGTGTTGCTAAAGGATGCCAGAAGATCAGAATAATGCGCCGGAATACTCTGTGCATTAATATGTACAATGTTAAAGAAATTTAATGAATCGGGAAATAAATTATTAATTTGTAGATCGGAACAAGAAGACAGGTTATCATTATTTATACTATCATCTTTGGAGCAATCAGAAAATAAATCATTATCAATATCAATATTCAATATACTATCACACATAAGATATTAAATAAATATAAATATATAAAAAAATATTAAATCAAGAAAATATAAAAAATAATATAAAAACAAATACCTAATTACCTTAAATAAATTCAGATAAAGTTATCCTTTACATGGCTTCATAATTTAAAACAAAACAAAAAACAAATAAAATATAAACATGTACATTGTGGCAATGACAAAGATTATAGTACAAATATCCGAACATATATAGATGGAACTGTCATGTGTCACATAGAAATAACAGTATAATTGTCAACAAAATAAACACTTGAAACAAATATCACAATCCACAGTATTAACGAGAAAAGAAAGTGCCGGGAACATTATCACTTAACTTTTTGATTACGCCGAGGTCTAGAATGGTGCTCCACAAGTGATGAACCGTTAGGAAACTTCTCGATTAGTTCCTTCAGCTCACCATGAGAGACAATCTTTCTCCTTGTTTTATCTGGCAAGAGAACAACTACATTTCCATCAGAAGTCCAGCAGTTCTTAATGCCGAAATGTTTCCGTACTGCTTGAAAAACTTCCTGCCTTGGTTTCGTCAGGAATTCAGACACAGTGCAACCACTACCTTTAAGCATGGTTTTAGAGTTCCAGACAATGTGTTTTATTTTAGTACTTGAGAATTTAACAAGAATAGGACGAGGCTTGTCCTTTCTCGAACCAAGTCTGTGACAGACATCAATACTTTCAAGAACCTGTCCCGACATCTTCATGCGGTCCGATAATACCGTTTCAATGATGGAATGTGTCTCGGGGTCAGGAGCTTCATTCAGTCCGTGAAACAGTAGAATATTGTTTCTAGAAATAGCCTCGTGTTTATCAAAACCAGCTGATAAGAGTTGTAGCTGCTGCTGTAACATGGATAATGTTTTCCAAACCAATGTTTTGAAGGAGATGTATTCCGCTGATAGACTGGAGAGATCTTTGAAATGGCTTGAAGATTTAGACTGTGCAAGTTCCTTATCAAAGGAATCCATTCTGGACTGAAATACCTGAACAATTTCTTCCATGTTCCTTCTGAGTTGGGTGTGTAAATCCATTTGTGAATTTTAAAGAATAGTGATATTGTTTCTATAGAGTTAGTGAAAGCCACGTAAGTAGGACACTTATTGTTGCATTAATAAACGATTTATTGAATTTTAAAATATAAAAAACTGAGGAGCAAAAATTATACGTGTTGTCACTTTTACACCTACCCACCGAAAAAAAAGGATTTTTAGGATTTACTAAGCATTTTTTTTAAACAAGATACTTCCAACGATTCGGTTACTTGGCAAACATGATCACGAGCAGACAAGATGCAAATTAATGTCCTAATTTCAATACCTATTTAATTATTTTTTAAACATGCCAGAAAAATTTGGAACAAAAATATGACACAGGCAAAAATGAGTTTAAAAGGTATACTTATCCCTAGGAGAGAATACTCACATCTCTTTGGCGGTAGTGATGGGAAGTCAACAGCTATCTGGTCGCTATCACTCGAGTCTGAGCCGCTGTCCCGCGCCGACCGGGAGCTGGAGCCGTCCAAGGAGTCCGTGTCCTCGGCCAGACACTCCAATTCTCTCTGCATGAGGGAATCGAAGAACGCCATCATCCTGGGATCCTCGCTCGTTGATTGCTCCGCGTAGTTGTGGGACAAGTACTGTACAAGGCGTTACAAATAAAAACCATTTTTACTTGCTTAAATTCTTTGTTGTTAGGTTATAGGATAGGTATGATAAAATTTATTTCTGTTTATATAAGTTATATATAATATTGACTAGAATTGTGTTATAATAATATAAAGAAGTTTTTTTCTTGCCAACACGTAGCTATTCAGAAACTAAACATCCTGCAGGCTTATCATTAATTATCACTAAATATATTAGCCAATTACAACCTTCTAAGGACTTTTTTCTTTAGATCCCAATTTTTTTTGTGTGACGTCACCAAAATAATGTAATTCACCTGTCCGCTATGATGCACGAGTGACACATAATCCTCGTGTGTGTAAATCTCTCTAGGGTTGTCGGGACCTTGGGCCTCTTCTAGGAGAGTACCTCGCATGTCAGGGTACTCCAGGGCTGACCATAACTGCAATATTTTCCTTAAACATGATGTAGCATTCCAGATATGACTAGGATTTCACTTATAGTGGCTTGGCAAAGTGCGAAAAGCCTCACATAAAGTCAAAATGCAGATATATCTATAACATTGTAGTAAAATAAAAAAATGTGCGGTTCTATTTTTAGTTTGGGTCTTATCAGAGTTTTCAAATAATAAACTACTAATAACTAAATAATCAACTTTTTTAACATTTTTGTTTCACTTTTACTATTGGTAAAACACGAGCTGTTTTGGTTCACTAGTTATGCTTACACTATAAAATACCAATTTAGAGTAGAAGGATCCTTAAAAAAATATTATATTATAGTTACAAAAGTTGGAAATTTTAAATACAAGCAATAATCAAATTAAGAACTTATCGAGTTTAAGGCAGATTGATTTCAAATAAACCCTTGAAACTACTAAGATTCTTATTGGAAGAGTAAATTCTCCAAAGCGGTTATCCATGAGGCTTAAAAAAACTAAGTTTATAATGCAGAACTACCCTAATTATTCTTTTATCTACGATATATAAAAATCTTCACACCCACCTTAATAATCTTCTCAACTCCAGACGAAGCTATGAGACAATAGTGCGGGTTATATCGCACTTGATTCACGATAGATCTATGTCCATATAGAACTACGTGAGGCGGCTCGACTAGCATATCGTCTGGAACAAGAACACCATATAATATATTATAACTAGCTTTCAACCCGCAGCTTCGCCCGCGTGGAGTTCAGTTATATCGCATTTCCAAGAGAACCTTTCAAAAGTCTGGGATAAAAACTATCCTATGTTCTTTCTCAAGGTCAACTCTATCTCTGTACCAAATTTCATTAAAATCATTTTAGTGGCTTAGGCGTGAAAGCGTAACAGACAGACAAACAGACAGACAGAGTTACTTTCGCATTTATAATATTAGTAGGGATTAATTATTGTATAGCAAATCATGTTAATGTTTTATCGACTCACTACAACCGCCACCCGTGTCAGGTATCTTCCACATATACAAGTTAAAATCATCTGATCCTGATAGCACGAACTGATCGTTCTTGCCAGCAAAGCAACAGCTCTTCATTGTACAGGAATTGTAGTAATCTTGATGGAAGAACTCCGCCAAGGGTTCTGGAGAGTGAACGGCGTAAAGTACGGGAGGCAGGCGACGCCGCAGGGCGACTATATGCGTCCCTAAATGGTTGAAACACACACTCATGCCATTCTGAGTAGATCCTTTGCTACCAACGTAGCGAATTACTGGACTGTAACAGAAATATGACTATATTTAATTAAAAATGACACCAAAAAGTTTTCATATAAAGAAAAATGACTTAGATTAAAACAAAGAATTAATATTTCGAATGGCTTACTGTTTTGGAGATCGCAGGTCCCATAGAGCTACACCGTTTCTCTCATTAGCGGAAACAAGCATGCTCACTTGCTGCGGGTGATACATAACACCATGAAAAGCTTTCCTACTACGAGAAACGACCAAGGACTCTGAAATAAACGCATTAGTATGAAAAACATTACAATTTTATACTTAAAACATTTTTATACACCCACCATGTACAGATTGCCGGGTATCAAATAATAATAGCCGGCCATCATTCCCAGCGGTGGCAACAACCTGCTCATTGAAAGGGTCTATACTGAGGCTTGAGACAGCACGTTGATGCTGAAGAACTTCTAGAGGACTCTTGCTCTCTAGGTCATGAACTATCACCTTAAATGTTAAATTATTATTATTTCTTGTATTATATCAGAAAATAAATAATATAGGAATTTTTCTTTGATTGGTTTTCTATGATTATTATTTTACTTTTGTCCAGTAGATTCGATTTGTAAATGTATTTTTTTAGATACACCTAAAACAAAAACTTCTCATAATAAAACATTAGGGTCCAAAGGCTTCTGAACATTTTGTTGCAAAAATTTGAGGCTGTATAAATATTTTACAATTTTACAGTCATATGATTGAAATATTTTCCAAAATGTACAATTTGGAAAATTTATGTATTAGAAAATTACCTACTATATAGCCCAACCTACTTATCATTACAAGATACTAAAAAATTTTGTGAATAAATATAAAATATATGATTTAGGGAGGTTGAATTTTTATAAACAATTTTTTGGTAACATTGATATTATCAATGAGACAGACTCGGTATGATTTCTATTTTAAAAAATCTATTTGTGCACTATGTTGTTTTGTTAAATGACCGCCACTCTCCAAATTGTGTCTGGACTTCTAAATAAAGATATGGGAAAAGAAAAGGAATGGGGCAATTTTTGAGAATTCCTCAAAAGCCTACCAAATAATGTCTACTTTCTTCTATCATGATTAATATTTTAACTGTGCAAAGTTAAACAAATACCTCATTCACACATTTATAATGTTAATAAGATTCTTATTAGAAAATAAATTTAAGACTCACCCTATCATCATTTCCACCGGAGAATATCTTCTGATTATCAGAAGTTATACCTAAACAAAAGATGTTTGATAGATGCAGTGCCTTCATGGATTCAGGCTTCCCATAATTGAGGACTGCCTGTCCAAACTGCCATAACATAACTCTTCTATCATCTCCTCCTAAAATTTATAAACACTATTATAATATTTAATCTCCTAGTCATAATATAAAACTTCAGTATCTAACATAACATTTAAAGTTCTTTGTTTAATAATTTTTATTGTTTCTATTTCAATTTTTTTTTTTTCAAATATTCATTTGAAGAAAATGTTTGTTCAATGGCAATATATATACGCAAGCAATTTTCGACTTTATAAGGTTAAAATAGTATCTAAAATGGCGTCGCATAATGTTTTCTATTACACACCCATCATTTTCTTATCAATCGGTGATAAAAATATAGTATAAAAACAATACAACGTGAACTTAATTTTTAGCTATTATAAAGTGCAATTATGCATTGCTAGACATAATTTACACTATTAAAGTAATAATTGCGTGTATTTAAATAATTTTACCTGATACGAGCAATTCGCCATTGTATGAAAACTCAATTGCGTTAACACATCCGAAATGACAAACTAAATCACGACGGTATAAATTTTTAGAAGCGTTTAGCCGTTTATTAAATAAATGTGTCTTAAGATCACATAAAAGTCCACTTTCTCTCTTGGTAATATATGGTAAAGGATTCGCAATATTCGCCATGTTTAAAGCGATACTAAAATTTCCTTCACTTGACGATCAGCTGTATTTTATTTTAAAAACATTAAACGTTCCATTTTGTATATTGCTAGAAAACGCATACAGTTCCTAAACTACCATGATACAGTGGGAGTATATTATAGAGATGTAAATTCATATATATGTTCAATCATTAGCAATATTTTTTTATATAAAACGTCTGATTTGTTTCTGTGAGTTATTTTTTTTTCATATTCAATATGAAATATATCCAATCGATTTAAAAATTTTGCGTAAACAGAAATGAAACTTTAAATAGTTGAAGTGTTGAAACATCAAGCACGGTGCCTAGATGTCAAACAATACAAAACACGTGCGGGAGCATTTTTAGTGTTTTATGTATTATTTTATTAATTAATACAATCAAAATAAAGTTCCCTTAACAATATATTCTTTCCATTTAAAAGTGAAAAAAATATAAAGTTGACGTAGAGGTATGGTCGTAGTAATGGAAAAACCTACACTCAAAGTTTCTGGTAATTATAAATAAAAATTACCCATTAATATAAATTAATGAATCAATATAATAATACAAATGTTCTTATTTTAGTCTCTAATAGCGATTCATCCTCGAGTGAGGATGGAGATGAATCCGATTTTGAAGATCAGGATTCGGGAGCGGACCAAGAGGGTGAAGATGGAAATAATACAGACGACGAATTGATAATAAAAAATGAAGGGTGGGCGGATTCCATATCAAAAATTTTAGGTTCCAATAAACCTAAAAACAAGAAAACTTTAGTATTATCCCGAGCAAAGAAATTAGCTGATGTTGTTATCAAACCAAAAGAAGAAAAACCTACTTTTGAGGTTATTGGAGAAGAAGTAAAAGAAGATAAGCCAGATATTAAAAAAGATGACACAAGTGTTTCAGAGCCACCGCCTAAAAAGAAGGTAATTTTCATTTTATCACTTGCCCTTAATAGAATTTATCATATTTTTACAATTTTATAACTTTTTAGAGACATGAAAAATCAACAGTTCGAGTTAAACCAAATATACTAGAAAAAGACAGAGAGAGACTCTTATCCAAAATAGCCACAAAAGGTGTTGTACAATTATTTAATGCTGTGAGAAATCAACAAAAAACTTTTGATAGAGAAATGAGTAAAGATATACCAGAAGGTAAGAAAGAGAAAATTATGAAGAAATTTGACAAACGGGCGTTCTTAGATACACTGATGGGACAGACAAAGTCTTTAAATGTTGAGGAACAAACAAAAGCAAAGGATGAGGTTAAAGATGAAACTGATAAACCAAAATGGAACGCTCTGAGGTAATTATTTCATGAGTATATTAACTGAAATAATCTTTTATTCTGTCATTTAATTAGTAATATTTCTCTATTATACTAGAAAACCTTCACATTGTTGACATTAGTGAAAATTTATACTAAACATTGCAATCTTTATTTACAGGGACGATTTCATGATGGGAGCAAAAATGAAAGATTGGGATAAAGAATCAGTAGATGAATAAATACTTAAATTTTATATACATAAGGTTTTTTATTGTTTAATGTACATAAAACCAATGGAAATCGCCTCTTATTTTATAAACATAGTATAGTTGTCATTTCCATGGAATTGTTGGGCTATTTGTTTGGGAAGTGTCGTGTAAATTTTAACTGGAAGATTCCAGACCATAGTTTCTATTGGCACATTGAGTGGTGCATTCCAATCTTTGTCCTCGGGATTGGGCAATAGCTTGTCTTGGCTTAGCACAAATTCAAAATGTAGGCGCCAATTCAAAGATACTGCAAAAAATATAAAAATTACATTACAAAACAGAAAACAACAGTAAAAACCTATTATCACATTGAAATATTTCTTAAAGCTAATATTTAATTATAATTTAATTCATTTTCCTATTTAGCCATTTCTCTATCACTTCATTAACTCTCCATTAACGACAAGAGGTCTAGTTAAAGTCAAAAAAACGTTTCACAGATATACCAGAAGAAACAGACAGGCTATCATTTCAAAAATTAAAGATATCTAAGATTTTGAGAATATCCATTTAAAATTATAGTATTTTTTGCGAAAGTGACTATGCAATTGTATTATAGTGTCTCTGACACTTTCATTTTGAGTGCTAGAGACCATTATTGCTGTACTTGAAAAATAAAGAAAATGACAATTATAAAATATCCAAAAAGATATACATATATGTTTTTTTTATACAAGTACACAAGAAATTATTATATAAATTTTTGTATATAAACCAGAAAAATTTTATATGAAGAAATAATTTACCCTCATCAATTTCGAAGGCTGGAGTTATATGTAGTGGTATGGGTAAGATAAGCTGTGAGTGTGTAAGTCCCAGAGTGACCTCATGATACCTTGCAACTGTCATTGATCTACTACTGGTTTCTTTGTTGACATTCTTTAAAGGCGTCTTAGATTTCAGCACTTCTTCAGGTTGTAGTGACACTGACACCTAAAAATTTGCTTTTTAACATGATTTGTTCTCATATAAAATGTAATAATTCTGTTACTTTAAAAGGCTATTCTTCTGGTTATCAAAAATATTAATATAATTTTTACCTGCATGCAAGTTATAGTTCCTACAGAGAAATCAAATGTACCAACAATATCTTCACCTAATCTGTATGCAGATTTGAATAAACAGAAACGACCTACTTTCCCCTTGCCGTTGGTTATCATGTATGAGTTTGGACTTCTTCGGGCTGTTAAATTCTGAAATGAATAACCTCAATATACTTTTGTACGATTTCTGTATAAAAAACTTTGAGCATATGTGAAATCTGGGTATGTTTTAAAATATTTCTACATTCAGAATAATAAAAATAAAATCAAAATAAAAATTACCTGCAAAATTTGTAATGCCATAGTCAGATGAGTTTCAACTTTCCTACCTTCTGAAAATGGACTAGTCGGTTGAAGTATGTCGGTAGTTTCACATAAAGCAGGGAGGTCTTGCAAGTTCATAATAGGACTGATAGGTAAAACTCTAAATGGTAGTCGGACCATTTTGATATGGGATCCGACTTTCTGTGTTGCTATTGTGATCTTATAGGAGTATTTAACTGCTGTGCCTCTATATGATGGAGGTGCTTCTAATGGCAGGGTTTCTCGATACAAAACTGAAATAATTGAAACAGTGAATATTAATAACATATATTTATTATAGAAAAATAGTATATTCAGATTTTATGTTTCTATGTATATAAAATAAACTTACAAGTCTTTGTTTCTCCAAGTGGTATAGTTAAGTCACAAAACAAAATCTTGGGCTTAGTATGAAATACCACATCTCCTATGTCACATGAGGTTACTTCGAGAGCAGTTGTTTTTTCTGCAACAACATTTTTGTCGGTGGTATTTTTTGATGTTGAAAAGAAACAATGTATCTGAGCGGAGGCCCATGCCAAATTTTCCAGGATATCACTGACAAATAACAAACAAATTGTATAAAAAAACAACAAACGAAAGGATTATTACAACCATATAATATTACCTATGGCTTTGTGATTTTCTATGTTCAGGTTGAGTTGTGTGACAAAAAGATATACGACATTCTAAAGCCTCTCCAGCTAAATATACACTGCCGGTGGTGAGTTTGGCTGAGAGCTCAATCATAATTAACGTCAATTCTTAGATCAAATAAACTATGTACTAAGGAATGTCTTATAAAACCATTAAACCAAAATTGAAATTATTATAGAACCATTAACCCAAAATATTGTTGAATATCATTCAAAAATCACGAATTACTATATGTTTGACATCAGAACTAAATTCTAGTAACATTTTTTATAATTTTAGCCATTTAATTATCAATATTTATAATTCAGGTGATGACAAACAGAATTCTGTCAAATTGTATACGTTACCGTTCCTATTCTAAAGGTTAATTAAATATAATATTTGAAAATTTCAGTTTATTTTAATTTATCATAAATATAATTCAATTAATTAGGTTACTGAAATATAATATATAATATATTTGTTTAAGCTATTATAATTTTACAGATAAACGGAACGTATTTCCTAACGACATATTTTAATTTAAAACTTTGATGGAGGAATTTGACTGGTTTCCGCATTTAATGTATTGTTAGGACAATACACAACAAAGTAAACGAAATGTTAATATCAGACGGTATAAATCATGGTAAATTACAATCAATTATAGTTGGAGAGTTAAAGAAAGCAGGATTAAAGCATCGTTTCAAGAAAATAATATTAAAAAATGTCAAAGTAAGTGTAATGTGAAAGAGTGTACTATTTGTCATGATTTATTTTATTAAATGTGTGTATTTCTAAACAGGATCATAAAACAGTGTTTGGTGCTCCTCTGGTAAAAGTTCCATCATGCAGTGTAATTTGTTGCGGTAGTACTTTAAGCATACCTAATGTAGTAAGTGAAATGTCTTCAGTTCTTAGAGCTAATGCTCACGTTGAAGGACTGTTCCGTAAGGCTGGATCTCAAACTCGTCAAAAGGATATAAAGGTAGAGACTTTTTCTAAGTTTATAGAATGTTCGTAAAATCAATAGTTTCCATAATATTGCGGAATCCATTTAAAATAGAAAAATATATATGTATAGCTAAAATTATCAATTCCAGAGACTTCTCGATGCTGGGGGTTGCGTGTCAGAAGGTCATCATCCCATTGATGTTGCAAGTGTTTTGAAACTTTATCTTAGATGTCTACCGGAACCCTTAATTAGTGCTGAAGTTCAGGACTTACTGCTAAGATGTAGACTCACGGCTGGTGATGATGGATTAAAGCCAATATTAAATACATTACTGTTGCTTCCAGTGTTGCATGTTCATCTCTTGCACTACATTATGGAGGTAAGCTTAAGGAATTTGCATTATTAGTGCACTTTTATTAAGAAGTATTGAATAAATAAGTTTTCACACTGTTATTGCGACTGTATAATATATTCTTGATTAAGAGTAATAAGCAGAAATGCATACTTAAAAAAACTTTAACTAGGAATTAAAGTTAGTAATATTTTTTTTCAGTTGCTGAATTTTATAGCTTTGCGACATAAAGACAATCTTATGGATGCCTCAAATTTGGCAATAGTACTGGCTCCTAGTATAATGCCATTACCAGCTACCTCTTCAACACAACGCCTGGAACATCATGTTGCTTTAGTCAAGGTAATATAACAACACAGAATGTATTTAAGTAACACTAGTATTATACAACTTTTGTAGGTGGTAGAGCCTAGCTGTGGTCAAACATGGGCTGGCTCGACCGGGGAAGTACCACCCTCTCACAGAAGATTGGTGTGAAGTAGCTTTTAGTGGCTGCATTTCGTCTGATAAGTGAGAGAGCCGGTTGCCTTTTACCTATTCCCAGCCTTTCCTGCTATTTCCCTATTCCTACCCCTCCCTTTTCCTTAACAATCAAGGTTGGCAACACATCCGCAACATCTATATTGCAGATATCTATGGGCAATGGTCATTACTGCCCATCAAGTAGGCCGTCTGCTGATTTGCAACCTTTGACAAAAAAAAAAACAACTGAATTTATATTTCTTATAAAAATGCACTGATTTTAGTTATGTAAGCAAAACATTTCACTAGTTAAAGTAATTTCTTTGTTTTTTGTTTAGATATTTATTGAAAATGCACAGTATATTGGACTATTATCAGATGATATTATGACCAAACTGGATGATGACTCGGATGTTGGTCAGTCAAGGCGAAAAAAGAGAAGAAGTGGATCTCTTAATAGTAAGCATTTATTACAAATTATATCATCAAATAAATATACACGAGAATATTCATCAATTAATGTATTGCAGGAATGCTTAGCGGTTTGCGTAAGATGGTATCGGGGAATGTAACTACACCTGCACCAGTAAGGGAAAACTCTAAAACACCTGTACTCAGTAAATCAGCTGCAAAAAGAAAGTTTGATTCTTATGAGGGTCTGTCTGTTAAAAGAAAGTAAGTGTTATATTTTCTGTATTAATATTAAATTAAACTTTCAACATATGATGCTTAGTAATATATTTTTATCTTGCAGGAAAGATATAACAAACAAGCTACCCCAGAAAGAATTATCATTTACGCCAATCAAAATGTAAGTTTTTATATATAATTCTTTTCACCATACAATCTTTTTATTGTATTTTAAATGAATATATCAATGTTTCCAGGGGTGTGACTGAGAGGAAAAGACTGCGACTCAGCATGATGGATGCAAGAAGCACTCCTGTTATTAATGCAGAATTTAAATCACGTAAGAATTCCGAAACAAGCATAAGCAGTGAAGATATGTTGACGTCCTCAGAGAATTTATTCAGTGCTCATGATACCATAGATCTATCACCTGATATGAAAATAATAGATAAAGATTATGTGAGAATATCTAAACAAGAATACGAAGAAATCAAGAGCAGAGTGTCTGCAATTGAAAATAGATTGTCAAGAGAATTTACAGATGTCATACCTAGAGTGCAACCTTTACAACAAGTTCAAAATGTTTATGAACAAACTTTAGAAGAGGTGGCGATGCTGAATTGTCCAAACTCGGAACACTTGGCTCGTCGTCTCAGTAAAGAACTGAAGATTAGACCAAAGGAGGAGGCCAAAATTATACGGTCGCCTAGCGCTAGAAAAATCGGTTCAATACGACGCCGATCCAAAGAAAACTTAACTAAAATTGTTAGGCACAAATCTTGGAATGCCTCCTCGCATTCACAAGCTAGTCAGTTCGGAGACAGGTTTTATCCTTACGTTGGTATTGCATGCAGGGAACGATCGAATGCAGTAAAAACAAATCAAATACTTCCAAAGACTAATAGTTCATCCGAATGGAATGTTTCAATGAATGAAAATTCCATTAACGTTACTGATGCTAGTCAAAAATATCATCAACGCAAACGTATCAGTCTCATTCCCGATTTTGGTTTGAATAAAACTATTTCAAAGACCCAAGCGCGCCGGTCTCTTAACATAACTATGAATTCTACCTATGATGGAACATGTTCGGATAATTCCACCAATAATTCTTTGAACTCCAATGAAAAGTCAGGAAATTCTTCACAGTTCCAGTGTTACCAAAACATCAATGTTAAAAGAACGAAACCGGATTGCAAAGAAAATTTAACAAACTCGCACCAAAAGTGGAGAAATGCAGCGGCATTTTTTATGAACAAAACCGGAGAATTAGATTCCAGCGGTCCGAGCGGTCGTCCTTCGGTGAATAAACTACGCCGTCAGAACGCAGGAGCTGTTATGGCTAAAGCTAAACTTTTTGAATCATCTAGTTCCGATAAATCATCCGATTTGGCAGACAAGGCAGTACATACAGGCTTTGCAAGAAAGCCAAGAGTGAACCAACAGACTAAGACACAAAAACCTTGGGCGCAAACTAAATCAAGACTTCAGGCTTATGACCAAGCAGGATCATATAATTGTAACTCAAACATCAAAACCTACCGTTCGCCGCTTACTCAAAAAGAAGACATGGTTAATTTGCGCACAAATAGAAAAACTACACCAACTAAGAAAGTGGTATCTCCACAATCCAATATGTTAATAAAGACGCCTCAACCTCCTGCCTTGAAAAAGCCTTTGTGTACTCCTAGAAGCTTGAAAACGCCAGTTTCTCATGATACGAGGAAAGTTAACACACCTATGAGAGCAGTTCATATTTCACCAAGGAGATCTCCTCGCCAGAAGTTACATCGTCAATGAATCACTATATTATTTTTATTTGTAACCTAAACTTGTTATTTCTATAAATTCTAACGGTCCCAGTACTTATTTTTATAGTTAGGTATTAAATCATGTTTAAACAATAAAACCGTGTAAATAAATTAGATAATCAATTTCAATTGTTTGTATTTATACAATGTAGGTTCTACTATTGTTAGAAGTTAGATGAAATAAAATTACTTTTACTATGAACATTAGTTATTTTTAATTAAAAGACTAGATCTCCTACATTTTTAATAGCATGCCGATTGTAAAAGAAATGATGTCTAAATAGTCATAATTTGTGAAATTAATATTGGTTCTTTTACCAACTATTTATTAAATAGGGTTCAAAGTTAGTTTGGAACCTATCTAGAATTAATTATATACACTACCGACAAAAAGTTTGGAAGCACCTGTATTGTTTAGTAAAAAGATATACCAAATGATAATAACTAATTTTATCTATGTTTTAATATATGTAATATCATGTTATTTTAAACAATTTTACTGCATGTAAAAATAATCGTAGTGGTCTTTTTTAAATCATTTTTTGTAAAAATAACAAAAACACAATTAATACTATAACTCTGTGAAATTTGCTGAGCACCTTTATTTTTTTATGCGTCGTGGTTTACAGTTTGTAGTCGGTATTTATTTTAAAGGGTGTTAAGGATAGTGGTTAATTATTTCTATGCAATTTAATAGAATTTTTGTTATTTTAACAGCTTTTTTTTAAAACTACCAATAACTTCAGTATTTTGTGTATAAAATGGGAAAAGGAAAACAGTTACCAATTGGAACACGTTCGGCTATTATTGTTTTAAGTAATGAAGGCTATTCGGAAAGAGAAAAATCTTGATATATCACCTAAAGGTGTTCATTATACACTTGCGAGACACCGCGAAACTGGTAGTTTGAGGGATAGAAAACGGAGTGGAAGACGAAAAGTTACTTCTGCAGCAGAAGATAAGTTTATAGTAACAACTTCAAAGCGTAATCGTCGATTTACAGCACCGGAAATTACTCGGGAGTTGAATAATTAATAAAAAAACCATTACTAGGAGCAATACATAAATAAAAACGACTGCAATGGGCAAAACAGAGTGAACATTGGTCAGTGGAAAACTGTACTATGGACGGATGAATCAAAATTTCAAATTTTTGGGTCTAATAGTCTTTGTCCGCCACAGATCCCATGAAAGAGTATCTGAAGACTGTTTAGTATCATCGGTAAAAAACAGTGGTGGCAACGTTCTAGTCTCACTGTTTTGCTGGAACCGTTCTCGAAGATTTTGTTAAAAATGATGGGATCATAAGGAAAGAGCAGTATTTGCAAATATTAAGGGATCACGCTGTGCCCAAATATTAAAGGATCATATTGTTGGTGAACCATTCGTATTTCAACAAGATAATGATCCCAAGCACTCAGCAAGAGTATGTAAAACCTTTTTAAAAGAACAGGAATCGAGAAGTATTCTTGAATTAATGGTGTGGCCCCCGCAATCACCAGACCTATACCTTATTGAAAAATTATGGCATGAATCGAATCGAAAAGCTGAATAACGTTTGCCACAGAGTGCCAGAGCACTGTGGCAATATCTACAAGAAGCTTGGAAAGAAATTAGTCCCGAATACTTAAATAAATTATTGGAGAGAATGCCTAGAACCTGCCAAGCTGTTATAAAGGCAAAGGGTAGTCATATAGACGAAAATAAATTACAAATTAATTTTGTGATTAATAAATAAGAATTTGATTTTATATTGTAGTTTGACTGGTGTTTTATCAATTACCTAATAATTCTCAATCAAATAATACATATATCTCGGCTTATTTTTAAAATAGTAAGGAGCATTGGAAGGATGTACTCCCAAAGTTTTTGTCGGTAGTGTATCTAGGTATATTTATTTTTATATTATCACTTATGTGGAAAGAATTTTAAGATGATAAGTACTTTTTAAATGTACATTTGATAAGAAAATCTCTTTTTAAATATTATATCAAAACTATTTCATATTGAATAGTATTTCAGCTAAATGTTTAAAGTAGCATTCATAAGTCTTAAACAATGATTATTTTTAATAAGGATTGTAGATGTTAAGTGTCAGTGGTAATACATAAGCTTTTTGGATTTTTATACTTTTATTGATTTTTCTATAGTAGGTGGGTGTAAAAAAATTAAATATCAAATTATAATATTATATGATGTATATCACGGCTTTTACAGTGGTATTTTCAGGTATAAACAAAATATTATCCAGATTTTAATTTAATAAATAAGAAACATACTGACAATTCAATAAATAACAATTTCACATTCAATTCAATTATATAAAGCATCGGAGCCACAATAATTTTGTTTAAGTGTTACAATAATAAGTCTTATTATTTCTGTATGCGGTCAACTAAATTATTTTCTCTTACACATTTAGCGATGATCACAGATTGAGGATTATAAAAAAGCAGATTCAGAACATACCGTGCTATGGAGACGATTTAACAATTAATTGGAAACTTGCAGTGATTACTGAGTAATTTTAGATTTTTCATTATAGCTTAACGGCTAACTTATCACTATCAGCACTCCGCCCTTCCGTTTCCTAAACATTGCTTGTCGATCGTTATCAATACCACATTTAAATTAACAATATAATAAAATATCAATTGTACCTAAGATCTTTTCCAATTAAATACTCACATCCGCTCTTAATTTGCATTTTATTATACACTAACGGGGGCCGCTCGCTACTTCGTGTATCAGGACTATAGCTCATAGGCGACGGCTACAAGCGGCGGCGCGACTCCATCCTGAGCTTCACGTACATTATTTATAATATAATTAAACATACATGGTTGTGATCAATAATAAAAATATAATGATACAAATACATTAATTACTACTTTTCGATTATTGTGAGACATAAATATTTACAAAGCGCATTCATTAGGAGCGCCAAAAGAGTTAGGCGATGCCGACTCTATAACTAGATAAGAGATTGTTGCGCGACACAGCCGCCAGCGACTGCCGGCCGGCTACCCTCCCCCCACTGACTAAATCTAAACTGGTACAATTATCTTTATTAACTAAAACGCGAGAAATCGACCAGGTAAGCTAAAGAATAAGTTGCTCCATTAAAAACATATATAAAATTAAAACGTACCGTCAATAGTTAAAAAATACTTAGCTATTTATATTACAAGAGCTAACCCGATGTCACAGTCGCTGGTTAAATACAGTTACATACAAACGTACAATCCAAACGACATCGACTCGAATACATTCCGATCGAAAATAAAATGATTACCGTCATTTGATTACACATCTATAACATGAGACATTATCAATAAGGGCCGCTATCAGAATACCTTATGAAACAAATGATTATTCTATATATTAACAACACGAAACGAGAACTCGATGATTACAATTTCGGGAATGCATGATACTACACGACATATACATTAAGTACGGATGATAAAAACGTCACTACGTTACATATAAGGTGTCGTCTACATGTGACGATTAAAATAACGATCTCACAGCAGCGATTCATAGATGGCGGATTAGGTAATAAAAATAGTTGTGTGGGGGTGTCTCGTGGGGCGGCGGGGTTGGTAGTTCGGTTCAGTTGACCATTAGCGTATGAGACTCCATCGGCGCGGCGGAATCGTACAGTGTGTCTGTGTCCTGGGTCGGCTCGCCCTGCAACTGGCACTGGTTGGACAGAGTCCCGGCGCCGCAGTCGCAGAAAAATCTAGAACAAATTAATATATATTATTAATCTAATAAAAATAATCATAATACACTGCTAACGTGTAACGATACTGTTAATTAGATAGTACTTTTATAGCAGTTTCAAATCAATTTGTATTCTCACCATATTGGTGTATACTATTCTTAAATCTTAATATAAAACGTCATGAAAATAATATTAACTACGACTTTCTGTTAGCAGTAACACAATTTATATTAACTGAATAACAATACATTAAAATCAATTTTATATATACTTAGTTATTAGTATACAATTCTATAATTAAGATGACATTGTTTCGAGTTGATTTAAGGTAAAATATTAATTACTACAATATTTATTTTCTAAGTACACTAAAAACACAACTTGACTGTGTAAAATTGTTCTCATTTCTATCATTTACGGTCTTAATATATGCTAACGGAGTAATTTATTAAAACAATGACATTTATTTTTTATACTACTAACCTGTCATGGCGTATAAATTCCACGTCATGTCCAGAATGGCATGTCTTGATGCAGTTGACACATATGGCATTACGATCAGTCGTGTTACATGTCTGGCATCTGAAAGACGAAGAAGGATTTAGTTAACCGGAACATATGAAAGATTCTGTTTTACAAATACATATTATAACAGTTAGTTTGTGTGTATGGATATTTATTCTGTCGTATTCAAAATACACTAAGCCGATTTTAATGAAATTTTCCAATAATATAGTTTAGATCAGAGTAACATACGGACAGAAAAGTTTCGAATGGGAACACATCAAAGCATTTGCATATAGTATGAAATAATCTGACACAGAAAAAATGTAACTGACGATTGGTTTACAATTAAGATACTCTATTTAAGTAATACTTTATTAATGTTTCTTTGATCATAATACCAAAGACACATTTAATATATAAGACTTTAAGTATAACATAGTTTTAGTAGCAATATCCTACTAATATTATAATTGCGAAAGTTTATGAGTGTGTGTGTATGTTTGTTACTTCTTCACGCTCAAACGGCTGAACCGATTTTGATAAAATGTTGTATACAGGAAGCTGACGTTCAGGAATAACACATAGGCTACTTTACATCCCGGAAATCCGGGGGTAACACCGCGGGGCGCAGCTAGTAGTAGATAACTCACCTGTAGAAATCATGCATCGGGAAGGAGGTATAGGAGGATATCTTGTACAAGCACTGTCCGCCGCCGACAGCCTTCTCTACAGCGTCTTGGTTGCTGAAGATCTTGTTGCCCCGCACCAGCGGCGACACGCCCGACGCTAAACACAATCCTGGAGACACGGCATATATTCATTTAATATTGGTTAAAGCATTACTGCAGCTACACTACGTTTGAGAAAAACTCTTGGCTAATTTCTTTTGTAATTAAATATAGAAGATAATGAGATCTAAGAATTTCGCGTGTTCAAATGAAATTTAATGTTCATTTAAATAAATGGAAGTAATATTTTTGGATTACTCCGCAATGAAAAATGTCACTTTCATATCGTCTGCCCGTAAACACGACTGCTGCAAAGTAACCGATACATTGGGAATATGTAGTTCAACATAATTTAAAAAGCGTATTAATCAGAATTTTTTTTAAGTCAAGAAGATGACAAAAAAATGAAAATACTAATAAACACTTATTAGCAGCCGCAAGTAGTTTATTTTGCTTTATGATCAAGGTGTTATCTTGATTATCTAATAGATTGTTTATTTATTTTAATTTGTTTATAAAATTAAATCTCCCTAGAACTGGCAAGTTATTATGAAAATACCTGTTTAGTGAATATTGTAGAAAAAAAATTTTTTCATTGCTTCAACATCAAGTTTACTTGTTTGCTTAATTAGTAAACATATTTTATATTAATTATTTTAACAACATAATTTATATACAATATAATAAAGAGATTACATTGTAATGATTTTTATCAACTTGATGGTTACACATAGGTTTAGATAGGTTTAGAGATGATTTATTTCCCATTAAGAACAAAGTTCACTTACATAGGAAACTTAAACTAGCAACAAAACAATAAACATTCATAAAGTTAATGGTGACCTTATTTATACAAACATTCAAACACAATTACAAAGTTTGACAGTACGTTTTCATTCAGCCTTAAATTTCAAAAAAAGATTTGTCGTTAAATACTTCTTTCGGCAGATCACTGTACATCAGCGCTCCCTCAAACTGTATAGTCCCGTTACCACAATGTTTAGATCTAGACTTAGGTATTTGTAATTTATGTATATATTTTTTTTTAATGATGCATTATAATTCGTCAATTTTGCCCAATTTGACTAAACTTCTAATATTCGCATAAAAGAATTTTAAAGAAGAGGAGGTCACATAAATATGTTAATTAGTGTTTCAAGGGATTTTATAAATACATGAGTGTTTTAAAGTATTTTATAAGAAAAAATATGACGTTTGACAAACACGTGATTGCCAGAAGTAAAAATTACTAAGGACATATTAAGAAACTGAAAGTTATTATATACAGTTAATTAATTTTTTTTTATACTCTTACATAATCACACCTTGTGATATCTGTTATTAAAGATAATGAAAGCAATCCCTTCAATACAATTCAAGGACTCTATATAATTTGTATGAGAACTAAGTTTATTATAAAAGTAATGCTCACCTCCAAACCGATTATTAAATATCTGATTGTGTTCGAGAGTCGCCGTAGCATTGTTTGTTATCTCGACGCCAGCGGCCAGGCCGTCGAAGATTCTATTCCTACGGAGTACAGGGTGACTCTGTGTGGAGATTAACACGCCGGCCTGAGCGTTCCGAAAAATGTCATTCTCTTCTAACACACCCTGTATAAAAGGCACATTGATTAAAATAGAATATTTAAATGTAAAAATATATTACTATCATATAATAGTATTGCTGGGCTTAGAATGTTGAGGATAAAGAAGACACTAACTAGTTTCGATTTATTTCAGAGAGAGTACATAAGACACACTGATTTACATATGCAATGATTCGACTTTTATAAATGATTTATATCAAAGAATATGAGATAAACAGATGTGACACATTTTGGACAAAGAATATGTAACTTACTAACTGTTTACTTTAATACCTATGTGCGTATACGGCACAAAGGTATAGAAAACATATTTATATACATATTTATTGTGTCTGCATACCTTTCCTCCATTAAAAATGCAGATGCCACCGTCTCTGCCATCGAAGATCTTGTTCCTCTTTAATGTTGGATTTGAATCAGTCTTTATCCACACCCCGGCCATCGCGTTATCGAATATTTCGTTCTGTTCCAGCAGCCCGAGCCCTCCATTGTACACTAATACTCCCCCGTTCTGTCCGCCCCATATTTTGTTCCCTCGTATCACGGGGTTGCTGCCGGTCCTAATCTGTACTCCGGAGTACAGGTGGTTGAATATATCATTGTCTTCCAACTTCCCGTGGCCGTTGTCATAAAAATATACGCCGACCTGAAACATTAGTTATGTAATGTTATCATAAAAACGTCTTACAAAAACCAGATAAAGGGAAGAGTACTTTCACTGGGAATATACTGATAAATTTTGGACTATATCACTCAAGGTTCATGAGTAATATGATAAAGGAAGCCGATTTTGTTGAGTTTTTTTAAAGAGATTCATCCCTGACCACAAATATTAACATTAATCAATACCAATATAAACTGGGTTTTAGATTTAATAGCTCAATTCAAATCTACAGTAAGGTCTAGTAATTGTCATAAAAACTAATTTTAACAGTTATATGTTAAAAAAACACTTCAGAGATAATTTAAGACCTTAAACGATCAATAACCCTTTATTCAAGTGTAAAATTAATGACATGGAAAAACATATGAAATGTCGCAAATATTAAAAATCCCTTTTTAAATTGTGACTGAATGTACGATATTAAGGTTTGTCAATTCATGCCGCAACATATGTTCCATATGTGATGTGATGTTAGAATTCAAAATTTCGGATAGTATGTAGATAAAAAAAATACAGAGAATACAGAGAAACATAAAGATAATACAGAAAGTACATAGATGGAACTGTATTATTAATATTTCAAAATATGAAGGACACTCAAAAACATGCATATTAGAAGATGTCATGAAATGCAAGCATTTAATTAACGGCTAAAATAAGTAAAAGTACATACATTTAAAAGCTACCCTTAGCAACATTAGTCTTTTAACTATAATCTTCTTCTTCCTGGCAATTTCCCAGCTTTAACCAGGGTCTACCTTAGTCTATGAACTATATATGTATATGTAGGTTACGGACCTGTTTCCCCGAATGTATACGGTTGCGGCGCAGCACGGGCGTGGAGCCGGTCGTGATCCACACGCCGGCCAGTGTGTTCGCGTACACCTCGTTCTCCTCGATCAGCCCCTGGCCCTTCTCGTGCACGTATATCCCGCCGTGCTGACCGTGGTGGATCTTATTGTGCCTCACTATAGGATCACTGTTTGTGCGAATCTAAAACATCATTATTTCTAATGATATAATATTTAAATACGTTTATAACATCTAAATTATTACGTGTGAATTAAACCAAAAATATATATAAATGATAAGATAACTATAGTATTATGAATGACATATAAAAACAAACCTGTATTCCGGCCAAGGCGTTCCCATATATATTATTGTGTTCAATAAGTCCGCGCCCCTCCCCGAATATATAAACTCCGCCCTGGTGTCCGTTGTATATTTCGTTGCGTCGTATGGTGGGGTTGCTGTTTGAGGTGATCCAGACGCCGGCGAAGTTGTTTGAGTGTATCTTATTATCTATGAACTGCCCCAGTCCTGACTCGTGAACGTAGATACCGCCCGTTTGACCGTGATGTATCTCGCAGTGAACCACCGTAGGATTGGCGCCGGCCTTCACTTCGAAACCGGCGATTCTGTTGTTGTGGATGTCGTTGGCTTCGAAGTATCCCTGGAATGTTCAATATTATTACATTTCTAGTATTAATCATATAATGTATATCAGGGTTTCTTAAAGTGTGGTCCACGGACCCCTTAGGGGTCCGTAGCAGGTGTATCAGGGGTCCGTAGGAGGTGAGTTTGCAAAAATATTTTTCAAAAAATTGTGTGGTGTGGGGCGCGGGCCCGGACTACAAGCTAGCGCGATGAGTCTTTGGCTTTGACCGTTATTGCGCAGAAATCAAAAATTGGGTATCGAATGCTATGATTGGCGGTACCCATGCGCAGTATCCCCTCCACTCTGCGGTCAAAGACAAAGACTCATCGCGCGAGCTGTATGTACGCGTGAGTTCTCGCCGCCGCCGCCTCGCCCCACCACCGCCCGCACCACCCGCTCGCTCACTCAGTCGCTGCGCGCCGCACGGCACATCGTACCCGCCACTTGCATTGTTTTTAATTAATTAGTGAAACGTACAGGTACGTAAAAAGAGGATTAATAATAATAAGTATTTTTTAATTATACATACAAACTTACATATTCAATTGTGTAACGTACCTAATTGTATATTACATTGTTTCAGTTTGTTCAAGAAAATGTCAAAGAAACGAAAGTATGACGAGTCTTATGTTAACTTTGGGTTTACTTTCGTGACTGAACGTGATGGAACTCAAAAACCGCAGTGCTTTTTATGCGGAAAAGTGCTTGCTAATGGAAGTATGAAACCAGCAAAGTTGTCAGAACATCTTAAAACTGTCCACCCTGGAAATGTATGTGACAGCATTGATGACTTTCGTACTAAGAAGGCTCGGTTTGAAAAAGCCGGCACTTTACCTAAATTAGGATTCACCCCGACACAAAAACCATGTCTTGAGGCATCGTACAAGGTTGCTTACCGTATTGCTCAGCAAAAGAAGCCACATACTATCGCGGAAACATTAGTGAAGCCTTGCGCACTGGATATTGTGGAACTTGTGTGTGGTAAGAATGAAAGAAAGAAGGTTGAAGCTGTTCCCTTATCAAACGATGTTATTCATTCTAGAATTGTTGAAATGTCGTCAAATGTTTTAAAGCAGGTTATTGAAGAATTGAATGCTTCACCGTTTCCGTTCAGTATGCAATTGGATGAAAGCACCGATGTATCACAATGCAGCCAACTCTTGGTGTTTGTCCGTTATGTAAAACATGATACGCGTAGTATCAAAGAGGAGTTTCTTTTTTGCGACTCACTTTTAGAAACTACGAAGGCTTCAGATGTCTTCGAAATGATAAAAAAATTTTTCATCGCACAAAATGTAGACTGGAAGACTAAACTTGGTAGTATATGTACCGATGGAGCTCCCGCGATGCTTGGTAATACATCTGGTTTTGCGGCTTTGATCAAGAAAGAGTGCCCTCATGTTATAATCACTCATTGTGTCTTGCATCGACATGCCTTGGCTTCACGAACTATGCCTACTTTTTTGAAGGAAGTTATGTCTACATGTGTCAAAATAATTAACTTCATCAGAGCAAGAGCCTTAAACCACCGCCTGTTTAAAAAGCTTTGTCAAGAAATGGGTTCAGAACATGAAGTACTTCTTTACTACACAGAAGTTCGTTGGCTGTCAAGGGGACAAGTATTGAAGCGCTTGTTTGAGTTGCGAGAAGAAGTGTTACTTTTTCTGAAAAACAAAGAAAATTCATTGTATGAATATCTTGAAAGAGAAGATTTTGTGGAAGGGCTAGCGTACTTAGCTGATATATTTACTCATTTGAACGAGATTAACCTGTCTCTTCAGGGTTTTGCAGTCACCATTGTGGATGCGTCTGAACGGCTGAAAGGTTTTTTAGGTAAACTGCCACTTTGGAAAAGAAGAGTGGAATCAGGTAAATTTGCAAATTTTCCGATGTTAGAAGAGTTGATAATGCAAAAAACCCAAAGTGACGGCCACACGACATCAAAGAAGGTACAGAAAGAGGTGTCTAAGCATCTGGAAACATTGCAGACGTCTTTTGAAGGTTATTTCAGCCCAGAGTCGCTTGAAAAAGAAACATGGGTGCGGAGCCCATTTTTAATCGATATTGACAGCATTAGTGATGAAGATCTTATTAAAGATGATCTAATTGACATGAGATCAAAAGAAGTTTTGAAAGCTGAATTTCAGGCAAAAGATCTTGGCGACTTTTGGGGTTCCTTAAGTCAAGCTTACCCTCTTCTAGTCAAGCGAGCTATGTCCATTTTGATACCGTTTGCTACTACGTATCTTTGCGAGGCAGGGTTCTCGATTATGATGTCAATAAAGACAAAAAGTCGCAATCGGTTGAACGTCGCAGATGACATGCGACTTGCCTTGTCGAAGACAGTCCCACAAATTAACGTTCTCATTGAGGCCAAACAACAGCACCCTTCTCATTAACTTAGTTCTTAATAATTGTAATGATTAAAGTTCAAATAAATAAAAGTATTTTATATAATATATAAGTACGGCTTTTTTTTATAACAATTTTTTTTGACAGTGGTCCGTAGAGTTGTTTAAATTTTGAAAGGGGTCCGTGACTGGAAAAAGTTTAAGAAACCCTGATGTATATGGAGTGCCTGTATGATATAATTATATATTTGTAGAAACATAATGCACCTAGTATAATTTTAGTGAATACCAATGTCATTTTTATCTCAATTTCTTTTTATTAAATATTTGCGCAGTCACTATATTTGACTACACACTTTTTAAAGCTATAGCTAAGTTATTTCAACAAGTTGATAAATACTAACCAATCCATTCTCAAAGGTGAATATACCGACGTCCCGACCGTGGTGTATGTGGTTGCGACGCATGATAGGGTTGGCAAAATTCTTCACCCATATACCGGCGAGGGCGTTCCTCGATATCTCATTGTCTTGGTACGCTCCCTGCGCGTAATCCGTTACGTACAACCCTACGTTCTCGCAGTCGCTGATGTCGCAGTGCTTTATGACCGGATTCGCACCAGCTCCACTCACGCACACGGCCGCACCCACTGTACATTATATAGGTTATAAACGATATCTATTTATATCAGCTAAATTAATTTATATCAAATTAAATTAGTTTAACATTAATTTAATTGAGGATTGTTATTCAAGTATTAGGTATACATAATTGTTATAGTATGTTTTTAGCATTAATCACACTTGCTTAAAACGGGTTGCTGATTTCAAACTTATAATTTGTAATTAGTCCAGGTTTCTTCACGATGTTTTCCTTAACAACCTATCAGTATCAGTGGTGTCTAAATGCTCTCAGAAAGTATACATATGAGTCAGAAAAATCCCATTGGTTCTTGCCAGGTTTCGAACTCGCCCTCATGCACGAGAGGTGGGTCTTTTAACCGCTAGACCACCATTTAAAGTATTAGCTATATATGAATGAGGTGTCAACTGACCGACACTAGCGCTCCGTATGATACAGTGGTCGACTGTGGGCGAGCAGTTGTCGGACACTTCTAAACAGTAGTGCTTGTGATGCTGCATGGTGCTGGTCGCGTCCGGTGAGAACTTGAGCGTCATGTGACCAGCATACGACCTGTTAGCGCCCTCGGCGAACGTCAGCGTTGACTCCGCCTCGCGCTCCAAAACCACGGACTCGGCTACGTTACCGGGGGCACAACCTGGAATAAACGTCATCATATTGTTAATATAAAGAAACAAAAAAGTTATTTTATATAAATTGCTGTATTGTTGAAATCTATGATTTTTTTGTATGGTAAAAGGCAAGACAATATATTATGTATATGTATAAATAGCTTTCCGCCCGCAGCATTGCCAGCGTGGAGTTCGGTTATATCGCGTTTTCAAGAGAACCTTTCATAAGTCTGGGATAAAAACTATCCTATGTTCTTTCCCATGGTCAACTCTATCTCTGTACCAAATTTCATTAAAATCAGTTCAGTGGTTTAGGCGTGAAAGCGTAACAGACAGACAGACAGTTGAGTGTATAATCTAGATTATTTACAGGGCTGTAAAACAGCAATGCAGTCATGGATAGTTTACAAATAAAACTGTATAAAACAAAAGTATAGTCAGGAAGTTTTAATTCATGATATTAAATATTAATGTACATAAGAGAAGAGGAAATTAAAAACTATATCTCTGGTGCTCAAACAAAACTAAAAAGTATAGTGTAGACATTTATAAAAATATATTATCATTAGAATAATATTGTTATTTGAAATTTGTTCATATTAGGATGTTTATTAACATTCACTACTGAAATAAACATAAGCAAATTATACACAAAAAAAGTAATTATTTTTATCAACTAGTAAACTATTAGGTATTCTTAGTAAAATTTAATTCACATAAAAACATTATCATGGCCGATATTTCTATTATCAAATGTCCTATACCCCCACTCCGCACCCATTTCGACAGATATAAAAAAAATATTAGTCACAATCATTTCAATTTCCTCTTTCCCCCCTACCACGATCATCGTATCCCCAACCAGTTATAAACAGTTCCGATCTCACCAATGAGCTGAACGTCCGTGTCAATAGCGAGGCACTCCTCTTGGTAGAGGCCGGCGTGCACGAACAGAAGGGCGGGCGCGGGGGCTGCGGCGGCGGGGGCGGAGGGCGTGCGCCGGCACGAGCACGCGGAAGTTCCGCACGAGCACGAACAAGCGCTGGCCGACGGAGATCCGCCGCGCTCCTCAACGTACTCTAGGGCCGCCTATTATAAATAATACTTGATTTTATAACATACAAATACACTGATATCTTTTATTACATTCTGAATATTAAGTTCCAGCAACTAGACAAGGGTAATGAATAGAAATGGAATTGAGTTGCAGTGCCATTATTATAAAATATCTATGAAATATTTTTCTTCATTGTCTGATTAGCATAATACTCCAATTATTCAGTTTGGTCAAAATAAGATTAATCTCAGTTACCAAAGCTGGTATCAAAGATCGATTTTGTTAGACAAAGTAATGAGGCACACCTATTAGATAAAAAATACTACATATAACAGACGATTGTGTGTTTGATAAATCACAAGAAAAACAAGAATTACATATCTATAGCATTACTTTAAAAGATAAATCTTCATTTTAGAATGACTGTCACTTTCCAATTGTTGTTAGTTAAGAGAAATTCTTCATGCTTAGTTGATCTATAATCATAATTATTACTTAGATGCATGTTTAGAAATTATTTTCTATTATCACTGTCTTACACCATTTTTTTAGAACAAACTAATTTATATAATAAAGGAGAAGACAAATATATTTAGTTGGAAAAAAATATATCTGTAAGAAATGAAGGTAGTTTGATTTTAAAAATACCCACCATCAATTCAACTCTACAACTATCACAGTATTGTATGGTATGTTCTATAATCAATAACTAAAATTAAATTAGGGAATATAATTGATAACAAAACAATGTACTAACCCTGATAGTGTTAAAGTGTTTGATCCTAGAGTCCTTTTTGGGGCGATAGTTGGGTCTTACATGTATCCCATAGTACAGCTGTCTGAAGCTCTCCTTCCAGGGGTTATCGGCCTCACAGTCATCTGCGGCCACAAACTCAAACTGGCACGGAGCAGGGTGCATCAGAGGAGTGTCATATTCAAACACCGACTGATATAAACTTTTCCTGTATAAATAAAAAAATAAAATAATAATATTGAGTTGGAATATGGAATATTTATCTTGTTTTAAACTTTTTCAGGTAAATCAATTATTCAATTATTCTTTGTATTCTTGTACAGCTGGCACAAAATACTTTTTAGTTTAATGCTTTTGCCTTTTATGTAAATGTTTTGTTAATGGTTAATTGTGTAAATAATTTTTATTATATTATTCAAATTCGTTTTTTCTTCTGATTTAACACTACAGTAGAACTCCAATTATCCGAATTAACGGGGACCGGGACCCATTCGGATAATCAAATATTCGGATAATCGGAGTTTTTTTTTTAATTGCCATTGGAGAGAAAAAAAGTTACGTTTTGATATTGCGCTATTTTTTTAGTGAATTAAATGAAAGAAACATGACATTTTCACATGTTTTAAATATAAATAAATTGTACTTATGTACAAATTTAGAAATAAAAATCATTGTTTTTTAAACATCTTCGTCAATGTAAGCTGTTTTGCGGTCTTAACTTGCCGTTGTGCCTACACTGACTTCGCGGAGGGAAGAATAATAGCGCACTTAGACTTTTTTCGGACAATTTTTTTTCTGAAAGTGATTCGGATAGTCGGAGTTCGGATAATTGGAGTTCTACTGTATTTCAGATAGTAAATTCATTAACTGGGGTCTACTGATGTTCTTGGAGTTGTTTCTTAAAAATTTAACATAGTAATTTTTGTTTTAATCTGTTAAGTACAACTTAAAATTAATTACCAAATGTATACTGTATAATACTGGCGTACATGAACAAAACTCCTATTAAATGAAAATTATATCTCTCGGATTATATTACGCGTATTTCATTATTTTAAAAACATACCCCGACGTTTCGGTTACTTTTCAGCAACCGTGATCACGGGCAGACGAGATGTGAAATGTGTAGACGCGAAAGTCTTAGATCTTATTAAAACTTATGATATATATATATATAGTATATGAGTTTTAATGAATTGAATAAAATTTAGTCTTTGACAAAATACTTGAATGACAAGAATCGTTAAAATTGCAAGAATATCATCAACTGTTTTTTACCTATCACAAAAACTCTCTCTATATACTAGAACATACATAGATAATCCGTTTTCGAAATATATCTCTACTATCATGATCTTTATGTATGTATATAAAACAAACAACTCACCACAGCTCTGTATCATTGGCGATTGTGTTGAACCGCTTGCAGACCTGAGCTACGCGGCAGAGGTCCCTCTCTGTCAGGTGTGAGAGGATGCAGAGCAACACCTCATCGGGCAGCTCATACTGAAGGTACTGGGACACGTTACACACATCCACACCCTGGGACAGCGACCTGGACCAAATATATGATTTAAATTAAGAACTAGATATGTAACAGTTAGTAAAATATATAAAGCTACTTACACCGGTATTACGAAATCCTATAAATATTATAATTGCGAAAGTTTGTGAGTGTGTGTGTATATTTGTAACTTCTTCACGCTAAAACAGCTGAACCGATTTTGATAAAATTTTGTTTACAGGAAGCTGACGTCAAGGAATAAGACATAGGCTACTTTACAACCCGGAAATCCGCGGGTAACAGCTAGTATAGTATAAAAGGTTAATACTTGATGTGACGTAATTTTTGGTTCGCATTTCTATCCTTTTGATTTCAAACTTATTTTAATTGATTTTTTTAAATCTATATCTAAAAACATTATCTATGTTCCTATTAGTATCGTAAAAGTTTGTCCTAAAATATAATGAAGGAACATTCATCTGCTTTGCATGAATCATGAAACTAGCTTTCATACAATTCTACTAGCAAACAACCATACAATAATTATGCTGTCAAATTCAATAACTGGCTGCAAACACTATTTTAGATGTGATGAAGTCATATTGCAATAAAAGCTAGTTGATAAATTTATCAATCAGATTAACATATTCCTTATTATCAGATTAACATATTATTAAAATTGTTATAATCAAATACATAAGAGAATTTTTAAATAAAAATGATGCATAAACCAATGATTATTGTAGAAATATAAATTAAATTGGATAAAACAGTGTTTGATTCTCTCTCAGTGTTTAAAACTCTTTAAATCACAAAAAATATTTTTTCATTTTTTAATTCAATGTTTGTTTTTATTATTTATTTCTAAAATATAAAAAAATTACAGACAAATGTTGTTAATTTCCTTTTTATACTATTTTTATTCGTACAATGCTTTGTTCCAATTGGAGAATTTGTTTTAATTGTTTTTATATATTAATACAAACTATATATACACACTATACATACACAATCAATTCAAACAAGTTGGGATTTAATATCGAAGTACATTTTTAATATGTTCTGAAACTATGTAATAACTTGGTAAATAAACAATAAATTAAGCCATCTTGGCTTATAGTAACTATATAAAAATATTAAATAATCATACTTAGCATCAATTTTATTTTGTTATTATTGATTTATGTTTAAAATAATAAACTTACTTTAGAACAAGTATATACATTTTAATACATACTAATTAGTGATAACATACATTCCAAATGTTATTAAATATTATTTGAAAATAAATAAATCATTTAACTTTGTATTAGTCCCTTTAAAAGTTAATAGAAAACATATAATAATCATTACAAAGATTTATTTGATAATAAAACATGCAAATACCTATAAAAAAAGATCTAATCTTGCCAACTTTTGTATGAAGGACTAAAGTGCAATAAACAAAATGTCTAAGCTTATAATGATATTCAATGTTTTTCTTTTTTTGTATTAATGTATGAATATTAATTTTATGTCTACTGTGACATATTGACAATAAACATGAACAAAGCATTTTTGTTAACTTCACTACACAAAGTAAATGCAACATTCTGTTTGGAAATAAACAATGTAGATGCCATATAAAAAATAAGTTTTAAGGTAAAAAGGTTGTATAGGTCTTTAATGTATGATAATTGTTTTTTTTTATTTTATTGCAATATGAATATTTTAAGTTTAATATTCTACAGATACATCTTATGCTTCATGATCACTATGAATTTATATAAATTACAATATGTATGTGTGTTTGTTGATCTCATAAGTGTGCATAAGTAATTTAAATTGCTCAATATATTAGAAATTCAAATCACTCATTGTTGATATTAATTAGAATACAAATAAATAATAATATCATTAGAAATTCTTTAAGTCCTTGTAACATTTGTTATGTAGTTTACTTACATATACATTAACTGAAGTAGAATTTAAAATTCTACTTATATATACTAATATACTTTTGTCTCAGAACTACCTAGCTAAACTAAATATGTTTGTAACAAAAAATATTTTTCAATAAATAAGAAACTAACTGGGTCTTTAGTTTTTTGGATTTACTTTGTCCAGTCTAGTTTTGGGGAATAAATTTTTTCAGTCAAAAACTTAATGACAAATGTGAAGTGAAGAGAGGAAAATTACTATTTGTAAACATTACTTTTTTTTTAGGAAATAAGTAATTAAAAAGTAACTTTAGTATGAGTAAATGTATAATGGACATTATTTGATGTTTATATATCAGAAATATGTTTTGAAAAACCTATTAAACTCCTACAGATGAAAAACTATATTCTTTAGGGCATCATAACTAATACATATCTGAAAGCTAGTGTGTATGTTTGTAAATTAATTATTTAGGTATCATATACAACAAAGGTTTATTAATGAAAAGCTTACTAAAATACTTTGAATATTTCAAAGGGAAATTTCAGATTATTTTTATAAGCATTCTCTAATAAAATGACAAAATATAATAAAATGATATAGAAGTAATAAATACTTACGTCCTGGGCCTTTTCCTTGCTGGTAGAGAGCAGGTACCCGAGGGTCCCGGTTCATGGTAAGCGGGTGGTGACTTCCTACGCAAGTCATATGGGCTGTGATGACCGGCTGTGGTGGCGGCTGCGGCCGCGGGGACAGGCGGGGATCCGCCCCCACCGCTGCCGCTCGGACCTGCACATGCTGTAGCTGCCATAGCGCTCCCCGTCACGTTATTCGGACACGGCACCGATTCACATGGCTCACCTGTAATATTGATTTGACAAGATTACTATTGGAATACTTAGTTCTATATAATTTAGGATTGTGATTTGTAAAGATGTGAATTTTGAGAATGCATTATTTTAGAATAAACTGCAATTTGAGATGTTTAATTGTATGAACAATCTTGCATAATATTATTTTATACAATCAATTATATTTGAGAATATGTAATATAGTTGGTTGTGAGGAACAAGTTACATTCACACCATTACATATGTGCTCTGTCTTAGTTAAATTAAAGATGTTTATCAAATACATTAAAAGGTATTGTCATAATAGTAAATAGATTTTCTGTCAAATCTAATACATATAAATGTATATTCTAAATTAATAACATTATCACAATATTTGAGAAAATTCTTCAATACAGTAGAGGATTAAGCTCCTTTTAAATAACATCACAGAATTTGGTATTATTATTAAGTCATGAATAATAAGACTAAACTTTGAGTGTTTTGTAAATATTAATGAAATAAAGTTCTTCAGGAAATCTACTCAAGTAAAAAAAAGTTAAAACTCGATATTTAAGTACAATGACAATTTTAAGCAATTAATTAACAGAAACTTTAAAAATTGTATTCAGATTTCTTTATAATATTATTCTGATGATTTTTTTTGATTCTAGTGTGTGTTGTAAAGATATAGTATAGTAATATTTGTTCAGACATTTATTTCACAGATACAGAATCAGATATTAAACTTCAACTTCACCAAAATGTTGATGTGTTGCCAAATAATTTGACCTATTTCATTGGTTATTTGCTTAAACAAAGATCAACAGAAAAACTTTATCATATAGCTTATTGTTCATGTATATGATATTACTTATGGTAATCAAAATAATATTTTTAGATATCCTACACTATACATTTATTTGAGCAGAATTTTTTTTTTATTACTTGTGTAATTTTAAGGAAAATCAGTGCTTTTTTTGTTCAACTCATATTATAAATAATAAAATGCAAATAAATGCTTTTAAATTTTTTCCACATTACTAATTTTATTCATATCGTGTCAAAACATACAATCAATGTGATAATTACGTGTATTGAAAACAAAAAACGATTGCATTCATTCCATCTCGTAGTTGTTTACAAAACAGAATATTAAAAAAAATGCTCGTAGCACGGCAAGTGGTGTCGGAAAACTTTTCAAGAATCATTGACATTTCGAACTAAATACATTCAAATAAAGCCGTGTTTCCGAACAGCTGTTTCGTCATGCTGTTTAAATTTAGTCTTCATCAACCAAATCAATACTGATATTGCGCAAAATGTTACTGAAATGCGCTACACTACACTATCGACAAACACCAAAATCTATTAAAATTTGCATATCAAGCACCCATCGCGGTCGACACAATGACGAACGACATAGAATAGTTACAAATTTTTAGACGAATATCAATAAATTTTTAGAAAAGATATATCACTAATGAAGACGAATGTATCGCGCTGGAAGTATATATTAAACATAAATAAATATGAATACATTGCTAGTTTGCACATTTAAGAAAACGTCGATAATGAGCCATTTGTAATACTTGGAGCAACATCAGACGACCCGGATAACTTACTCGATTGTGTCCTGGAAGGCAACGGTATCCGATGACCACCTTTTCTTCGCGATCTACGGACGTAAGAACGCGAAGAGGAAAAGGAGGCACTAGGCATTATTTCTTTTGGATTCTTATTTTCACTAGAATTCAGTCTAAACAAAGGAGACACCCGCACCAACACCGACGGCCATTTTCTGTTTAGAATAGATTGGGGAACCGAAACAGGAAATCAAAATTATACCACATCAGTCACCACTAAACTACAATTTCAATTATCCACAAATATTGCACAACGCACTGATACCGAAAATAACAATTGTTAACTTATAAAAACATTATTTAACAAATTATGATAAAAATTCACACTACCCTAAGTAAAGGGCGACTCTCTGAAAGAAAAATATGGCGGATCGCTGATTAACATGGCCGCAGCGACGCTAACGCCCCCTAACATAAAAAACAATCATTAGTTTTTTACATAGTGTATACAAAATGAAATAAGAAGTCTTGTTTAAAAAAGTCTATATGTTTAAAATTGTGTGAGGTACTGTATAGTATTAAGATTAAATATAAATAAACAAATCTAAATATTATTCAATTATAAAAATATTAAACCATCGGTAATGTAAATTGAATACTCTATTATTGTTGAAATAATTTGCTTCAATAAATATTGCAGCTTGTGAGGATTATAAAATGAAAATATATATACATAAGTAACCCTAAATTTAAAGATATATTAAATTTGCAATATTTTTATTCCGTATTTTCACGTGTGTTGGAACGTATCAACAAACAGCTAAATTTAAGCTATCTATACAAGTGTCATTTTCAAAAACATCTGGTTATGTCATTTTAAGTAAAATAATGCTAAATTTCTGATGCCTATATTTAACACTTCAAGTCGACTAGCACAGTAGTAGCTTAATATGTTATAAATCGAAATTTTGAATTAGATCTTTTATTTTCATTATACAATGATTTATATAGAAAGTTTAGAGCAGAACAGCTGTCTAATATCAGGACTTTCATGTATAATATTAACGATTTCTTACGTCGCGAGCTTATATATTTGGAGGTCTAAATTTAACAGGTAAAATTGTTATCAAATTGAAACTTTTAAGTTATAAATACATTTTATGAGGATATTGTAATATAAATTTTATTCGTTAATTTCAGAGACCACCCAAGTACAATAAAAAAGAGATTTTTCAGTGTGATTTGTATGATGCTATTAGCTCCTTTCTTCACATATTATTTACTTGACGATAATACATTAGAAAAAGCGAGTATTTATGAACATATGGGTCTTCGCATATCAGGAATGTTATTAGCTTCAACAGTACCACTGGTTTTAACCGCTACATTGTTTTTGGGGCCTTTGACTATGCAATTTTTTGGAGGAACATTTAAATTGTATGCAGGTAAATAAACTCTAATACTTTTTTTAAGTAAAAGACTTGTTGTTATAAATAATATTCTGTAGAAATAAATGTATCTGTAATAATTTATAAAACTATTAAAGTAACTAATAAAATGTTATCATTTTTATGTATGAATTAAATTTATTTCAGAACCTATGTACTGGTTTTCTTGTTGGCAAGATTTGGTATGGTTGCGTAACCATATAATGGCTCCTCTGAGTGAAGAATGGGTTTTCAGATCATGTATGATGCCAATATTATGTCAATGTCTGAAACCGTATAAAGCTGTGTACATAGCACCATTGTTTTTTGGAGTTGGTAAGAATTATTTATAAACATTATCAGAAAATAAGGGAATTTACAAGATTGATTAATGATTAGACAGGTATTGTAATGTTGAAAAAAAATTTTGAGAGTAGATAAAGATATATTCAATAGGGCATCAAAGTCTGCGGCCGAATAATATAGAATTACATCTGTTACTTATTATTTTCAGCTCATTTTCACCACTTATTTGAGCAGATGTCGAGAGGTGTTCCCGTGATGTCTGCATTATTTGTTTCATGTAAGCCAAAATACATATAAAAAAATATTTTGTACTGTTCTGTTTGCATTGAATACCATACATAATCTTTATTTTATCTCAAATCTTCTTTTGTTTTTGAACAAAAGAAATTTTCTTTTGTTTTAACTATGACTCTTATTATCTTTTGTTTTCTTTCTCTTTAGTGTTTCAGTTTTCCTTTACAACAGTGTTTGGTGCATATTCAACCTATCTCTTCCTAAGAACTGGTAAGTTAGTGGAAAATCATCTTTTCTTGCTTTTATTACAATCTGTTTCCGGTAAACATATTTCATACAAATTGCTTATCCTCATATATATTTTAATGTCATGCTGTTCAAAAAGAGAGTTAGTTTTATTTTGTTGACTTAGTTTTAATATTTTTATACAAATAAGTATTTAAGTCATCTCATACTTAATAGAATGTACATATAATAATTCTTTTCACTCAACATTTAAATGAAACTATTTTATTTTTGACTATAAACTACATACTCCCGACGTTTCGGTGTGAGTCTCTCGTGTCGTAGTTTATAGTCAAAAATTAAAAATCGCGTACTAAATCCGAAAAAAACTCATCACTCAACATTTTTTATTATTTTTCAGGACATTTCTTTGCTCCGTTAATAGCGCACATATTCTGCAATCATATGGGATTTCCTAATTTCTTTGAGGTCAGCCAATTTCCTATGATGCAGAGGATCGTTATATTAGTTAATTTTGTACTCGGATTAATTCTATGGAGTTATTTGCTAGTACCATTGACAAGTCCATATATTTATGACAATAGATTGTTATTGTTAACTTGAAAATATATTTAGGTTCGGTTACAAATTGTTATGTTAATTTTTATGTGACATTTAGGTTGTGATAACACTGTCATAATTTAGTGGATTAATTCAAAGTCAATTGTAATTGTGATGAACACCAAATAGAAAAATATATTGTATTTATGATTATATCAGCAATTGTGAGTATTGTGTTAATACAGTATGGGTATTATATTGAGAAATATGATACCAAATGGGATTGTTTTATATTTTGAGACTGTTAAGACACTTCAGCCTTGTTTGTGGTTTGATACAAGTAAGAACAATTGTTGAAATTGTTGTAAAGTCTAACAGTATTACAGGATTGTATTGTTAGTTTAATATATAATTAACTAATTAAAGAAATAAAATAGGCTAATGTAAAAAATGCATCTCACGTTATTATGTCATACAATCTGTGTTTTACGTACATTGGGTATTTATTATGAATTATTCGATGACATATTTCAAATGTGAGATGATAGGTTCTCACGAAAATGAATTATTACACTATAAAAACATTTTGTTTCCATATTTAAATAGATAATCGTGAAATGCCTTTACACTGTACTTGTTTTCAATTGTAACTTATATTTTTTTATTACTTTTTTTTATTATTTTGTGCCATGAAATAAGTACACGTATCTATTAAACTATGTAGTTATATTTTATAACATAATTATTAAATCTACTTTGAAGATTTGAATGTTTTGCACAATTGTTATGGTACACAAATCATGGTTTCATTATGGAACGTGTAGTTTATATATACCTATCTATTAAGGAACCGGTTTGTCATAACTTAGATATAAAAACTCAATATTCGCGCGTGTATACAGGGTGACTGGTGAATTACTATCAATATTTTAGGAGAATACTCGGTACATGATTCTCATTCGAATTATGTAAAAAAAATAGGTACTTAATTTTTGACTAAATTTCCGTATAAATAAATAAAGTGTGGACACGTTCCAAGTGTTCCAAGTGTGGACGCGTGCGGCGGCGTGCTGATACAACACCAGCCGCCGCACGCGTATGTGTGTGTGTGTGTGTGTATACCTAATCTGTAGGGTGTTCACACGATGCGTAATTAATTACATAACTTTTGGTTAACTTTACTTAGAAGTTTATTAATATTTATGTTATATTAATTTTTATTTTGTCATATATGATCGTCAAATATCACGTCCTCAAGTATCGATAGTAATTCACCAGTCACCCTGTATATTTATTCGAGTCTGTAGGAAGGTACCTAAGCATTATAAAATATACCACAAACCATTGAAGTATTCGACATTTATTAAAAACTCGGAACCTCTTTAAATATATACTTGTCTTCTTTCTGGTTATTTTTGGTACCTGTTTGTTTCTTAAAACATAGCAAATAATTATTCTTTAACAGTTGCAACTTATGTAAAAAGTATGTAATTAATAACAATAATAGTAAAAATATTATTTGTCACCGCGTGAAATTTATTTACTTAAGGGTGTGTCGGTCACTGTTTTTAAAAATAGTTTAAATATTTACTTATACATAAAATGTTCCTAGAAACATCTAGACAATATGTTTTTTTCTATATCAACTTTTTGAGAAACTAAAAATAAAATCAGTCAGATCGAAGTATCTATTTACAAATACATTGTACACGATGATAAATACATATAACTGCACGTATGTATTTATAATATTTAGCGTCGTCAAAGAAACCGGCATTTCTACGTCTTCTATAACACAAAGTAAATCTAAAGTTTAAATTATATAAAAGCTGTGCTTTAAAATACATGTAACATGTGTATTTCTTATTTTAAATGAAGTCACCAGATGATATTTACCCTTATTCCCCTGAGCACTAAAAGTATACATTTATTAATGGAAAGCTTTCTTATCATACTTGTAAACATTATCCTGTTATAGTAAAATAAGAAATTAATATATGTAATAATTAATAATATTAAAACGATATTGACTAAACCTCACAACATGGAGTTTCATTTGTCCTTTTGAATCCCATCATCGACTTTTAGATATTTTTTGCATGTAACTTATTTTTATATAAAAATGAAATCACACCCCAAAATTATTTAGAGGTAATTACAATCTATATATTACAGTTTTCGCTCTTTTTAACAACTCTGCCACAAATGCATTTTCTAATAAATGTTCTAAACTTTCCGCGCCAATCACTTCTACACACAGTCTGGAAGTGCGAAAAAGTACATAATATACATATTTTTCTCGTTGATAAATGATAGAATTGCCTTAATGTTCAATAAGTAATTACTTTTATACTTTAACTCGTTATTACTTAATAGGAAGATTTAGTTTTCTGCTTTCAATTATTTTCTATTTACGAAACTTCGCACAAAACTGATACTTTCCTTGAAATTTCTTTGTGTCATATTCACGTTATAATTATTCCTTAACCTTTCGATATGCAACTCAAACCATTCAAACTATTTAATTCTGTTCCTCGTGAGATAAGTGAATCACTATAACTGAATTTATTATGTTCATAGTAGACCTCAAACAATACATGTTTATTGAGATATTTCCCTACAATATGTTTTTTAACTAAGTCACTAAGTGTATTGTTAGTATCCGGACACTAGATATTTCTATCATTTTTAACTTGTTAAAAGTAACTGAAAGTAGTTAGGTAGGTACTTCATTTTTAATAACATATCTCCTTTTATTTTAAGGGGCGACTTTGTTACTTACATACTGAAATATTACTCTATACCTAAGCAGATTATTACTCTAGAAGTTTGGCTTTTATTTAAGTAATTTAAGTAATTCGCCCTTTAAAGACTACATATACTGCTTGAAGCCTTCAGCAACAAACACTATTTTACAAAACTTCCTCTCTTCTAAACCTAACTATGGTATAGACTTCTGATTTTGCTATTAAGCCCGACCAGAGTTCCAGTAATACCTTTTTCTGTTATGATCTGTTGCAACCTTCATATAATATTCGTCTTCCTAAGCTTAAAGCTTGTGCTACTCTGAAACATAAGGCTATTGTCACACATACTTATTTCAAGTACGAAAGAATGCTTTAATTGAGCACTTGCTGTTTACCTACTAGCATTTGTGTCCAAGTGTTGCTTAAAATAAGCCCGCTTATTTGCGGGGTGGACTTGTCACTTTCGAGTGTCGTGGAGAAGATGCTCGAGAGTGATAGGTCCTGACAGGCGGTGTCCTCCTTCTGTGAGACGGTCATGTCCACGGAGGAGGCATCTGAGCGGGAAAGGGAGAGTGCGGCTGATGCACCCTCCCTCCGCAGACGACGTACGGGGGTGCGACGGAGGCGATTCCAACGCCTCCAATAGCGCCCCTGTGCTCCGGGCCGGGGTGCGTGGTAACCCGGCTCCAATGAAAGCCCGGCGACGTCGGGGTGGTCCTAATTGCCGGAATTGCCCCCATACTCCGAGGGAGTAAGTCCGGTCTTTGTCAGGACCGGCCAGTCGCTGGTGTGCCCTGTTGCTGACAGATCCGGGGTACACCGACATAGCGGCCGACGGCTTTCGCAGTAGTTTTAGTGAGTAGGGGCCTGCCCAGGCCGAGCCTCACACATCCCTTCCGGCCCCCCCAAGGCCGGTTGGACGGCTCGTAAAAAGAGTTTCCCTGCGACATCAAAAAAAATGCCCACTTATTTGGAGCATGCTTTAAAATGACTTTGTCAGTTCAAACAAAGTCATCGACAATCAAACAGCTATCGTATGAAGATGAATAAGATCATCCTTTATCTGGGGATGCAATACATCCAGAAGCTTCTATCAGGTTGCCAAAAAAGAAAAGGAAGATGGTGATTGGGTCCGCAATTGGATATCAGTAAACAGCACGTGCTAAATAAAAGTATACCTACTTTCGTGCTTGAAACAAGCATGTGTAACAGTAAACTAATGTTGGAGATATTGACAGCCACTTACAACTGTAGTTTTTTTAATCTAAAATTAACGATAGTTAATCAACTTCTAACCTAGCATCTACGACAGTCATTCCCCTTTTTAAGCTACTAAATCAAAAAATTCATTCTTAATGTAACTGATAAAAGGAGGAAGTTATTGAACCGGAACATCCGTCAAAAAAAAGGGATTGTCTAGATAATATAGATAATATACTATTTAGAAATGCTACATTTATAAAACGGTTGAAAACAGAGACAATGGAATGATATGATAATCTTTCCACTCTTTTGGAGTTGGTAATGGGAACTCGGTAAAACCCTTCCCTTAAATATTACTGCCAGTCCCCTCAAAAAATAATTTTTATTTTTTCTTGAACGTATGAGTATACATTCCAATTCTTCTAGTGTCATTTGGTTGTCGAAGTGTTAGCTGTAATGAGAGAATTAGGTACTGTCCTTAATGTTCTTACTAGTCTATTAACTTATATACTTACTCGCTGAGCCCCGCGGTGTTACCCGCGGATTTCTTGGATGTAAAGTAGCCTATGTGTTTTTTCTGGACGTCAGCTTCCTGTATACAAAATTTTATCAAAATTGGTTCAGCCGTCTGAGTGTGAAAAAGTAACAAACATACACACTCACAAACTTCCGCAATTATATTATTAGTAGGATTATATTCATGTCTTCATGATTTTTTTCGTCTAGACATTTAAGATTTTTATTTAGTCTCTATGCTTTGTACCTTTATGTACTGGCCATAGTATTTATCAAAGTTACACATTTAGAGCGCCTGGCAATGGGTAATAAGTATATAGATCCTAATATTAACTTGCTTAATATGACCCATGCGTATAAGCAGTGGCGGCTGTACCTTAAGTGCACTCGTGCGCTGAACCACCAATTCAAAAGATTTAAAAAATTACAAAATATTACTTCATCTTTATTTTTAAATTACCATTTTAATATTTATTTTTTAAACATATAAAAAATTAAGTTTTCTAATTATAGTCAAAAAGTTTGTAAGCTTTACTAAACTAATATCTCGTGCGCTTCGGCGAGTGCACGAGGACTCCTAATACATCTTGTATGAGATACGAATTAATACGCCTGGCGCGTGAAACAAAAGATAGTTCATAGAAATGTACCGAGTAATGAGTCGGTTTTCGAGCGCCGCACGAGCGGCCGAAGGTTACCGAGAGCACCCGATGTATGACGAAATGAGCCGGCCGTTTTTGACATCTCGTTATGTTTTGTTGCATTTTCTAATTTTAATATTTTAGTAAAGTGCACCACCAGTTTTATAACCCACCAGCCGCCACTGCGTATAAGTAATAAGGTTGTCCATGTCATTTTTCTATGTTTGTTAAGTTCCATTAACATATCTCCATCAGCGACAAATTAGTTTCCAAGTTATCTCATTGAGAGTTAGAAGTGAATGCATATCGACAACTATTTCACCGAAAAGATCCAAATCGAAGATTATTTGCTTATTAAGATGGTCTTGTTGTCTACGATATTATTTACCAAGCACACCCAAAATTAAGCTAGAACATTTCCTTGTTTTATTTTAGATTTTTTATTTGACAGAAAATATTGGCATCGTCAAAATCAATATCAATCTCGTCAAATCTGTACAATAGTTTAATATAATACAAAGAATAATAAGAAAAACTTCGATGGAAAAGAATCATATAAATAAAATTCACAAAAACTTAGGAAATATTAAATATATTTGTTAAATTAGTAAAGATAGCATAGAGTGCTACATTTCTAACAACATTGATTTAGATTCAAAACAAAATAGGCAGAATGTTATATTGTAAATTTTATACTAGGTACATACAAGTAATACACTTCATATATATAATTAACAGAGTAACAACATCTGGACGTAAAACAAATACACCTCTGATACAAGTGACAATACATTTTAAAATTTTGATATCACCCTTATAATAGCTAATAAAAATAATATATTTTTTATTAAATTCTAAATATACTTAATGATAGATTGAATTTAGAAAATTTTCAGTCATATTTACACGGAATATGAGAATATATTTTCTTTACTATAAGCTGTTTCAGCTCATAAACAAATCAGTCTTAACCGAAGCTTGCTAATACAGTATTTAAAAACAGCTGTTAAATTGAAAACTGATTTTATAAGATAAAATAATTATTCATTTCTTAGTACCTCTTTTTAATGCTAAAAACTGTTCAAGAACTTTGACATTTTTTGTTTCACATAAAAGAAATCTTGTTCCTCTTAATACTTCCCTTGCCTTCACTCCTTTCAACACCAGATCTGAATTTTATATGTTATATTAAGAATAACATAAAATCTAAGCAACCTATATTAGAACCTTGCCCTATTAAAACTGTTATTATTATATTCAAAGTAACAATTTATACATTTTTGTGCCATTTTAAAAATTCTATTAAAGGCATTGAGCTTCGATTATTTCATCAATCACATTTCAATATCCATATTACATGTATACTAAAAAAAATGTTCTTAAATGTTCATACATAAATTAAATTTCAATCTTTGGACTTATAAAATTCAATGTTTTTATTCAGAGTTTCAAATAAACAAGAATAATAAATACTGGCATCTACATCATGTAAAAGGATATGCCAAACGAGCAAGCCCTTTCTAAAGTAAGGTACGCTTGTAGCTCATGGTCCCCTAGACTTTTATAATCTTAATTCCATACATAACACCCACACATGTGCAATAATATATAAGCAATATATATGATAATTAACATTGGGATATAAGGGACATGAAAGTTAATTAAAAATTTTCTAAATTTAACAGAGTAAATTCTATAAATTCATTCTGAAGCAAAAAATAAAAATGCACACCTGATGTAAACAAAAAACGAAATACTCGTAAGACACTTTAGTAGGATATAATTTGAGAAATACTAGTCACTGACTCGCCATACTAGAAAGTTCTGAATAAAAGTTCTCCTTATAAAAGTATGTTAGAACAATCTAGAAATATAAAAACTTTTTCAACCATATCTAAATCAAGGCCTTCTGCCACATACTTGTGTCGTCTTCAAATATCTCAATTCTGAAAATCTTTATGACATTACCTGCACTCAGCAGTTTTGAGATCAATTTTTATGTTATAAATTTGTCTTGATTTTGGTTACACATCAAAAAAATTAAAGAATTCAATCACATTAAAATAAATAATAAACCTGCTTCTTAATGTTTCGGCACTAGCTACTATAAGATGCTTCTTAACGAGCACAAAGCAAGTAGACACCTTCAGCACTACACAGGGTGACTGGTGAATTACTATCGATACTTGAGGACGTGATATTTGACGATCATATATGACAAAATAAAAATTAATATACATAACATAAATATTAATAAACTTAACCAAAAGTAAAGTTAACCAAAAGTTATGTAATTAATTACGCATCGTGTGAACACCCTACAAATTAGGTATACACACATACACACACACACGCGTGCGGTGGCGTGGTGTTGTATCAGCACGCCGCCGCACGCGTCCGCACTTGCAACACTTGGAACGTGTTCACACTTTATTATACGGAAATTTGGTCAAAAATTAAGTACCTATTTTTTTTACATAATTCGAATGAGAATCATGTACCGAGTATTCTCCTTAAATATTGATAGTAATTCACAGGGTGACTACCCTGTATAAATTATATATCAGAAATATAATCTTTAGGTACATTTCTGTATATAAATAATATTAATTTTTAATATCTTCTTAATAAGCATGATTCTCAAAAACACTATAGAGTCAGTTACACATTACACTCCAGCAGTACATAAAGGCAGTGCCACATTACAACTGCGTATAAAGTCAGTAACACACTACACTCCACTAAATTAAGACGGTGTCATAACATCACTATTCCATGTCATTTAGCAGCAAGTGAGTGCTCTCCACAGCCCTCAAGGCGCTTGTATAGGTCTGTTTGGTGAGGAAGGTACAGGTGGCGCTGGGGTCGCGTCAAGGTCACACGCGGACAACAGACGAACCAATTCATCCGGGCTAGGCCCGCCGTCCGCTACAGGAGATTCTTCGCCCTCACCTGAAAATATAAAGGAAATTAATGTATTAATAATGTTTCAAGTTATAGTACATTGAGAAATCAGTAGAAGCATTAAAGACACAGCATTGAGAATGACATTGATATAATTATTTAAAAATGGAAACCAATTGTATTTAAAACATTACTAGTAAGCCCAGCGAACTCCGTTTCGACACCAGAAAGCTTTGTTTTATATTTGAAAAGGAAAATTTTTATTTCATATCACAACAGTAATGAATTGATTTCGATTACAAAAATGAAGTGTTGTTTAGTTGAACTTCTCTAAGTAAATGAAAGTGAATCCAAAGTACAAAGATACCAAATCGAAGTGTTATACGTGTACGCATATTATCTGTTTCATTGAAGTGCTCCTTTGTAAACCACATTTTTTGTTTTTTGGTCTAACGTTAACACAAATAAAGCGGATGGTTTCCCAACTCGTGAACACGCAAAGTATAACTGCCCATGTGAATAACAATAATTTTCTGAATTTATCTCGAAAATACTAAATGGTTTTAAGAGTTTAAACTACAAACACAATACCGGTTTGTCACATGAAATTAACTGAGAAGAGAACAATGAGTAGCTGTCAAACAATGTATCATGAACCGGCATCATCTACTTAAAATATTGATTTGTAGTACATGTTATGTATCAGAGATGGCGCTGTATGTGAAAAAGATTTTCTCGCTTTTACGATGAAATTTTCCAGAATTTTTTTGTTATAATATGTAGCCAGAGATTTTTCCAACGAATGCAAAACCGTGGAAATCGGTTCATGTGTTCTGGAGTTATAGCGTCAGGAAGGAAAACCGGACTTAATGTTATATAGTAGATAACATCAAAGATTTGTTCATAAATCAAAACTAGTCTCAAACCCACCTCCACCATTCCCGCCGGCTACAGCCTGTGTGGGTTTAGCAGCTCTATCGATATGTGCAGTGAGGTCCCACATCTGTGCTGCCCCGGAGCGATGCCCACACAGAAGTAAACGTCGCGGACGAAGCGCCCCTTCACACTCGACTACCACGAAACATGACACCGCTGACCCGTCCACCGAACGGATCGTACATACTCTGAAATGGAATTTGATTTTTCAGTTTTAATCCAGATATGATTACTATTTGAAACAGTGAAAAAATTACCACTTATGACTATATCACCAGGGCATCAGTTCTAATGATTATATTTTTATACTTTATTGGGAATAATAAGTGATATAATCTGTTAAGTATAGAAAGAAATATACATTACATATGCTTACCGTTTACCATTAGATGCTAGTCTAACGTAGAGCGTATCTGTATCAGGTACGACCTTTTGTATGAATATCTGCTCCTCATCCTGTTCACCATACGGTCCACAATCATTGTGAGGTTGTGCTGTAGGTGCTTCTAAAGCTAGAACTTTGAAAGCTGCTTTCGGTGTCGTACCAGGCTGCGTCGATATCATTCCTCTAAAACGTGTCACACGCCAGGATCTGACGTGATTGTATTCGCTGCATACAGATATCAAGTAGTTCTCTGATAGTGAAACCTGCACGTAAGATCATAATATTCATTTAAATGAAACTAATATTTTCGGATTTTACTTCGCGTTTTTATTTTTGATTACAAACTACCCATGCCCATCAAATCTCGTCTGCCCGTGATCACGGTTGCTAAAAAGTAGCCGAAACGTCGGGAGTATATAGTTTGAAATCAAAAATAAAAACGCAAAGTAAAATCCGAAAATATTAAGTTTCATTTAAATGAGTACTCGCGAAAATGTTAGATCTGATCATATTATTCATTTTTCTTCCTTGGTTATAAGTCAGAAATGGTTTTTATGACAAAACTTTGCAAATGAATTAGGTGGAAATAGATTTTTTTTTTGGCATGACTAAAATGAACCTGTAAATTCTTAATATCAGCAGCAGTTGATGTAATATGTAGGACATGGTACATAGTCTACTTGCTAAATTTATATCTCTACATACGTTATATAGAATTATCCATTCATAAATATCCAGAATATAATTGTTATTTGTCATATAGTATAATTATGAACAAATCAACCTTAGTCACAGGGCTCTGATGCACAGTGAAGGTCTGGAACAGTTGTGGTCCATGACCCACAGTCTCCGGATGCTGTACTATCACCCTTACAGATCCATATCTTGTGCCGTACGCTATTTCTATCCAGTTTCCACATAAATCTAAAAAAATATATAGGGTGTGATGAAAAAATCTTAACAGTACCTTTGATGTGCGTAATGCTAGTTTTTGCCAGTGATTTTGTTTGCTTGGATTTCAGAATTGGGTTCAGAAAGATATAATTGTAAGCTTTATAATATTTTTTAATTTGAGGATTAGATATAGAATATTGTGTATAAACATACTTACTCGTTTTGGGCGTTAAGTAAACAGATATTGCGGTGATGGGCTCCTGATTTGGATCTTTATAAAGCTGAGTCACCAGAAGATCGTTGTCTTTCATTCTAAGCGGAAATTTTTGCATGTCTAGAAAGAAAAATGTTCTATTAGTCCTTCAATGCAAATAATATGGGGGGTAGGATTTTTACAATGTCCTCCAACTATCAATATTTGTTAAGAAACTGTTTTATTACACTTTTCACTTATTTATTTTAATTCAGCTTAATTATAAAAAATTATACACTTTTAAAATTGTGAGAGGGCAACACAACTATTCTTAAAATAGCTGACCACTGAGTGGATAGATATTAATCCTGATTTTCGCTGGTATCGATGAAATTTCATTCTGAATAATATATAATACAGTTTAAAACTATCAGTAAGTTAACCTGACAAGTGAAAATTTCTAACCTATGTAATTGATGGCACCAGTGGCTGTTCCCAATAACAGAAAAGAGCCGGCAGTATCATGTGTAGTGAGGTGTGCTACGTCTTGAGTCTGCCAGTGTTGAGTGCTAGTGTGCCATACACCCGCCTTACTACGACTGCCCGGCCCACTTAATGCCACTAGTTGTGGACCCACAAACAGTAGATGTTCCACTCGAACCCCAAGATTAAAGGTGCCTAAAATAATTAATAATATCTATAATCTATATAATATACTTTTTTCGATTTTTTGGAATAGAAATTTATTTACAACTAGAAGACCTGGCGAACTTCGTATCACCCTATAATCAAGAAATATCTATTACGTTTTTTTATTTATATTTTTGGAGTTTACCTGTAAGCCATAAATCTCCGTGTTTTGAAGTCCGACAGAATAATTGACATATTAGTTAGTTGTCAAATCTAATGTAAAAAAAAAACGTTTGTATGGGAAATAAAAAAAGGGCTGTTTTTATGGTTTTCCTAGTAATGAATCAATTTTTTTCAGCTTTTATACCTTCCTCAGTCTTAGACTAAGATAAGATAAATTCGTTCAGCTGTTCTCGAGTTTTAGCGAGACTAAGGAACAGCAATCCATTTTTATATATATAGAAGAAGAAGATAGAAGATAACCTAGTTTTCTGCATTCCAAAATAGTTAACTTAATTATATCCCATATAATAATCGTGTTAAGTAGTGGTTTTACCTATCAAATTTCGCCTCAATGGTTCAGTATGGGTTGAGAAAGCCCACAATCTCACAAGTGGTCCACTAGCGATTCCCAGCATCACATCAGTTCCTGTGGAATTACTACCACTAGAGGTGGCGCCACCTGTCTTAGCATTGAGGGCAATTCGTTCTATAGCAGAATCTTGTACTGGTGATTGGAAGACTATATACCAACCGCAGGAATCTGTGAGTCTAGAAAAACAGATATTACAATTAATATATTAATAAACTAGTTTTTGAGAATTAGTAATATATGTATAGCTGACTATTCCGCTCTAGAGACCATAAATAAGTGAATATTGGAATTTATTAAGTTTTTTTTCTTTTTCAATTGAATAAAATTAATAATCTTATGGTTCCATCTCCACAACTACATTAAAAATATAAAGATATTACTTTGTTAAAATAATATATTATATTTTGATACAAGTTGATATAACTTTATAGTAAGGTTTCACCTGTAGCCAGTAACAAAATGTGTGTAAGCAACAGCGATCCAGTTATGATGTGCTTTTATAATTTGCACTTTCATATTATCTTGCCAGGTGTTAACTGCAACAATGAAAATTATTTCACATGAACGACAGACGAAATTTCTCAGAACTCAATGGATTTCCCGTGTGGGTGCCGGGTCCATTCCGTTTCAGGGAGAGGAGCTTCAACAGTGCTTAGAACTTGCGATTCAAACGTAGGTTTAAGGAGCTCCTATCTAAAGCAAGTTAAACGGTCATCTCCACAGTCAAAGCTCCTCTCTGTATCTAACAAAATTTTATTTCTATTTTCTACAAAACAGGCGATTATAAAGAAATAATATTTTTTACATTATTTTGGTAACCCTTCACTTATTTAATAATATAATAATATAAAGCAGATAAAAATGTATGGTAGTACAAAATTTGAATTGCAATATGTATTGAAAATCTTATCTGTTAGCTTTATCTTCATAATAGCTGCATTTCAATCTGGTCATTGCTATCTCATATTATTATTATATATATTATATTGTTTATAAAAATATCTTTGTAATATAAAACATATAGCTACCTTCAGGTGGACGGAGTCCTTTGTGACTGTCAGTATTACCAAGAGAAGCCGCCCTTGAATGACCTCTACCGCATCGACTGAAACAAAAAAGTTACCACAGTCCAATATATAGTTGTAAACGCTTTACAATAAAATCTCTTAACAAACAATGAAATATGCTAATCTTAAATGAAACTAAATTAAATTTTATCATTAAAATAAAAACTACTTAGCAATTGAAACATTGGGAGTATGTAGTCTTTTTAAAAATAATAAATTATGTGCAGTACTCTTAAAATATTAGTTTCATTTATTTGATACTCTTTAAAAGTCTTAGTCTCATTATGTGCCAACCTTAATTGGTCCTGTGATGGAATCCTTCCTACCGCTCGTAAATCTAATGAGGAGTTACGTGAATGTGTTCTGTTAGCTGTTACTTCTGTGTTAGATGCTGTAGAATTCTTTCTAGATACTGTTCCACATCTTGAAGTACTGCCATTTGGTAAGGGTGCATTTACTAGAAATATAAAAGATATAAAAATTATATAATTTAAAAAAGAGAGATATATTACACAATGTGTCTTTAAGCCTGACTATCGAAGGACTGAATTGAAAATAAATCAAATCAAATCTTAAAATATATGGATTTTAAAAGAGTAATAAAATTAAACAATGATTTTTTATACTTGCATTTCCACATTAACAATACATTTTTACTATACAGGATTAAAACATGCATATTCCTTATTATATGTCAATAGGATTCTATTATTCCAAGGAGAGAGGGGTATTTAAGTCTAACCTAGTGAATAATCCAAATTATTAACTGATGTTTAAGTAGTTAGGTCATATATGTATATTTTAAGTGTTATAGATATGAAAATTATTCATGTACTTACATGGTGGTGGAAGATATCCATGGAAAAGTACATCCCCACATGAAGAATGGTTCATCTCATCACACAATGCAAGTCTCCTGCTTAGAGGAGTGATACCAAAGTAATCACATTCATGCCTCAATGCCCTTATGTTTACGTTATTTAGATCTATATCTCTAGTGCGTAAGAAGTTGAGAATGAGACCGAAGAGATTCGGATCTCTATCTATAAATATAGCTCCAGTTTCATCCCGCACCGTGGGTATACGACCGCTGAGTAGAGCCGTGAAAAATGTATCTGGTACCCATGTTAGAGTATGCCATGAAGTTGAAAATCTTAAATAATATTAAAAAAATCAAATTCCGTCTTAATAAACTTTATCGAAAGTGAAATCGAACACAAAGTAAATTAACTTGAAATTTACACTACCTTGTACCACCGATGTTTAAGTTGACGATTTCCTGATAGTTAGACATTTATATTGCTATCAAAGTTGTTAAAATTAAGACAGTAGAATGTAAACGATAAACATGTAATTTATTTATATTTCACTTTCCAAAATAATCCATTAAAATGACATTTGACAGTTTATATCTGACAGTTTCAATAAATATTAAAGAGTTAGGTATTGTGAGACATTGGCAGATGAGGTCGTGAACAGTTCTTACGTTAAATTACCCAAAATATAATTTAAGTGCTAATAATTGCAATGGATTGTTATAAGGTTACCTTAAAGGTTACTTATTTGCCTTTGTTTTCTTAATATATATCTGTAAAAAAATATTTTTTTTTTTTTTTGATCTCCTCATAAGAAAAAGGTATATTAAAAATCATTAAAAGCAATACACAAAAACTGATACACATTGTTTATAATTGTGTTTTAATATCCAAAGAGATAAAAAATATTGATATTTTTAATCTGTATGCCACATTCATTTATAAGTTTTTTTGCTTCTGGTAACCAACTTTAAAGAGAGACGTGTCCGTCAGCTAAAAGTCAATCAATTTCAATAGATATTCGTATTCATGTTGAATTGATGTATGATAAATCAATTATTGAATAAGTTTATAGGTATTAATGCGTACCAAGATGCCGTCAGCGGCAACGGAGAATAAGGCCAATGTTCCTAAAAAAGGGATATTTAACAACACCACGGGCTTTAGCACTCTTATTACTGTTACAGTTTTATCATTAGCTTGGTTGGCCGGTTTTGCTTCCCGGCTTTTTGCTGTTATTCGTTTTGAAAGTATTATTCATGAATTTGACCCATGGTAAGTCGAACACAATCTTATAACGACACTTTGACAAAAACTACTCAGGACTATTTCATGTACCAATTGACTATTACAGGTTCAACTACAGGTCTACCGCGTATATGGTACAGCATGGGTTTTATAATTTTTTGAATTGGTTTGACGAACGTGCCTGGTACCCATTAGGTCGCATTGTGGGGGGTACGGTGTACCCCGGACTTATGATAACTTCAGGAACCATACATTGGATCCTACATACATTAAACATACCCATCCATATTAGAGATATCTGTGTTTTCCTTGCACCTGTCTTCAGGTAAGAATAATTAACATTTGTAATTTTTTTTAATACTATTAACTGATATTATCATTAAATATTACTTTCAAAATTTCCAGTGGCCTTACAGCTATAGCCACCTACCTTTTAACCTCAGAACTTTGGTCTAGAGGTGCAGGATTGTTTGCTGCATGTTTCATAGCTATCATACCGGGCTACAGTAGTCGATCTGTGGCTGGTAGTTACGACAATGAGGGCATTGCCATATTTGCATTACAATTCACATATTACTTGTGGTTGAAGAGCATTAAAAGTGGGTCAATATTTTGGTCGATTTGTACAGCACTGTCTTACTTTTACATGGTAAGTTATGCAAATAAAAAATAATACCTCTTTCATTAAAATAATTATTGTTCAAAAACCAATTATGAAACTATGCAGATATTCAATTTGTTTGTTTGATTCTTGGTAGTTATGGAATTTGAATGTTTGGATACTCAACATTTTGTTTAGGCATAGTCAACTATTTGAAATAATATTTATCTTACAGGATAAACAACAATCTTTTAAATCTTTATTAATTAAATATGAAAAAAATCAAAATATTATTTAGTCTATTTCACAACAATATCAGTCTCTTCAATTATTATTTTTTGTATTGGAATACTATATTTTGTGTTCAATATTCTTACTCTACTAAAGACTACCAGAAATTTGATCAAAATAAAGTTATATTGAAGTATAGTTGAAGTTATTTTTATACATGTTAGTAATATACTAAAAGTAAGTTAAGATATAACATTTCTTATCAATTCTGGCCTATTTCGGTTTTCCCAATCAGTCTTATGTCCTCCTCAAATGTATTATAGGCAGTGAGAATATAGATTACTATATATTCTTACTATTTTCAGGTGTCAGCATGGGGTGGTTATGTGTTCATCATTAATTTAATTCCGCTTCATGTGTTTGTGTTGCTCATAATGGGCAGATTTTCACAAAGATTGTTTGTAAGCTACTCAGTCTTCTATATAGTAGGACTGTTATTGTCTATGCAGATACCATTTGTAGGTTTTCAACCTATCCGCACAAGTGAACATATGGCGGCATCAGGTGAGAGACCTTTTTGAAATGTATTCACTTTTTTTTAACATCATTTGTTTCATAGATACTTTTGAGTGATTTTTTTTTTAAGGTATTTTTAGCAAAATTTGTTATAAATTAATATAAAATATACCAATGGAGCAATTTTTTTAACTATATAATATAGATAAACAAGATATATAATATACTAGAAGACCCGGCGAACTTCGTTTCGCCCTATAATCAAGAAATATCTGTTACGTTTTTTTATTTATATTTTTGGAGTTTACCTATTAAAGCCATAAATCTCCGTGTTTTGAAGTGATTAGGAATGATTAATAGTTAATATGAGAGTTACACTGAGCTAGCAAAATAATAATTGTCAACGTTACTACTACACTTGATGCACAAACAATAACGATGGCCGACAACTGTGTAGGGAGTGAGAGAAGTCTAATTGTGTGAGAGAAACAGAAGACCGGCTTCGTTCTCATCCCTACTCCGTGCTGTTTACTGGGTCAGAAGTGACACCTGTAGATATCTGGCGGGGATAACTTATTAAATGACGATTGATCAGTTATCGACCGGAGATGAAAAATGATTAAATTACTAAAATAGCTATTAAAAAATAAGGGTTGATCGTAGAAGGGTGAAAATTTAGGATTGTATGTATTTTTGTACGTTGTATCATAAAAAAATAGTAATTAAAAATTTTGTCTAAAAAATAAAAAAAAAAATTTAGGGGTGGACTACCCCTAACATTTAGGGGGATGAAAAATAGATGTTGGCCGATTCTCATAGCTACCGAATAAGCACAAAAAATTTCATCAAAATCGGTCAGGTTGTTTCGGAGGAGTATGGGCACGAAAACTGTGACACGAGAATTTTATATATTAGATAGATATACTAAAAAAAAAAATTGTAAATACATCATGGGTTTTTAACAATTTTATCAATATAATCTTTTTCTTAGGGGTATTTGCCTTGCTTATGGCAATCGGTGCTCTGAAGTATTTACACAGTCTGAATCCTAAAGGACAATGGAAGCAGCTGTTGATCCTTGGTGGTCTGGTCGCTGCTGTAACAGTGTTCTTGGCTGTGGTTCTTCTCACATATATGGGAATTATTGCTCCCTGGAGTGGCAGGTGGGAATAATTTACTTTTAAATTTTGTTTTTGTTAATATTGAGATGTTAATTATATACATTTTGGAAACCAATGGCAACTTGCAGTGTTTGCAAAATTTAATGTGTAAAGTAACTAACACTTAGAAGACTCAATTGCATCTATTCTTTACCTCACAAAAGTATTTTTTTGTAGTTTTGTTTTAAATAGCTGGGAATACAAAATATATCCATATAAGATATCCTGTACTTATTTATATGTATATAATTATGCATATATTTCTTAAGATCATTTCAATGTGTCATAATGATAAACTTATTAGAATTGCAAATCGCACTTGTGTTATGGGCCAACTGCAGAGTAACAGATGTGTTGTAACATGAATAATTCTATAGAAATTGTATAATATTCTATAGAAATAAGGTATTAAAGAGGTCACCTATTAATTATTGACAAAATTTTTGTACATAAACTATTTAGGGATAAATAGTAAACTCATTTAAATGTAAAAAAAATTATATACATATAATACATAATTTATATTGAATTTTTAAGAAAAGTGTAAAGTTAAAGTATCATAAATTATAATATAAATAATAATTTTATAGGTTCTACTCTTTATGGGACACAGGGTATGCTAAGATCCATATTCCTATAATAGCGTCGGTATCAGAGCATCAGCCGACCACATGGTCATCTTTCTTCTTTGACCTCCACGTTCTGGTGTGCACCTTCCCCGTAGGATTGTGGTACTGCATCAAGAATGTCAACGATGAAAGAGTGTTTGGTAAGTGTTATTAATATTTTATGTTAAGTTTTAATGATAAAATACCAGTTTGTTGTCTATTTTTAATTAGATTAATATTTTTTATCCTAACTGCTATTTAATTGTATACTTGTTAACTTAACATTCTATCAATGATATCTATTATGAAGATTTAATTAATTTATAAAGCAATTAGTCTGATGTTTTCTTGATTGTTCATTTTAGGAACTAGAAACTGGTTGTATTTGTTGCATTCATTTGCATCTATCTTGCATAGTCTACTATAATGCTATAGAAGATTTTTTTTAATCAATCAATCAGTCAATCATAATTCAATATTAATAATATTCATTGTATCATATATCCAGTGGCGCTATATGCTCTATCAGCGGTTTACTTCGCCGGTGTAATGGTTCGGTTGATGTTAACTTTAACGCCGGTGGTGTGTGTGTTGGCTGGGATCGCCTTCTCCATACTGTTGGACCTGGTGCTTAGAGAGGATGAAACTCCAGCACCAACACAGGAAAGCGATGATAAGAACTTGTATGATAAGGTGATTATAATATTTACATGTATATGTGTTAATATAAGATGTAGTTCTATTAAGCTGTTGTTATATTTACACCCTGTACCTATGTTAACATGATAAGATTCATTTATATTAGATTATTATTATATTTGATTATTTACATCTTGTATGTAGATATGATGATTTTCAGTTATTAAGTGCTTGATTATGTAGGTAGATGTAGGTGATAGATTTGTTAGTTCTTTTATTCAACCTGTATAATATGAATGCATGAGGATATTGTGATACATATTGTACTCAATTCTCTTGTTAATAGTAGTAATATAATTAGGGTATGTGTGTAAACATACAGAATGCTCTATAAAGATTATAGAATAATCTGTAGATTTCTATGGTGTGGATATTTCTCCTTTTACACTATTATAAAGTAATTTTTTTTTAATATGATACTGTAATATTAAAAGTATAAATAATATTACTTGATTTCCAGTTTGTTGTATATTAATATTTAAAATAAATATAATTTCAGGCTGGTAAATTAAAAAAGCGTACCCCAGAGCCAGTCGGGGAGACTGGTTTAGGTATGAATGTACGTTCAGGTACCCTCATAGCATTCATGATACTATTGATGTTGTTCTCCGTTCACTGCACCTGGGCCACCTCAAACGCATACTCAAGTCCTAGCATAGTGCTGGCCAGCTATGGTAATGATGGGTAAGTTATCGATATACAGGGTGACTGGTGAATTACTATCGAGGACGTGATATTTGACGATCATATATGACAAAATAAAAATTAATATAACATAAATATTAATAAACTTCTAAGTAAAGTTAACCAAAAGTTATGTAATTAATTACGCATCGTATGAACACCCTACAGATTAGGAGATTAGGTATACACACACACTCACACATAAGCGAGCGGGGCGTGGTGTTGTATCAGCACGCCGCCGCACGCGTCCACACTTGGAACACTTGGAACGTGTCAACACTTTATTTATTTATACGGAAATTTTGTCAAAAATTAAGTGCCTATTTTTTTTACATAATTCGAATGAGAATCATGTACCGAGTATTCTCCTTAAATATTGATAGTAATTCACCAGTCACCCTGTATATTAGTTTCGATAAAGTTATTATATGTTGTCGATATGGATGTGCTATATATATTAATTTGTTTTATTCTGATTTCCGACTAAGGGAGCGTTCAAGTATTACGTAACGCAATTTTCGAAGATTTTTGACCCCCCTTCCCCCCTCGTAACGCACAGAAACGTTTTTCTGTAGTCCCCCCCCCTCTCAAAACGTTACGTAACATTCAAGTGATCAATTTCATCCAAAGTCGTAAAACAATATGTAATAGTTTGGTATAGTTTTAATCTATTAAATTAAAAAAGGTCATTGACACAAATCTCCCACTTCTGAAGAAATTACAGTATGAACACTATGACCTCACGGATAAACACTAACGAATACTGACCACGGACCCAACATTACAAGACGTAAAATGCAATCTAGGTATTTTCCGTAAAATATCAACTAAGAGGTTTGCAAACTTGGAATAACAAATAAAAATATCGACCATACTAATACAATCTCGTCAACATAATGTAACGTATATGAAAAGAGTTGCCAGTTTGGGGGTTTTTATTAATATTTTTCTTTAGAAACAATGCTACGTAACGTTTTGTAAGAGACACCTCCTCTCTTCCCTGTAACGCATTGTAACGTTTTACGAGACCCCCCCTCCCCCCAAAATTGCGTTACGTAATACTTGAACGCTCCCTAAAAATAAATTACCAGCTCATAGAAAATAAATTTGTTAGAAATATGACTCACAAAATATTCAAGTCTCAAGGTTTTTCACACATATACCAGTATTCTTCATATTCAATTTTCTATTTAAGAATGGAACACATTGTTTCGAAACCTATATTAAGCTCATAATGTATATATTATAATGATTTTTCCTCATATATCCTGTCTTTCTTTGTAGATCACGTAAAATCTTAGATGACTTCCGAGAAGCTTATGGTTGGTTATCACAGAACACAGCTGAAGATGCCCGAGTGATGTCCTGGTGGGACTACGGTTACCAGGTTATCTATATTATATATATCATAATGAATACGTGTTTGTTTGTTTGTTGTTCCTTCCTAAATTTTAAACACTATTGTGATCCAACAATAGTTTGTAAAATTGGAATATCTACCTAAAACTATTACATCTATATATTAATTATATTAAAAATTATTAGGAAGACCCGGGCTAAAGCTGGGAGATTACCAGGCAGAAGATTAAACATCAATTTTTTTTAATATACTTCTAAAATATAAAGAATTTGTCTGAACTAAAACACTAGCTTTTCAAATATAGTCACTAAAGTAATATGTCATTACAAATAATATTGCTAACTCCTATGCATAAAATGCTCTATTGATTCATAAATAATATATTACGATTAACCTGAATAAGTATTAAATACAACTATTATATACATATGTTATACATAATACTATTTTCTGTTTCACAGATAGCTGGTATGGGCAACAGAACTACCCTAGTGGACAATAATACTTGGAACAATTCTCACATAGCATTGGTTGGTAAAGCCATGGCAAGTAATGAGACGGCAGCTTACAATATAATGACTATGTTGGATGTGGATTATGTTCTGGTTATATTTGGTGGTGCCATCGGTTACTCAGGTGATGATATCAATAAATTCATCTGGATGGTCAGAATAGCTGAGGGCGAACATCCTAAGGATATACATGTGAGTTATTTGTTTTTTAATATTTATAGTACACTCATGAGAATTTTTCATGAAAATATACATGTATTTTCTTCAATGTAACAATTTTCGTACGTATTTAAAACTGAAACTAATATATTCGGATTAAAATGCGTATTTCATTATTTTTAAAAATACATATTCCCAACGTCACAGTTACTTTGCAGAAACCGTGATCACAGGCCGACGAGATGTGAAGTCTTAAATCTCATTAATCATTACGTTTTTAAAAAAAATATCTTCATGAATGAATTAAATAGTTTTTACAAATTAATTTTCAGTATGTATAGCTATTTGAAAATACTTTAATATTGTACCTTTTTATATCCATTTTGTCTCTTTACAGGAAGCTGATTACTTCACAGAGAGAGGGGAGTACAGAATAGATTCAGAGGCATCAAAAACTATGTTAAATTCACTTATGTACAAATTATCATATTATCGGTAAGTACGTCTTTATATATAGCATAATAGTAATATATCTATCTCCACACAACCTAATTAAAAATCACCATACTATATATGTATTTGGAAACTCTTTTAAAAGCTTAATCTGATGTTTTGAAAACAAAAAGATGACTACTTACATATCGTCGGGGATACTGCAAATCCGCAAAAGTATCAATGGATAATTTGGCATATCTACAATGGAAGCAGATTATATAAACTAAACACTAAATAATTACTAATTGTGAATATAACCTTAAAAGTCGTTAATTTAGAAAATATTTCAGCTTAAACTTTCTTCTGATAGTCTGCTTCCAATGTAGATACGTGGAATTATCCAATGTTAGTTATGCGAATTTGCACTATCCCCGATAATATTTAATTTTATAATCTATATACTAATGTTTGGTAATAATGATCATGTATTTTATAGATACGATAGCGGTGGAAGTCCCCCGGGCTTCGACCGTACTCGCGGCGCCCTGCCTGGTCTGCGTGGATTCAAACTGACGTACCTCGAGGAAGCCTACACCACTGAGCATTGGCTCGTCAGAATATATAGGTAACTCATAAATTATATAAAAGACTATTTAACGTTCTAAAATGATAAATAGCATATATATGATTCACGGTTTTGTTTCCTAAATATGTTTATTTGTTAGAGCTTGGCCGAGAAAGAAATTCCAATATAGACCGTTTTTTAAGTCATGTTATTAATTGTTTATTTAACTTGCACTTTTATTAAGTTCTTTTTGATATTTTATTACAATAATGCTAAATAGTATTTTTGTAATTTTTTTGACAATACAATAGTTTTATTTAAAAAACAATACTTTTGTTTACAAACGGCCACATGTATGTAGTGTAATAAATGCAAGTTTATAAGTAAAATTATTTTTGTGTATTTTTTATTTATAGAGTTAAGAAACCAGATGAATTCAACCGACCACGACTGCCTCTGGCCAAGAGGACAATACAGACCTCCAATGTCATGTCTAAGAAAGTAAGTGAAATTTAATACAAGATTATAATTTATTATTATATATTTTGTTTGTATAAAGCTTAATTCTATTTACAGCTGGCTGTTGATATAGGACACATGGTATAGTACAATTAATAAATTACATTTTATGTTTTCTTATATTCTTCATATTATTTTCAGTATATATTTTGTTTTCTTTGAACTTATTTATTTGTTTTCCATCACTAGACGTCAAAAAGAAGAAAAGGTGCGTTAAAGAACAAGCCAATATTAGTGAAGGGCAAGAAAGTGACCAAGTTGGATTGACGCAAAAAATAAGACTAATTTCGTTCCAGGGTTGCCATGCCATGTGTCCGCCATTTTAAGATTAACCACAGACAAATGTTGAAGTATCATAAAGTTAATTATATCTGTAATATTAAATATTGTATGTTATTTTTTTTCAGACAACATATTTACCATTTATCATTGTCACTGTTGAAGAATTGTTCCTAAAATGTATATTTGGGTTCATAAACTAATAAACACACAAAATAAGTCTTTATTATTTTTAATTTAGTTAGTATCTGTGGGTATGAGGAAGTCAATTGATTTTACAATTAAAAAATCTTGTGAAAAATACATATATTTCTAATATTGTCAAGTTTAATGGAACTTTTATTTATTATAAAGGTTTCTTTCTTGTGCTTATTATTTATGATTACATTGAATCAGTACGTTATATCACGAAAATATTGTTGCTATGAAATAGACCGTATAAATACATTTAGGAAACATAGTTAGATGGCCATTTTTATATGACTGTGATGAAGCAAAAAACAAGCAAAGCCGTAGGAAAATACAGGTTTATATTTATGTTTCTTTAAAAAACTGATATGATTACGACAAAATTATTTATAATTGAAGAATTGTAACACATTTGGATGCATTGCATGGCAACACTGTTGAACAAGTTGCTACGACTGACACCAATTAATATTGTATTAATTCATTTAATAAATACATAAATTTTGTTAGAATAAAATATTAAATTATTTTTTCCGCACCTAATTACATGGACGGTGGTAGCCAATTGAAATTTAATTTTCATACTATCGTTCAATAATTCGTTCATTTAATATTTCTTTTATGTTTTGTGTTACTTAATGTATGTCCATGAGATAGTGTTTTAATTATATGACAGTGTAACACGTTTATACTTTCTACGTCCATTTGTATAAACAAATAAATCCTAATATGGATTTTTAAAGGGAATATAATGTGTGTGTATTTAAACTGTCAGTGATTTTTTTGGGCAATAAATTTATTGTAAGAAACGTCGAAATGCTTACAAACTTATTTCTGGCGATTGCTAGTTTTTCTTTTTTTTTTTAAATTGCACTTCTATACTGTTAAGTATGCAATGATGCAATGATTGAATATTTTTGAGACTATTGTTAAACTTATTGTAATTGTGAACACCAAAGTTAAGGTGCTGGTCTAAATGTCACTTAAATAACTAAAGCTAGTTTTTTTTAATTCATTGAAGAAAATTGTCCTTTATTAAATTTAAAGTTTTGAATTTCGAATAGAATTATAGTAGAGCTGTAAAATGAGTTTGTATATATTATTGTTGGCCAGCGTTTGTAGTTAGGAGTATTTCTTGACGTGCGTTCGTGATTTTGTCAGCATTTTTTTGGTATCTCTCCGTCGTCATGTGAACTAAGATGTTATGTGTTTTAATTTTATTGTTGCACAGCACTATTTGTTTTATTCTTGGTATTTTCTAATAGAGTTTTATCAATATGTATTAAGATTTCATTTTAGTTTACAATGTTCTTAATAAAGAGGTGAAAATATATTGATTGGTTATTTTCTTTTGATGCTTCCTAGTTAAATCATTTTCGCTTCCTTAAAACTGATCTTTGTGAAAGTTCTCCAACTGTGTATTTAAAATATTAAAAAGTAACTTGGGTGAAACTTGCAACACTGCAATTAAAAAAAAGCTAACTGAGATTGTTAACTTCTACTCAATATAGTGATATTAAACATTTATTTTCTTTTTAAATGAGGGTACAAAAAGTAATACTGCCTTACAACGCACTTTGCACTTATAATGACTTACCTTCCGCCTGGTTCTGCTTCAAACTTCAAAGAATAGAGTGCGCAATTATTTAAAAAATACGTCTGTCGTTCATAATATGACATACGTACAATATGTCAAACAATTATTTTCAAATATGACAATATCATGAATACTAGAGCGTATTCTTTTGGGACAACAAAAAAATATTGGTTGTTTGTAAAGTAGGTTTACGATCGAGATGTTTACGTGATAACGTCTTATTGGTGATATAAGTTTTTGGGAAGTAAAACATTCAACAAAAACTTAACCGCACGAGAAAATCTCCATTCGTTTGTGTGCCGCTAGAGTGAGAGAGACGGAAGACCTGTCCACTCACTCAAACGTTATGCCTGCCTCCGCTCGTGAGGATTCTGCGTGACAAGTTTCACGGAATGACTGGCAGCGCTCGAGATGAGACGGTAGATCGGTCCGTCTCTCTCTCATTATATGTACCTGAGATCGCGCTCGTGAGGTTTTGGTGTGACACAAGTTTCTGAACATGTCACCCGACTAAAACGATTTTAAACACGTTATCACGTCAATAATAATATTTGAAATACAGCATATCGAAACTGTGACATAATGTTCCATCTATGTATCGGTATGAATTTAAGTTAAAAAAGGACTTGTTAGTGTGAAGTTTATTTTCGAAACTTTTAATACAATTGTACATTACAGTGTCGAGCTGTCAAAACATTTGATGTCAAAACTACTTAAAACTTATTTCTTTTCTGTCAAAAATAGCGGACGGCTATTAAATTATGCTATGTCGTTGTATGAAGACATCTGAAAATTAATATGAATTGTGTATACATCGGCCATGCTTATGTATCAGAAACTTTTCCGTAGAATTTTTTATAGTTGCTATGTTTTAAATTGTAGGAAAAATGTCTCTTCTGCATAAAGTAATTATGCAAAACATCAACGTCTTAAAATAAAAAAAAAAAACACGTAAAGTGGACGACATTTTACCTTTTGTAAAGTGTACTGGTGAAATCTTAATGATAGATCTGTTTAGTATAAATGCTTATCCAAGTCTTTGTCATTTGTAAGTTTAAAATTATCGACGATTCAAATAGTTCAGCCTTGAGCAAAAGAAGTTTGGGAATGTGAAGGGTTTTGAGGGGCTACTTACCAGAGATGAGAAGAGTGCTTAAGTTGAGACACACTTCTTTTTGTATGTAATTAATAGAAAATAAGACTCGTTGTAACGTAAAAAGAAATAACAATTTCTGAATTAATAAATATTTGACGAGTATCTCAAGTGTTGATATGAGAAAAGGCGGATTAAGTGTAGTAAATCTTGAAAATTCTTTTTTCACTTAAGACTTGATGACTTCCAGTTAGTAGGTGCACCTATCGGAAAACAGTAAATTTTTAAAGTACAACGAAATGTTGGGTTCAAAATGTTTTTTCTTCCTAAATGTTTCTTTTTATTGAAAAGTTTCGGACCACCTGATAAATATCAGGTGGTCCGAAATTAAGTTCTTTATTTCGTGCAACGTCTAAGAATTTCGTCTAAGAACGTCTAGGAAGAAAAAAATATATGACATCGTTATAACGATATCCAAACAGCTGCTTTAACACATTGATGGGAAAATTAAGATTTTTTTTCTAATCTAAGTAGTATTCATTGACATTCAGTATGCTTACTGCTTAGTCTAAATTTGTGTCGTCACACTACATACGGCGCAACAGTTGTAAACCTTCACGAATATTATTTATTATTATTTATGTTATTGAATAAGATACGGGAAACGTTTCGTATACAGTGTGATAATGCGAACGTTGAACTAAGCATATTAATCATTGAAATAAGATTAAAATATAAAGCCCACTGCCTAATGAATCTCATACAAAGGTACAAACCAGGTTGAAAAAGCTCTTCTTGACGCTTGAAAATTTGTCTTATGTAAGTGAAATAAACTTCGTTTTGGTTGCCTTCGGCTAAAAATTTACCTAAGGTTGTTCGTAGTGTTTTATACAATTAAGCTATAGTTTTGTTATTGAAAAAAGTTGAAGTGTAATGTACTCTGTGTAATGTGGTCTTCGTTGTGTAGGGTTTTAAAGAAAAAACCAAATTGACAAAACCTTCACCATATATTTATTAATAAAGACAATCTAAAAGATCACGTAAGTCATTGTCTTAAAAAATTAGTTACCCTAATAAATTTATCAATATATATACTGTTTTTATTTTACTTATTGTTTCAAAGATATGCGAAGTTGTGAAAAGTCACCCGAAGCGGGAGGGGACAGGACTCCAGAATAATCGTTGTTCTTACGAATCACATTGATTATAACAATGAATCTAAAATACATTATACATGTACATTTCCAAATATACTATTCCAGTTTAATCTAAATGCTTACAAACATTAAACTAACGTGTCTACGCGAAGAATTGTGCTAATCTAAAAAGGTGTCTACATCGTTTATAGTAAAAGACTTTTGTAATTTACAGAACGTTCAAAATCACAACACAGAGTGTAATATCAAATTATCGTGCATTTGGCACGCTTCAGTATTTCCTACGATTAAATTACAAATAGAATACGTATGTTGACCGACGGCTCTCCACCACGAAACTGCAATCGGATACATATTTAATACCTTACAAAGTATGGTATTAAATTCACCAGGTTTTAACGGGGTTCTTAAAAAGTTTTAGTGTATAATTTGTATAAATTTATAACACGTATAAATTGAAAATTACAATTGATTACAATTTTATTCTGTGGTAGAGCGCCGCCATATTTGAAGGGGTGATTTGTCTTCCATCATACCTTACACACATTATTTGTTACAAAATTAGAAGAATATAATTATCCACTTAGCTTATAAAATATCAATATTCTATAATAACATTAATGTGTTGACACAAATACATAAGGATATATATACATTTATTAACCTATGATTTGGATATAGAGAAATGGAATTTGAAATAATCTAAAATTTATCGGGACATCAAGTTAATATAAATACACAATTACAGTTTATTTAAAATTTTGTTAGTTTGTTCACGCAAAAAATTAAAATAATAATAATAATACGTCTTTGTATTAAATTGACTTGTAGTATTCGTAAAATATACCGATATATTTTTGTACAACTTCGTATTGTTTATAATAAAACATCGAGGCTAGTGTAATGTTCGTTATTAATTTAGCCCGTAGTGTCTTTATATTAATAAATAATAACGTAAAATAATTTACTAGCAAAACCTTGAACAAATACTGATTCACTTTACGACACTAACGTTTATATAGTGAATCACAAATAAATGCAATATCCAGTGCTTCATAAAACCAGTTTCAAACGAACAACAGATGAAAATAACATTAGTATAAAAATAAAATCGTAAGGCACTTCTATATATAAATAGAAAGAAGATTGTCCAATATGATCTTATAATTTAATTCTAAGCGCTTGTGCGAAATAGTTTTAAGACAGTTTATTATAGTTTAAATATATTATGTATACCAAATGTTTGTTAATTCTGGAAAACGGCACATTGGCATAGTCTTTAATATCTGCGGATTGAAATATCAGTTTTGAAATACAACTGTTTTTGCACACACAGAACTCTGTGTCGTGACATAGAATTGTTAAATTAAATTCCGCTTTTTACCCTAACTAGCTGATTTTGGCACAATTAATAGTTATCCACTATAAAATAAATATAACGGTACGCAGAATAATCGCTTAGATATTTTTTTTATGTACTTCAGTCTTAATAGCTAGAGTATTGTTAAAAAATATTTCTGGAGGGAATTGTCTTCAATAAATCGTAATTTTATTTCATTTACGTAAATATATGTCCGGTACGATAATTTGAAAAATATTTCGTTTTTATAAGTAACAAGTTTTAATTAAGTACATTATGAAAATAATTTCTTTTTTTATCTAAATGTTGAATGTTGTATTTTAAACCAGGTTAGATATAAATTGAAAACACGCGAGGCGAGTGCTCGCATTGCTTCTGTAAAATTTCTTTCATGCATATAATCAAATTTATGTTGAGAAAAAATATAATTTTTACTATAATCTATCCTCATGCGTGAAATATTTTTTGTTTCTTTGTATCGAAATAAATAACTTATGATATAATATTGATGTAGTTCGTAATTTCTCTTAATTTAATATCTAGTCACTCTTTGCTATAAAATAAATGGCACATCTTCAGCGGACACAAAAGCGTTAATAATTTACTAAATTTTACATTTGGGGTTTATTTAAAGCCTGGCCTTAATATAAGACATTCTATTTATCTAAAATTAATTATATAAGAAAGTTTTCTTTTTCTAATTTGGCATAGATTTTAAATCGTATTACAATTTTGGCAACAGATTGAAAAATAAGGTAACAGTAGAAAAAATTCGTCCATTTTGTTAAAATAGAACACAACCAAACAATCACACGTGTTAGTGATTTTACAAATAGTTTCATTGCATTCTAAATATTTACATTAAATACATTGAGTATTATATTGTACCCATTTAATATTTTACACAGATGAAGGATACAGGATGTTTATAGAGAACCATTTATGTTCGTTGACAGAACAGCTGTCATTAATACGCCACTTGTCTATTAAAATGACAAGTAAAAGAAATATTTTTGGATAAACACAAGACAAAGAGAAAAATTATAAATAGATTCAAAATGACCTAAAATTTCATATTTGTTTAAATAATTATGGAAAATTTCCAAATTATTTCGAAATTCTATTTATCCAGCATCATTTGTTAAAAATTTAATATCATATAAGTCGGTAATAGAAAAATGGCACATTTTTATCTAGCTTCATCTGTTTCTCTATCGTAACATCGACAGCGTTCTACGCTTCCTTAACATGCATTAATATTAACCTAAACGGTTTAACTTAAGTCAAAGAATTTATAAGTATTAAATAATTAACATGTCTTTTTTAAGGAATACTGCCCGAAGTAAGTTGTAAGATATAAAAGTCATTCGGAAGACGAAGTGAACAATTAGACTTCACAACCGCGAAATACGTTTTTAAAACCTTAGTATGAATTTTTAATATAACGTAAAATATCGTTGTTTTGTTTCCATTAAAAGCGTTATTTAAAATTATTTCATCAAGGAAAGAATACAAAAACTTCAATAGTTTACGTTTAAATAAAAAAACCATAGAGAATTAATTAACATTTTGAGTGTCAACGTGGCAGCAGTTATTAATTCTGTTACCAGGCAGAGTGTATGTCAAATTATTGAGCAAGATGTATCGCCCGATTTGTACATTCAAGTATAAATAATACAATACATAAAAAAACAATAATGGTAACATTATCACAACACGTAAGGTACATACATACAGTTAGTTTATCCGTAATATACATCTATTATAAAAAACAAATAACACATCGAATATCAAATGATAGTACATCGAACAATCAACAACAAGGAACTAGTTAATAAAATTACCAACATAAAATATAGTTTGAGCATTATAATAATATTTGTGTAAAAAAATATTATTTCATCAAATTTATGTCTGTCAATGTCGATCAAAGATTCATTTGGATAAGAGAATTAGGTACTGTATAATTTATGATTACAGAGTATCGAAAACGCGGTTTTATTCATTTACTTTTGTTTTATCTTTTAAGTTAAGTATTATGAAGGCTTTGATCGAGCATTAACAGAGCATCATAGATTTCCTGTTAATATTTTTCTAAAACTGCATCGATATGTGTCTAACGGGCACTGATAGCGAATTGAATTCCGTCGACAAAAAATTATATCTACCTAAATGATAAACGCATATACATGCGCTTCATATATTTGTCTAGTATGACTAGAAAAAACGAAATAAAACATAAAAAAAAAAACAAAAAGTACTACAAAATAACAACAATATGAGCAAAACAAGCTAATGTAATAGTGAGCTGGGCTCGCAATGAAAACCAACAATTTATTACAAAAGAGGTAGTGTAGTTACTACACGAATTAAGTAAATGTATCACACATAAGAAATACCTCGGTGATGTCACCGACTAGTCGCCTCGTAGAGTATGATTTATACACAACATCACACTTGCAAAGTCACATTGAGAATAACGTCTTATAAAAAACATGTCGAAGACCCTATCTATCTACACTTACCAATCGTTATACAAAATATTATGCGCTCTCACGTTTGCTAAGCTTTACGAAAATTTAGAAATATAATCTAATGCTATTTCGTTTTTTACCCAAGATCTAATCTTTACGAGCTACTAGTCTCTATTTTGCTCTTCCTAAATCACGTTTATATATCCTAACTATATTTTGATCGCACATATAAGAATACATTCAGCATTTACTTTTGATTCGAGTCTGTATTTACAAAGGCGCAGTGCGATTGATGGCATCTGAGTGATTTGAACAGAAAGGAAACAAATGTAAAATAATTTAAAATAATAAATTAGTTGCAAATACGAATGAGAGATTCGTCAGTCAGTTACTGAGCTGTTTGCTTTTGTATTTTGCTGTCGCTCAGATCTCTCGACCTTTTCATAAGGTTTTTCGAGTTTTGGCCGTTTGGGCTCGGCGTCCAGTGGCCGGTGCGACTTCATGTGTGCGCTACGACTTTTAACTTTGTTAAATACTCTGAAACATAATAGGATACGTTTTAAGAAATAGCAACAGAAGAGAAAACAAACATAAGCCAAAACCAAAATTAATATGATAGCGTTTAAGCCAAGCTAAGCGTAGTGTTAGTACTTATAATTATATTTACATACAACGATACAACACAAAAATATTTTATGTAACCCTAAGTGCAATAAATAAATTTGACACATATTACGTCATTTGTAATGGACATATATTATTACCTAAAATATATTTACAATATCTGACATAGCGTGGTCCCTGGGACATTGTCTATAAAATCATCTGCTGCTTATATTAATGAGCACACAAACGTAATATAATCATAGTGTGAAAAACACCCATAGAAAATTAATCTGCAGGATTTCTAAGTTGCTAAGGTAAAATTACGTTTGCGTATTCAATAAATATTATAGATTCCGATTATAATCTGTCACAGGAAACTTTCTATGTCCAATAACATTTATGTAAATAACCTGTTACTATCAAGTTGAAATTACACAAACATTAATTTCACATGCATTAACATATACGTATTCCTGATCACTGATCAAGCGAACAAAGTAATTGTATAAGAAAATATCGAGAAATATAGCACAATAATTTCCTGAAATTATGTAATGATAACCTAAAATATAATATTATAATTTGCGTTAGTTTCATCTAGGTTCTATTTAAATGATATTTAGGTATTATATAGTGAAATTAAATTCAAGGTATTTTGCACGCCACAATGTATGTAAAGGTAAGTTAATGAACTGAATTAAATCGCTTTTACGAACTCTATCGAGGCCTAAAATGTAAGCTTTATGCGTGCGTCTCTCATCTTCACTTACTTTCCGCATATTTTGCACGGAAACTCCTCGCCTTCGTACGCTGTTGTTGGTGAGGCGCATGAGGTCGTTCGAGACGAAATCTGGGCTACGGAACCCTGAATGTAGATAATATCGTTAGCCTAAATTTTTATCGTTACTCTGAGAACCTAAAGATAAAGTTCAGGCTTGTGCTTGGGGTGCTTACTTGAGCTTGAGAATCGGCCCAACTTCGTAAATATAGAGTCTTGTAGTCTTTTGTCACCTTCTTCCAGAAGTAATAGAACTGAACGCACTGTTTTGAGTCCTTCGATCTTACCTGTGAACAAAAGATTATATTGTGAGGATGTTAATTTTTAAACATTATTATTTACCACTACTGTTCCTTCTAGAAAGTCCCTAACCAGTTGTGAAATCCTAAAGAAATCTTTATCGAACTGCCCAAGTCCAGCCAGGAAGGCCTCCACTTCGTCAGGAGTCCAGCGTGATTCCTGCTGCGAGGGTGCGGCTGGTCGAGACATGAGTCGAAGCGTCGCCGTGCGGATGTCACCGCCGCACTCTCCTAAAGTTTGTAAAGCACTCTCCCTTGTATGTCCTCCCACTGGCATCGCTGCACACATTGCCAGCTCCATGAACATGCGGACTAAAAACAAATCATATATTATTATGGACTACTATTCATTTATCATTATTGACTATAATTACGGACTAAAAATCAATCATAAGTTAATAAATATTTGCTACCTTTAAAATACGCATGATTTAAATATAATGAATAATATTTTAGTCATACATACCTTCGTTGTCATCTAGTGCGTCGTTAATACCAGGATCCCATAAGAGTTGTTCCGGGGCTCTGTGTAGATCTATACGATCGTTACACAGTTCTGGTATATCTGCTTGGTGATCGGATCCGATATTAATTTGTGGTAAGCGATTCTCTTCTAGTGGTGTATCTTCAAGTGTGATATCAAGGTTGGCTTGAAGGGCTTTGGAATAAATAAATGTTATTAGAAGATAAACTATCAAAGTAAATGTATTTTCTATATAATTGTTTACCATTTCTGATTTCTGCGAATAGACCGCAACCATCTCTATCTGGTGGTAGGGTTGGTTGCGGTGTGTAGTGATTGACTCTACGTCTCATGCGCGACTTATATGGACCAGCTGGGGACCCGCGACGTTTGCGTTGTTGAGGCGATGCTGGGACGCTATTCGGACTAAGAAATACCGCTGGTAATGGGTCTCGGCCTTCCACACACACCTGAAGAAAAAATTACTTATAGGCTATTTTTTTTAAAAGGACCTACTTATCAAATAAACTTTAACACACTTGAAGCGCTGTTGTGTCCTGCTGCCATGTCTGTATAGGTGTTGCTATAGGTGTTGCTACTCTATGCTGGCGACGAATACTCCTTTGATTTGGGAAATCACGAGGACTACTGGATAAAAGGGGATCTTCGGAATTTAGCATAATTCGTCTAGTAGTTGTTGAAGATTCCAATGCATAAGCATCTAAAGATCGGCATTCTTCGGGTAAAACCTCTTCAAGGGCCTCTTCCACCTATAATATACAATATTTTATGCCGCTACATAATAAATGAATTATTAGATTAAAAAGAATGGTTTACCTCTTCTTGACTGGACATAGTAGCCGTAAAAAATGCAGCTGATAGTGGTGACGAGGCTCTCGGGACTGTGTGCGCTGGCGAATGGGCATCGTGAGATGCTGGAGGCGTTGGATAAGCGAAACTCGGTGAAGGTTCCGGTTGATTGGAATAACTACCGCTAGGAGATGTGGCTGTGTAAGCCAATCCTGGGGAATCTCCAGTTGTATAAGATAATCCTGGTGAACTATCAGCATATGCGATACCAGGAGATGGCACAGGTGACCCTCCATGACAAGCTCCAAAATCAGCTAAAGATTCTGGTAGGGGAGAATTTAGAACTGCAGCTAAACGACGACTGGACGGGAAAGTTACGGGTGACCGCTCTCGTATAGAGGCAGCAACAGTTGCATAGTCTTCAAGAGACGCAAGTTCTTCTAAATGATCGGAAGCTGTTGCAAATTGGAAGGTATCGTCATTTAAAGCAGGTGAAAAATAACCATCGTCTGAGTTAAACGATACGCCAAATAATTCAGGTCGGAAGGTAAAGTCTTGTTGTTGTGGTGACGCCTGGCCAGGATCAGACGCGGAGCGCTTGACAACCTACAAAATAAGTAATTTATTTGTTATTAATTATACATTAATGATGAATCACTTAGTAGTTTCCAAACTCGTACCTTTGAACTTCCTTTTCTTAAAAGTTCAATGAGCGTTGAATCTCTATTTAATGTAGTTGTATTTGATACTGGCACGGCTGGCGGTGCACGTGGGGAAACAAATGGGGCTGAAGTTGTAACCGTTGTTACTGGTGATGAATAAGTTTTAATAGTTGATAGAGGTGGTGGCGCTGGAACAATAAACCCCGATCGAGATATTGTGTCGGTTGTTGTACCTAAAATGTATATGTTAATATTTATAATATTTTATTACTGATTAATTATTTAGCCTATATTTTTTCTTACCTGACGTTGGTGCTTGTGACACGATAGCACCTCGACGACTTATGATCTTCTCTTCGATCAGAGCTCTGACAGATACAGAAGCAGTTTGTAATGGAGGACCAGTTGATTCTTTCTTGTCTAACTTCTTGTTATCTGAATCCTGATTATAAATAGTGTTATTATAGATAAATACATATATGCAATTATTTAAGTTGATATATAAATCAAAGTAAGATGACATTAACCTTTTTGAAGTATCCACCATGTAGTCGCATGTGACCATTGAGGGCTGGGATGTTTTTAAATCTGCGGTGACATAAATTACACTCGACGGGCTTGACATCTGTTGTTCGTATCAGTCCAGAACTGCCAGTCGCACTTGAACGGCTCACACTGCTGCCACCGCATTTCGGGCTGCTCTGTTGCGTCTGAATTCAATGTGATACATCAAAAGACTCAATAACCTACTTCCTACTCCGTAATTTTAAGGTAGAAACTTTCCATCTTAAGAACTTTGTTAATATTCCGAGTTAATTAAAGGATCTTGATAGACTCTGTAATCATCCTTGGCGAGAGGAGCTTGTAGTTATAGGTCGATCTTAAAGCTGGTGGAAAAATTACCCAATTTGGAAACCTTTGTTGTACGGAGTGAGGAGAATAATTTGTAATATTCATTTAAATTGGTTACAAAGCTCGGGCGGTGTAGTGCATTTATTCATTCAAGTATAATTTTAATTAATTACGGACATCCGTAGCACGGTTGTATCACCGGCGACTTTCCGACCATTTCCGTCCTGTACTCATAGGGACAGTAAAATAATACCTACTTTTGTTACACATTTTTTTATAATCATAATACGAGTGCACATAGAATATGTATTAAATATTGTATGGAATGTAATAAGCAGAACAGTATATATACATATATTCTTTTTAGTACATAAAATTGTCCAATAAAGTAAAATCCGATCAATACGACTCTATGTGTATTGTTTGTGGCAATAATCGGTAACTTAATAATAATAATTTGCCATAAGCCTCTAAGATGTTTCGGGGACTTTTTGAATTATAAATAAGATTTCTCGAATTTGATTGACGTAGCCTTCTTTGAGCAATAACTCAATAATAATATTATTGAAAACGAAATATGTCATTAAGAATTAATTTCATTACATTAATGAAAAATATTTCATACCTAATAAATAAAAGATAAAAAGGTTTTATTAATTAAAAAATGTCTTTGATAATAATGGTCTTAATGTATTATGTATGTTAGTAACTTCTTCTCAGTGATAAGAAGTTGATTAAAATACTTCAAATCAAAAATGTATTAACGTATTTGTAAAATGTACTAGAGAAAGACAAAATGTTAAATAGGTTAGCAAAAGTAATTTATCTGAGGTTTTTCAGTACCCTAACAGCCATTAAGGATCGTTAAGTTAATGTGCTAAGCGGGCAGCAGATGGCGCTGTGTACTGTTGGCGTTTTTCTCATATATCATGCTAGTACATTGATTCTCACGATGCGCTTTGAATGCAGTATATTGTTTGTAAAGTTCAAACTAACAAAGGTAATTTCAACATAGCAAAAAGTATCTTTACCTGAGAACAGGCCCGTATTTACAATCACTGGCTGACGCAAAATTAATACCTATTCTTAATTAGCACCACTCTGTTATATTGTTTGTTTGTTTCAGATAAACGCTTTTTAATAAATACATAAATATGTACCTTACATACACTAAAACGAGATATTTTGCTATTTTTATCCGACTGTCTGTATTATTATAAAATATGTAATAACTATTTCGAGTGGTCAAGTTGGGAGCGGAAGAATTCCTACACAGTACGTAAAATTGTTAGCAAGCAGATGAAATATTCTTACCTTAGGTTTTGGCAATGTAGGTGTTTGAAATAATTGTGTGATCCAGTTGTTCATTACACTAAACTTAAATTCAGGCACAGATTTATGTACAACTTCTGGCTTACGGAAGAAAAAGAGTCAAACTAAATGTAATATGACTGAGGTTTTTTGGTGATTAAACTAAATAATAAAAATTGTTATGCCGAAACTGATTCGCGTTGTTTATCTCACGGTCAGCGAGGATGAAATGATACAATAAACTATGGGAAAGATATCGAAGAGATGACCCCTCATTATTTGTACTCGCGAATTGTAAGATAAAATGACCAGTTCAACAAGCACAGCTTGACTGATTTGCATATGTCTATGGAATATTCATTGTTGAAGTATCATATGTTGAAATATTTGTCTGGGTGAAATTTAAAATAAATTATTGTTCGTCAAACAAAATTATTATGACATATTTAGATTCAACTTAAAAACATTCCTAAATTTGCATTTAAATTAATTTAAGTCTGAATTCACTATAACAAACGTAGTTTTAGAATTGAATCATTTATTTCATTTAATAATATAAAGATTAAAAATAATAACAGCTGGATAATTACGTTTAATAAAACAATTCATTAATAAAACAAGTGAAACGATTTGTATTTAAATGTATACAAGTGCTTTTGTTGATTGTTAGAAGTGTGGCGTATAAAATATTTTTTTTACTCATGCGATCTGAGGGGTTTTGAGCCGTGCATTAATGGACGAACCACGTGGCACGGAGAGGTTAAAGGTCAACCGCGTAGAAGCACAAGCTCCATATGGTAAATGGGGTGACCATATGTTTAATTTAAAAGCTATTAATGTGACGAAATCATTTATACGATATATTCTTATAAGAAATATATCGGCATCAGTAAGTAAATAATATTGGTGAGTAAGATTATGAATTCAAATGTGTTTGTACATATTTAATTCCCTCTTCGTTTATCAAAAATGTACAATGCTGAAGCCGATATTTGTATTTCTTGTTATTCTTTTGAATTTAGGATTGAAATTTTATTTAAATATTGAAGAGATATTTATAGATAAAAATTATGGATACTGTTCTGTCAAATCGCGTGTTATTTTATTTTATGAAGTGTAACATAAATGTTGCAAAACAACTGACAATCACGTGGTACACATTTTACGATTTTGATCTTTGTATGTTGATTTTTGGAATTAAAAATTACCTGATGAAAGAGATTTATAATAAGTGTTTTTATCTGTCCTTCTCTTATTATAACAATAAAAAAATCTTCGGGGAGTATTAAAAAATATGCATATCTTAAAAGAAGCTGTAAATTTTGTAATCTACATAATCCACCTAATATTAGAGATATCGGTGGGTCTCTATCCAAATTCATTCTATATTCATCCGTATTTGGCGTGATTCCAGCGCCATTGCTCTACAAACTGTACCGACACTTAAAAATAATATCCGCCATTGTTTCCGAACGTCACCTACAATATTAATGCCATTATATAAAAGCTGGTTCTAATCATCCATCACACTTAGCGGCACTTGGTCTTATACTCAGAAGTCGGCTGAAGTCACGTAAGCAACGCGTCTTCAATTATGCATCGGGACGTTTACAACGGAACGGCTCTCAGCCACCTGCGTCCTTGTCACCCTACATTATTAATGGGGGGATCAGTCTGTGCATTATTGAGCAAACATGGGCCTTATTACGAGTACAGTAAGGCGTACCATAAAGAGATTTAATGTGCTTAGCGTTAGTGAAAGGATCTAGCGTGACGTCACTTGTCTCAATTGCCTGACGATGACGATGGAAATTAACAATTTGCTCATTTTATACGTATCTGATGGCGGAAATAGGAATATATACACGATTTAACATGTTATGTACGGGTACATAAATAAGATACAACTAAAACATATAGAAATAAAATAATTATGACCATTGAACAGTCTTTTCAAGAAAATATATATATTTGGGGAAGAAATTATTAAAATATACATACGTGTACAACTGTACATAAATATGAAAGTCAGTGGTGTCAAAATCTAGGATGAACTAAGTCATGTGGAAAATAATAAGCACAATTTATGCTCAGGAATTTAAGGATCAAGTGTTCTGGGAAATGACAAAAATTGTTACAGATAAGGGTCACAAGCTTAAATTGGTAAAGGGATGAAGTAGCAGAATCTGTTAAGAGTTTAACAGAATTAATATTGGATGAGAGGAGTAAAAAAATTAAAGGTAATTCCATTAAGAAGTCAAGGACGTGACTTTTAAAGCAATGTACACAGGAAGGGTTATATAATTGCGAAAGATAATAGACGTATTTATATAACTTAGAGAAATGTAGGAAATATTATGAGAGAATTTAATTAATAGTACAAAAATAAAAATAACGAATACAGGCTTTCATTAGTCTAGAAGCCATTCCTTTTGCGGGTCTTAACACACATTCTAATGTAGCTATTATATATACTCCCACGAGCAAATGGATTTCTCGGCGCGGTTGTTAGATTAAATAAAGAATTCAATTATTATGTTGTTAATACAAATCAAACATTACCAAAGTATAAAATATTAAATGATGTTTGATTTTATTAAAACACGAAATTAGATAACGTTTGAAAATATTAAAAATTAATATTTAACATCTAGGTCAGATGAAAGTCCTATTCATCAAAAATATTCGCAAAATCATGAAACACCGTCCGAAATCAAGGAACAGGCACAAAGTTAAATCCATTTAATAAAATGTTTCTTTGATTCGCATTCCGAATCTGTCGTCGCAGAGCCGCGGGCGAGGCGCACAGATAAAATTCAATGGACATTTAAAATGAAATCAACCTTAGGATGGAAGTACATGATCAAGAGTTAACGACTTCGTTATTATATAATTTGTTTAACATTCCAAATTATATTTTATTTACAAGTCCATAAAGATCTATTTTAATAAGCTTATGAATTTAATTCCTTTATACAGCAAATGTTTACTCTGTCTCAATTTTGGATTTGAAGTTAGGTACAGAACAAATAATTCTAAGAAATTTATTATCTAAGATTTTAAATTATATAGAAGATAAAAAAGAGTTGTTATATATCATACATTTTAAAGCTAAGGGACAGAATGTTATCAAGATAAACCACTTCCTTTGGCCAGAAAGGCCATAGTTAGCCATAATTTCACATAAAATAAATTCATTTATTAAGAATTAATAACGATATAAAAGATGAGAAAAATAAATGTTATGTAACTGATACAACTATCTGATTATAATTATGAATGAATTTTATTATTTTTACTCAAAATTTTGACACAAATTCATGTGTGAATTATTACGTTTCTTTTTAAATTTCCATCCTTAACCACTCGTGTGCTTCTGCTAACTTTACGATTTTAATACTGTCTATGCAATTTATGGTCTGTTCTAGGCGGAAAACTTTACGACCGCAGATAAATTCTAATATTTTCGATGTGTTACAGCCTTAAGATGGCGGCAAATGCAATTTTATAGCGTTAAACAGAAATTCTAGTATCCAGTGAGAATATCCTGACCAATCTGTTCTCATTGAATATAACAGAGGTGTTAAATTGCGACCGCTTTTATATTTTAGGTTACGGTCGCACCATTTCTTTTTAGAGTGAATGCAATATTTTTACATTTCCATGACTGAAAGAGATACTCAGTACTGCCAAAAGTATTGTAGTAGTTTCCTCAGTTCGATAGTTTCGCTTACATTGTAAAAGAGAAAGATATCTTCAAAAGTGATATTGAATTCGAATTTTGCCTGAAGGATTGAACCTAAAAGGACTGACTTTTGACTGGCACATACTACTTAAAGTTTCAATATAAAAGAAAATAATGTTAGTTACATTATTTAGAACTCAAGAACGGCTGTAAGGATATGGTTGAAAATTGGTGGGGAGATAACTTAGAACCAAGGAAGAGACATAGGATACAATTCATCCGGTTGAAAAAGAAAAAAAAGCATTCACCCGGTCAGCTATACACTTCTAATTCTGAAATTAACACAGACGAAGGCGGGGGCAAAAACTAGTAATGTATAATATATTGCCTGATATATGTACACGATAGGGTACTGGGTCTGATACTTCCATAATAATGGAACAGTGTAACAAGTATGTACACATATCAAAGCGATACTCGATACTAATTATTGTTCAAATTGCATATTATTAAATGTAGCTAACAATGGCTTTGCATCTTACACATAGATCAAACTATAGCCTTTATAGATGCCATCTGAATTAGTGCTACTTGATCAGAAACGTAATTTGTGCTTTGTGTTTCAACATCATTATCACAATGGCTATCGGCTAATTGTTTAGGTAATACACGAACGTGATTTTAATTGAGATTATATTTGATATGCTCGTCTATATTTTGAGTTAAATACTGGCACTTACTAGCAATTAAGAGTTATTTTAAGTATAAAAATGTGTGAACTATTGTTTAAAATTAGACTTTATTCTACTTTAAATAAAATATATTTTAAAATCGTTTTATATTTGATTACGTAGTTCGAATATCCTACATGAAAGTAATAATTAATTGAATAATAATGAAAACATTTGCGGTCATGTACCAATATCAGTAACACATAGTTACCGATGCCTGATCTTGATATAATTATAATCACAGCGTAATTAAACACAATTTCATCAATCCGTTATAATGAAGTGGTTCAAAGTGGATTTATTTCAAAGGCATTCCAATGTCAATATGTCGAACAAAAGTGTAGCCTGTGTAATTATGGGGCTGTGTTTGTAGCCTTTATTACATCCTGCAGGTGACATCAAATCAGGGTCGATCAAAGTGAGTGCTTTTAATAACGACACCGCTTCGTACACCGTGTTATACATATCTGGTGCGGCTCGGAGGTTTTAAAGCTGCGTTCTGTTTGACGTGCTCAGTCAAATAGTGCCAGGATTTTGTTTATGTTTGCGATCTGAATATTTTTTTGTTGCTATATTTTTTTGTACATATTAAATAAATAGAGCGATTTTTCAGATATAATGAATTGATTTTATGCTGATAAGTTTAACTGTTTTTAATTTTAGTGTGTTTCAGAACATCTATATGTTTTTTTTAGATACTAGTATGTACATTATATCACATTCACACACACACACACACACATATATATACATACATATGTATATACCATTAGAGATAAACTTGAGAACAGATGTTATAGAGTTACTAAAGTGAGCAAATCCCGGCAGGTGTATACGCATCATTCGATGTTCTCACGCGAAATAGATCAGCAAAAATCTCACCCTCGGCATAAATCTCATTAAACGAGATTATTTAATATATCTAGTTTAATCAAAGCGAATCCCTTCACATCTATGGGGTCGCGAACAGGTGACCGCTCCCATATAACGCAGAAACGCGAAATGACCCCCTAAAATAGTTCGATGATGAAATTTTAACAATTGGTTTTATATTCATATTGAAAGAATATGATTCGTTCGAATATTGACTATAATTTATGATATATTTATGTAATAGTAAAAAATGATTTTTTTTATTCGAATTAACATATCCTTTATGATGAGATCTAATATTTCTCCGACAATTCATTATAAAGGAACCTAATAATTTAGGGTTTACGACGGTATTTTTTTTTTATTTTTTATTTAACATAGGAGTATGTTCCATAAAATAAAGAAAAACGTCTAGTACATTCGAAAATATTCGATTTATTGATATCCTTATATAAATATTAACTTACTTTTACTTTATACTTTTACATGAATTTGGAGCAAACAATTTTTTTTTTGTAAATGTTTTTACGGCTCTGAATCAAACCGTGTATTTAATGTATTGCTATATAAAAAAAACAGTCTTATAAGTTAAATTAAATGTAACAATATTATCAAAATCCCCCTCCAATTAACCCTAATATCTACAATACACTTGGTCCCTAAAATCCGTCCATAGCAAGGGTCAACTGAATTATTAAATGAATGACTGTTTTATTTCAATGGACATTCGCACTATCTGCGACCTATCCAAAATTAGCATACCAACTCTTTCCCACGAACCACTTTGTTTTGTATAGAAAACAAATTTATTTGAACAATTAAATTTCCAACGTTTTTTTCTATGTAAGTTTAATTCAAAATTCTTTTGCAATGATATTTAAATACAATGAATTGAAGAATTAAGATTTTATTATTCCTTATACTGTTTTGAATGGACGGAATGTGCAGTCGCATTGTTTCGTAACAGCAATGGGAAATTGGTTCTGGAATGCTTTTCACTATTCTGACTTAATAAACATTATTAAAAAATATTTCATGTTTTGATATTGAAATTAATTTTAAACGAATCACGGATTTATGATTTATAAATACAAATTTATTTATTTGATTCTATCCTAACAATAAAACGAATGTAGCAAAATGTTTCTAATTAATTCAGTTCAGTGTTGCCAGTGAACTGTTAGTGAATTTTGAAAAGCAAATATAAGATATTCGCTATTCCTGGCAACATCAGCTACGAAATATCGTAACAGTTTACGTAGCGCTTACGTAGTGCTTACGTAGCATTACGTTTGTGCTACGGTTGGTTTGTTGATGTTGTCTTACTTAACCAATACCGTTATTTTGCATGTAGCTATATTTGCATGCATACTGTTATAAAGTTTTAATTTTGGTATAAAATTAATGAAATAAATGTATACCTTTTTAAATGTATAATAATATAGTTTATGTTGCTTTATATTTAATCATTAATATATTTTATTTAAAATATTTAGTGATTCAGAGAAATCTCGGTAAGTGTAAATCTTTTAAGCTATATACTAAGAATTTTGGTTTAATAAGTAAGGGTGTTAATGCACTATAAACACAAGATTAACGTCTAAGTACTTAATACCAGTCTGTGCGTACTAAATGCAAACCACGACTCAACTGTTTAGCAATTCGGATTCTTGTTTGTCTTAGACTAATACAATATTGACTAGATTTACTTTGAATAAACAGTGTGTTCATAAATCAGGAATGTATTTAAATTAGTTTCTTATTACTGAAATTAAATTTATATAATATTAAGGTGTGATAAATCAAATATATTTTTGAGTGTAATTTGTTAAGACTATTTTATTTCTTCTTCTACATAGCAATTTCCCAGCTTTAGCCAGGGTCTGCCTTACATGTTGTAAAATATAGTTTTGTCTAATTCTTTTTACGACCGGCCTGATATCAACCCTCTTTGGGAATGTATTAATCAGTTATGTCTAAATGCTCGTAGAAAGTACATATGACTCGAAAAAAACACATTGGTACTTGCCAGGATCGAACCCGCGCCCTCATGCATGAGAGGTAGGCCTTTTAACTACTAGGCCACCACTGACTGTTTTATTTAGTTGTTTTAACTTTAATATTTTATTGTATGTAGATAAGATTTAACTTAAAAAGTAACTTACTTATTCTGGTACTAGTTACTTTAACTAAAAGTTTACGACAATGATTTTGAATCATTTATAATATTTCATAAAAAGATTTTTTCTATAATTATAACATTATTTATATAGTTATATGTATAATAAAAATAGTAAATATAACGTCCAATATCACTTAATAATTTGAAAGTCTATTTTATGTTTCGTTTGACTTGCCATTCGTGTTTGATGTTCATAACACAAATATTAAACTGAGCTTCAATTTTTTTTTCTGTAATACTCAAATGGAACGACGATTTAAACTACAAATATTAAACTATTCCAATATTAGAGTTACTTCATAATTTACTATCATGGAAAATATTAATTGTTTAAAAATAATATTTGAAATATTATTTTAATATTTTGTGATTTTGTTTTATAATTAATCTATAAATCTAAGTTTATCTTCAGATGTAGCTTCTATTTCTTAGTTAGAGTGTATGATGTATATTACTAATTATTGTTTTTTCTTTTATTTCGTATATACTTTGTTGATTTAAATTTAACATTCATTGGCAGAATTCCCTTAAAAATAGGAGCAAAGGTTTTGCTTGACGTATTTATACATTGAGTATATATGATATATATATATATATGTATGTTGTATAAACATAAAAGCTTATCTCATAGCGGTATTTGTATGTGAAACAATAATCCTCTTGTAACTCACAGAGGTATTGTTATTGATAGTTTAAAAGACAGCATTAGGAGGCTAATAGCTGTACAATGTTATCCTTTTACCCGCTATCGGTATTCGGGGACTTTGTTTTAGAGTTTTATATAATATAACAATATGAGTTTGTATTATTTTTAAGTATTTTAATATATACTCACAGTTTTAGCTTTCGGTTTATTCCGTGATCTCGGCGGCGGTGTGTGAGGCGGGCTGCTGTCGTTGCGAGATTTCTCCGAACCGTTCATCTGTTATAAATGTATTAGTATATTGTTTAGTTAATCTAGTAATATAATTAATGCTTTTAGAGAAATCTTTTCACGTCAATCTTAAGAAACGTACACCCTTACGTGAAATTTTAGGTTTGCGTGATATTTCTTCTTCATCGTATTATTCTTGTAAGTTCTTTTATTGTATTTAGTTTCAGTACCTTAATGTAAAGTTAATGGCCTTTTAACTTGTTCTATATAACTATGTTCGTTGTAAATAATTGTTTAACTGTTATATTAAAATCTAAAACATATAAATATATGATATAACAAACAACCTCATCAAAATTATGTTTAAATAATTATTGTTCATTAGAATGAAAGTATCTTAAACTCCTTGAATCTAAAAATGTCGACAAAAGAAAAGTCTCAAAGCAATATAAAGTTGAATCGCTTTTACTTATTAAAAAGTCAGAGAGAAAATATTCCCCGTTGATTTCAGATGTTTGCATTTTCGAGGGAAAACGCTGTTATTCATTGTTGGGAACATGGCCGCCATTATTTCTAATTTTTTTTTACGTTCCGCGAAAGCGAAATTAAAAACGAACAACGCAGATTTCGGCTAAGTGGTTAATTAATAGGAACGTTGGGACGTTGGATTTAACACGCGTTCCCTTGGACCGTGGCCAAGTAATAAAAATGAGAATTTGCAACCAAAATTATATGCTTTCATTACGTAAGAAAATTGCTTTCCGCTTCAAGAGCCAATTATGATAAGTAAGTTATTTTTAATTAATCATTTTAAATCTTCTTATTAATAATTGTTTTTTACGTGTTGTTATGTTTCAAATGAAGAATATAAGAAATGGGAAAGACGAGAAGTACAAAGTGCTCCACAAAAAGTTGTTTCTTTTAATGCGGTGGATTGAAAAGAAATCAACTACATTCGATTTAGTAAAGTGCTCGTAGGTACATTTGAGAAATGCTTCTCTATATATTGCTGTATAAAAATATTTAACTATGTTAAAGCAATGTAATATTGCGTTTATGTATAATAGATGTTTTAGTCAGTTTAACGTGACATCAATTAGTTTTGAGTAAGTACTTACATTAGAAGTCAGAGAGTTAGTGCGAGAGGGCGAAGTGGGTGACGTCACTCGCGCCGTCTCCCGATCCACACTAGATTCTGATGAGGTGCTCTCTGTTAAAATAATTTAATATTCAACAGTTACAAACATATTATATTAGATTTAATTAAATAAAAATTACTATAAAAATATCAATTTTCGCTTTCACATTTGTAAGAAAGAAATACATTATACATGGCTATGAAATCTGAATCAGTTGTCAGTATATAAAGAATATTGTTTCGTGTTTAACATACTATCAGAAGGAGGCTGGTGATGATTTTCTGTATGACGTCGAAGAGACCGAGCGTCGCAGTAGGATTTTCCACACCCATCCGCCTTACATTCATATGGCTTCTTGTTGCGATGTGTTAGCATGTGCCCGTTCCTATAAGAAATATTAAAATAAAATCCATATCTAGGTATATCATTCGTTCCAAATGAATCACATTGAAATTATGGAAATTTATCCGTCAATCGACGAGAGCGTAATGATTTGTCAAAGTTACAAAGAACCCATAAAATCTGACAACTTTCACAGCTTATAACGCCGGAGCACGAGAACTCGTTACTCTTTAAAGGACTTTTTTTTGGGTCATAAAAAGTGTTTAGTGCTGTGCATTTAACTTATGACTGTTTCGAATTTTACGCTAGCAACTTTTATCTCTGGGGAGTGTAGTTTTTTGTCGTTTTCTGTGGACTTTGTCGAAAACAAAGGAACGTAAATACATTTCCTTATGTACATATATCTCTTCTAAGCTGAAATTTAATTCATCATTGTTTCGTTGCTTACACAAAATAAAAATCATCACTTAATATTCAAAACAATATTGAAAACTTGGCGAGTATTCAGGAGTGCGCATAAAACCTACACCCTGTAGCAACCGATACGTACAATTAGGTTGCAATTGACATTTAGGTCAGTGAAAATCGCGACCACTTTGTCGTGTAGAGTTCATGTGCATTTAGTGACGTCATTAATATTCATGTAGTGTGTTAACAGCACCGATTAAAGGGGCAACTTGCGCTCCACCGCATTTAGATTGGACCAGATTACTTGCATAACGACGATACTGCATACACGCCTCTTGGACGCTAATTCAATTAGAACACTTCTATATTAGTCACAAATACGGATTATATAGTATTAGTAGGTTAAAATCATGTTCTGTTTAAATCGTAATGTGATCGAGCAGAAAGTTTAAATGTATAGCGTTATAATAATACAAATAGGTCAGTAGATAACTCGGCCGCTTCGTACAGTCGGGTCGACATACGGGCATGAGGCATTAATATTCATGCAGCGTGACATCCTCGATTAAAGGGGAGTCTGATTAATTGGGGCATTGTTATCTAGAGGTGAACTGCTTTTAAGAGCATTCACAGATTATTCAAATTTCAAAATCAAACATAACAAGAACATTATAATACATGAATTCTAAAGAAATGAACTATTTAAATAGCTTCAATTATGTAGTGAATAAAAAAATTAGATGTACTCACAGATGGTCTTGCCTTTTAAAAGCTTTTGCGCAAGTGATGCATACATATTTCCTCTCATCGCTATGCGTCAGCTTATGCTTCGCTAAAGCAGACGCGTTGCCGAAGACTTTGTTGCAAACCTTAAACAAAAAAAAAATAACCATGAAGGTTTTATGACAAGAATGTATTGAAACTCCTTGTAATATTATATTAATGCTAAGCCGTGAATAGTCTTAAATAATATATATTTACAAAGTTTGCTATTATTGGTTATTACATAGAAGTCTCAAAGCTTAGGCCACTCGATACAGCCAACAATGGGATATCGATACCAAATATCCTCTTCTACTTTTGTTTTAGTTATAATGGATATTTCAATTATTGAAAATATAACTTCTTATCTTGGCTTACCAACGGCGGTAATATTAAGTTATTACAGAATTCTAATATTAAATGTTAATAATATAATATTATTAATAATATTTGAACGTTGAAATTCTGTTAGTTTAAAAAAAAGTAAAAAAATGAAGACCTGTTTAATCTGATCATCTATCTGGAATTAGAAAATTTTTATCTACTACCTATAAAAAAACAAATATTACGATAATTAAGAAAAAAATTCATGATGGCACTTATAAAAAATGTTAGGAATTTTCGATAAGTTTTAATATTAATTTTCAGTGGAAATATATTAACTTTATATTAACTCCATCAGTATATATACCAAGGTATATAGATTAGAAATTTTAAACAGAATGTACATACATTTTTAGATAAATTAGCATTTTAAAACACCGAATAACAAGATTTCGACCCTTACATATCAGAAAGTAAATGAAATTCAAGAATTATGAGGTAAAACGTGATAAATTTATAAAATAAAAATTTAATCAAAAAATGCCCAAATCCAATATACAATCTCTCTTTCTGGGAGAGAAATCTTCATGTTATATATGTAAGTTTTCAATCTTATGACAGTTACACAGTGATTAAAATTAACCAACTATTAGAATAAGTCTATTCTCGATAAATCTTCGTCACCTTGAGTCCCATCATCAAGGCAAAAAAATATTACAAATTTTTAAAGCGAAAAATGAAAATATTTGAAGACAATAATCAATGTAGTTTCAATAGATACGTGAATTTTTATCAAATACATCGGTAGATGATGAATAAGAACAACTAAACTTTCAAAGGCAAATTGTGTCTGATATTTTAAACACTTATTACAGAAAAAATTTCATAGCCTAAGAGAAAATCCGTTTTATTCTAACAGCTTTAAAAAAATTCCACACAATATTAAATTATAAATTCTTTTATAGTGTTACTGTCGAAAATTTTATGTCATAAATGTATAATATTTCCTGGGGATGTGGACCAGCGTCAAAAATTGTTCCACTATGAATAGCCAGCCAACATAATACACATATAAAGATATGTAATGGCTTCCTTTACTGGGATCGTTGGTTCATTCAGTAAATGGCGTGTGTTATAAAAATGATTTACAACATATAAAAATTAACGGGACGTGTATTTTTAAATGCTTCTGTAAACTTTTATTCTTTTTTTCATACAATTAGGTTTTATTTATAATTAATTAAAATGACGTAGTAGGGCTGTTTAATTTTTTTGTTAGAAAAAAATCTGAAATAAATTGTAACACTATGTTCTAATATGTTAATGATTTAAGGATATTTGATTTAGTTTTATACTTAAAAAAAATTAACCACAGTATATGATGGGAAAAAACCAACATCATAAAAAAGTTTCTATTTTAATGACGTTCTGCAAAATTAAATAATAATTATAAAGATTATTTAAATCGTATTTTAATCTGGATGTGTAGAAAAAGCAAAGAATAAAAACACACGTCACTTCTACGATGGTCTGCTCTACACGCCAGAGGTAACTTCCAACCTCGTTACAGCTTTTTAAAAAATGAGATCATAATGACATTAAGATTTTATCTTCATAATTGCAATATTACAGGATGACCCCATTACTGGGTCGCGACCCCTTCTAAAATGCAAGTAAAACGGCGGTCGCACGGAGTTTTAATCTTACATTATATTGAGAACTTTTAGATAATAAAGGTTTTTAATAAATAGGAGTTTATACACTTTCTAATATGTATTGTTGTTTTGAACATTTTGCAGTTTCGGTTGAAAACTGCCTTAAATCTTCATGTTTTTCAAATAATATACGTATTACTAAAAAAGAATAGTTTTTTTTCTAGTCATCATTTATAAGTAGCGTTATATGAAGTATCATAATTATTATTTACACTCAGCTAAATCACGAAACAGGTGGTAAAGTCTATTTGATGGCAAATAAAGTGGGGATTTATGGAGGTTTATTCTCCGTGACACAATTCCTATGGAGACATCGGATCGCTGTCGGATCACGGCTATCCTAAGCCATCAGATATAACAACAATCACGCCTCAAATATAAACCTATCTTTATATTTTTAATTGTTTCCTTGTCAATATCCCAGATAATGATCAATTAAAGATTCTGTTTGGGTATTCAGTTCTCGTTTGTTTAATATAGTTATTTATTCATTTATTTACATAATATGTACAAGTTTTATTCACGAATAGACTTAAATATACTTTGAATTTTACACAACAAAATACATCACTATATTTCGAAATTTTCTCGTCATATTAACTACAGATATACATATATCTCGTCCGTCCGTGATAACGGTTGCTACATAGTAACCGAAACGTCGGGTATGTAGTTTTAAATATATTAAAAGAAATAAAATATTAACAAAATCATAAAAATATATCGTCGGGAGTCGTGGAAGAACTCCATTTAGTTTGGACATCTCCGTCAGCTCCGCACGTGCCTTCCATGCAAACTATCGACTATTACTTATTAGCTCTATTGAAATGACGGAACTGTCGAAAAGTTTCCGGCTAAGAACACGCCGGGATTAAATAATGGATTAAACTATACAGATTCAACGAAATGGCTCTTGGACTGTCTTATTGTTACTGAAATATTTCTGAAACTGCTACCACTTTAACGTTACGGTATTTCCAAGTGTTCAAAAGGACTAATTAAGTAGATGTAATTTTTATCGTATCCAAGGCTTTAACACTTTAGTTTTTTTTTAATGTAAAGATAAAGTCAGGTATTATTGAAATCATATATCCTAGTTAAAATTAGAAACATATAAGTATTTTTTATGTACGTTAAATATAACTTGCGCTTGACGTAATCTAAATTTTCCTTTTTATTTCAACGACAACGGTTTTACAATCGTGGATGGAATTCGAAATAGGATGAAATACCCTTTTGTTTTGAATCCTTTTTATACATTATAATATTGTTTGGTCACGATTTTATAGAATACAAATAGTGCGTGTCAAGAACTTTATAAACTAATGCAGTTTTCATGCTTTTAATAGTATGCGATAAAGTTTTTTTTAATCACAACCTATATATGTACAAGTCGATATGTGTTCCAATCATGCATTTGTTGATATATAAAGCTGTGTAAATGGCTGACATCGAGCCGTCTTCGTTCATATCATGTGTCGATAGCTCAATTACTAATTGGATGTCCGATCTGTGCGTTGTGGGAATAAAGACTGATATTTGTTGTTTCGGTTTTTCAAAACGTTTTTTTCGTTCTTTGTATTGAAAATTTACGTTTACTTTAATTTTTTTATGTAATGTTTTCATTTTAATTCTCAATTCGTATGTTGAAAAGTTGAATAAAAATAATTTTAATATACATAATGCTTATATAATATTATTGTTATGTTTAAATGTTCTCAGCTTTGATTTTATGTTATTATTTTATCTCTAGTTAAGTAAATTGAGCTTCGTGGGGTTTCTCGAAGTAAACCTGTTAACTGACAATTAAGTAGAGTCTTTTTATAAAAAAAGTAATATTTGAAAAGAGTTAAAAAAACGTAAAATTTTATAATTCTATATAAAAACTGCTTGAAATAAAGAAGTGTTTTAAATACAATTATATTTATAAATTAAGTTATATACAAACTACCACGTTAGGAAAGCCACCGTGACTTTTATGCAATATTTTCTGTATTATGTAGTATTATGTAACATAGACTGACAAAAGAAGTTTTACTTATAAAGAGCTTATATTTTTAGTTCTTATTATGTTAAACTACGATTTCATAATAATTTTATAATATTATACATGTTTAACAACGTTAAAATATATTTGTGTGACATCAACATTTCTTACTCTCAAAACAGTTTAAAACAGAAAAATCCTGTTGATGATTTATGAAAATTTACTTAAACGAGAACAGTTAACAAGATTAATGTGTAAAGTATATATGTAGTTTAACTGTTATATTACTTAGTAAAGATGAGTGAAAACAGAGTAACTGACTATCGTTAAAACAAACAAGTGAATCGATTAAAGCCTCGGAGCGTACATAAAAATATTCCCGACATGAAGCAAACAGCGGTCCTCTTTGCACAGAAATAAACTTCATATAAAATAATATTTATTTAAATGCTATAAAAACCGTCGAATGAAGAATCATATGTTTTTTCTCGTTAATTTTCTTTTGATTAAGTAATTTGTTACGTTTCAATAGTAGTAAAATTACGTACATACATAAAGCATATCTTCTTTTTGTAAAACAGTTTAGTTTTATATATTTTTGTTTGCAATAATGATATATACTATATTTAGTACGATTCCATTGCTAAACATTTTTTTTTACCATAATATGTATTTATATTTTGTATTCGTCAAAACTATCAAAATATCATGTTATAAAAAGACCAACATGCTAAATAATTCGTAAAAAGTTTTCATTATAATATTCTCTTAAGAAAATAAAAATCTAAGATGTATACAACGAGGTTATATCTGAGCATTTTTTACGACCAGACTGTACCTTGGAGTTTAATTCGTGAGCACCGATCATTAGTCAACCCTGTCAAAGCTTTTGTCTCCGTTCCCTAGATTTTGTCTTCCAAAGTAAACGTTAATTATTTTCAATTCTACCTTACGTAACGGAGATGAACGCGAAACAGTGTTCTAATTGCTCGAGGAATTAAGGTCATATAGTTCTGGAATATTAATGGCAGGTTTGAAGTCAAAATATTGTTTGAAATAATGATTTTATTTACTTAAAAAA